CCGTAAGCAGGATAACGAAAAGCAATCTCCCGCAGCAAAGCTTTTAAAAAATAAGAAAAGTACAAGAAAGGGAAGAAGAATTTCTGTAAGTTACGAATATGCAAGGCGTTTCCAAGGTTAATATTTAATATAATTGTAGAAATGCAAGCACAGAAAAAACGTGATGGTCAACGAGGAGTATGGCAAAAAAATGAGAGATGCTTATGGTGATGACATAGAGAAGCTCTTGATAGAGCAACTCCAAAGTGACGAGGAAAGCACGGATTCGGAAATAGGGATGACCGAAAAAAACTCACGCTTGCGGGTTATGGTGCCCCATTGGCGCACAAATGAGGTATACAATATGAGTGTATTCCTATTAATAGAATACATACTAAATCAATTCGTCTTTAGGCTCGTCGCGCCTTTCAACATTTCGATGAGTATGATCTCATTTTGAGAAAAAACGCCCAAAAAGAAAAGGAGACAAAGGATACGGGACGTTTCAAGCATGTGGTGATCAAGCCCGAATTTCTAAATCAGGCACCCGACTGGGCCCGAGTTCCTGAATTGTAAATAAACAATTTTTTTCTTCTTTTTTAATCTGCTCCCCCTTTTCCAACAACAATTTTTTACATATTCATAGTGGTTTATTGAAATTAAAAAAGGGCATAGGTGAATTAGCTTAAACATATATTTTTTTTTCTTGAGGAATTATTACAATGCAGCCGTTTTGAATTCGTGGATTACTAGAATTGTCAGAACTACATGCAACCGTGATTGCGTTGTGTATTCTATGTACAGGTAAAATCGAATGAACATTTGTATTTTCATAGCCTTTGCATATTTCCATAGTTTCATTTTCTAAAATGTTGTTACCAGGGTTGACGGGGATAAACCACCGTACGAAAGCGAATGTGTGGGGGGTAACACTGCCGTTAACATTTACGACGTGTTGAAAGAAATATTGTATCTCGCCGTAAAAGCAGGCAACGGACTCCGACGAATGATTGTTTTTAAAGAATGTTTGAATATACGCACCTTTCATCGATCTTGCCATACGGCTTTTGTACATAATATCAGATTGAAATTGTTTGGATATTCTGGCGTCGGCACCAACATAAATTGAAGGAATGTTATTGGAAAGTGAATTACCATGGTTGTTGCATAGATTTGTCGTGGTTAAATGAAAGAGATTGGTGAATGAACGATTTGGGTAGCATAGAGTGTAATATTCAATAAGAAGCATATGGTGTGAAGGATCGAGCGGAGTGGATTTAATTTCATCAAAGTTAGTAGGGATAATATTCGGATGAGAGTATAGCATTTCTGATCCGGTCACCACACCTCCCGAATTGGTATATTCATAGGAAGACAATTTGTAAAAATTAATGCGATCTTGAGGACTGGAGCTTGTGTATAAGGATTGGTTGATAGCGCTGGTGTTGTGGAGAATGTGGGCTTGATCTTTAGAAATGATATTGGTGCTTGTTAATTGTTTAATGAGAGACGAGATATGAATGCTTTCCAAAAAATTTGTCATGTACGAAGTTTGAATTGATCGAAGGTTTCTATTCTCTGTCGACTGCTTTAGGACACCATTCATTCTTTCGAGAGAGAAACAAGAAGTGTTGAATGTACTGCCATAGTATTCAATATTTTCTGACAGGTGGAGGACGTAATGATAGTTAGGTTTGATTGCCTCAGGGCCGAAAAGTACCACATAGTCTTTGCAAAAACAGCGGAAGAGTTCTCGTGCTTCGAATGCCTGGGCTGTAGTAATCGCGGGTTGTACAACAATTCTACAAGCTTGCACAAATTGTAACCAGTTTGCATAATGCTTTTTATGAAATCCATCAACTAATCTATCAGAAACAATCATGTACTTTAAGACATATTCGGAATAGTGCAAGGTCCAGATTTCGAATTCGATGCCCTTCATATAAGAAAAACCTCCTTTTATTTTGGCATGTATAGAGCTGCAACCGTTGGGCGTGATGATACTTGAAGCGAGTGCGGCCATACTGGAACATTTTTACACAAGGTTAGTAATGACATTTGCGTATATATAGTGTCATAAATTTATAATACCTCTGATAGTGTTGTGGTTTAAAAAATCCAAATTCTTCATACTTTGACATAATTGATTTTGCAAGACCCAGCCAAATGCAATGTAAATGATCCTGGGTGGTAGCTTTTACAAGATCAAGGTACCTCAAACTCCTTAAAACGCTATATCTCATACCGTGGGCCCTGTCTTGGCGATGTCTTTCGGCGTTATTATGGCTATTTAACCACTTGTCGGATTGAATGTCATTCAGCTTCTTATTGGCGTTTGCAGGATAATGCACAGCATCAAAGCCGGAATAATCCAAATTAGATGTGTCAGGAAAAACTTTAAACGATCTATCACATCGGAAACATGATCGCGTAGAAGAAAATCCAGTAAATCCGCTCAATTTTCGTTGCATGGGTAAATCGCACAAGATTTGATACAAACAGGCTCTGACAGTAGCACCGTAATCTTGGCCATGTTTTCCAGAGTTGAATGTAGACATTTGAACACCAAAATACAAGGAGCGAAGTTGGTTTGTAACAATGGATAATAGGCGTTGTGTTTGACAAGTGTTGGGTTCATGCGGTCCTTCGATTAATGCAAGCAGTATCGTGTTTTCTTTCTTTATGCGTTCCTCGACTGGTAAATTATTTACTTGCAGATAAAAAGCGACGCAAGAAGCGGAGGTAGTATCATATGGTTGGAATCCATCTATGTTTAACTGGGTTGTAAGTATATCTCGTCTTTACCTTTTTTTTTTTTTTTTTTTTTTTTTTTTTTTGTATTCTAACCTGCATTCAATGTCAAACATAAAGATCTACTGCTGTTTACAAAAGGGTCGCCACTGGGAGAAAGAATGCTTCTCCACATTTTTCCCTGGGAGCAATGGTACATCATATCAGTTGGGTTTACAGCCTCTTCAAAACTACGCCATTCTTCACACTTCTCCTCGAATCCTTCTCTCAGATACAACTTTTGGATCGAACTTATAAGACAATGGTATACAAACTTTTTGATTGGAGTATCGGAACCGTTTTGAAATAATGGGGTTTGACAAGGTACTTTTTTGAGGATATTGATAAATGTACATATTTGTGGAGGCCCAGGCTGTGTTAACCCGTTGCTTGTAGCATAAAGATAAACTGAATAGCATTTAGGACAAGTTGCGTAGACAGTCATATCTTTGGTAAGATCGATAAATCCAGTTTGAAGCTTGATCGTGGGTAACGATTTTGGAAACTCAAAATTGCTGAATAGCATACGGAACAGATCAAGTAATTTGTGTGTAGCGATGATAGTCAAGAAGTCCATTTGGAATATAAGTACAAAACAACAAATAAACAAGTAAGTGGGATCTTGTGGTATTCTGGGATGATTATTTTGTTGGACTACGATTGTTTCAATAAAGTTGCAAATATTTATTCCGAAATTCAAGCCTACCTTTTTTTATGATAAATTTTTCACCTTGATCATCCAAATCATCTAGCATTTTGAGAACTTCATCGGTCCAATATATCTCACTGCTGCTTTCGACAATAACCTGATTTTCATTATCATCATTTGCATCAATGCTATAGGATTGATCAAAGATAAAGCCTTCTTCATAATCGCGCTCATCATCTTGAAACATTACTCAGCATCATGTTATAAATCATTTTTTGTATGCATACCTGAAGAGCATTCATCCTGAAAATGGTTATCAACTTGAGTCGAACTGATATTAACATGTGCAAACTCTGCTTCAATAACAGATACGTTCAAACGTGAAAATTCTAAGCTGGTGTCTACTACGGCGTCATCTATTAAAATTTCTGTTAGTATAGATTACAGTTTGTTGTAGGTAAATATCTGATGAGGGTTACACACTTTCTTCTAGTTCATCCAAACTTCTTTTGGAAGCTGCCGCCTTTTGGCATGACTCCTCGTACATTTTTTTTTCGGCATGTCGTGTAGCAGTATTGATTGGAACTGAGCAACCGCCACACTTGTTGCAATGGCAAATCTTGGTCCTTTTTTTTGTAGAAGACATTATGATAGATGATGGAATTTGTACCCGGTTTTTTTACTTTATATACAGGGCAACAAAGACGTGCCCAATATACCAATAGAAAATTTACTGACACATGGTCACACTAAGTCGGATTAGTTGTCAATGCAACTGTTTGAAAGGCTGAGAGTGGTACACAACTCCCATCGCACCTCTTTTTTTTTCATGTATGATGAAACGACAGAAGAAATAATGTCACACGACATTTTTGATGCATCATAACGACGTTTTCGCTTTAAAAATTACTTTCTATGTCCAATCGTATTAGGCATTATTTGTACATTTTATTTAGCTCAAGCAGATATGCTTTATTGTGCAACCTGAAAAATAATCATAGGATACTATTACATATAACATATTCTTTTTATGCTTTAATGCTAATCTTGAAGCAATAAAAACTACTTTTACAGATAAAAAAATGGAGTGTAAATGTATGCTCTATAAAATACACAATATCCATCAGGTATAAAATAATTCAACCAAAGTTTTTTTGTTTGTATTTTTTGTGAGAAACTTTATCTTGGTTTTTTTTTATTATTGCACGTTCTACTTATTGTTCTGTGAGTATATCAAGCTCTGATGAATTGAGCAATGTTCAGATTTTATCTTTAATGATAACTGATATCAAAAATCTTTGGAACATTTCATAAATATTCAACAATGTCGCATCTTTTGGGAAACACATGACATACATTGCTGCATTAATTACGTACTCAAGCAACATAAACCCACCATTTGTTTTTCAGGAGCTGATATAATTGGCTTTGGACGGTGAGTCAAATAAACTTGTCGGTATTGTTCTTTTTAAACAAAAACGATGCTATTCCGGCATATTGGTTATATCACGAATTTGCGTTTTTAACACTGTGTTAATATAGCAAACTTCTTACTTCAAATAACTGCCCTTTTTTTACCAGCATGGACTCTGATAGATCCTTGTCTGGTATGCCGGGCACACCTGGAAGCAATATGAGTACATCTAGTTTTTTTTTTTTGGCTCCTGGCGATCGTATTTTATCTGTCAAATGCTCTATTAATGGTATTGGTTGGAACCCAGAGTGACGTGAAAGGCTCGAAGAATATGTAGTGATAGTCCGCAACATAACTACACACGTATAATCACTCTCAAAGTACATTTTTTTGTGCGTGCCATTCAAGAAGACGAGAACTTTGATATCAGGCAATTTATGGATCGTGATTTTTTTGGGGAGGTGTGGCTCAAACTGACTCGGTATGCACGTAGAGGGGCTGGTGGAAGAACTGCGGCGACTCCTGCATTCATTGACACATATCTTGATGACTATTTGGAGGCCACTGATTTTGTTCCACCAGATTTTTGTTATGGTCAGCAAACATCTTTAATCGAAGGAGCAAAGATCTTTACAGCTTATAGCAACAATGTTCAAATGCGTTTGGGAAGTCATATCAGACAAGCTGTTAACCATCTACTTCGTATTCGACAAAGAAAAGCCGAATTACCTGCTGATAGAAGACGTGAAGACTTAATTGATGCACTGATAAAATCTGAAATCTACAGAGAAATAACTGAGCCGGCGACAAGATTTAAGGAACTTATAACTAGAAGATTACCTCAAGATTTCGTATTGGACGGAGAGCAGTTCCAGGACCCTATCTACAACAACGCTCTTGAAACTCTTCGCCCTGTCCTAACAAGCTATCCCGTTGACTACCGGTTTCGTGGGAATAGCATTTATTATGATTCCAAAGCAAGACCAGTTGAGCATATGCGAGCTTTTTACGAACTGGCTTTATCATTTATTGATATAGAATTACCTGTGTTTAATTGCTTCCCATTACGCCGCTCTTGGATTCCTTGCTACACAACCATCGATTCAAAAATTCTTTGTCAAAACATTCTTGGTCGTCGCTGGACTAATCGTTAAAATAAGATAGCACTCTGGCGTGAAGTGATTAACCTAAACTCGGATGCACCTAAACACCAAGAAAATGGCGAGCTCCAGTTTAGAGAAACTATTCAAACGGATGGAGTAGGTGTAACTGTGATCAAGAAAAGAATGGATCGTGAAAGCAGATACACTGCTCGTTTTGCTGTTGTGATTAAACCAACTCAGTACATTTCACAAGAGATTGCTCAAGAAACTGTTGGAAGATGTGTTACAATTGATCCTGGACGAAGAGATTTGCTATTCTGTGTACATGAAAACTCTACCGCAAACAATCCAAACAAGTTTCGCTTTACCAAACAGTACCAAGACAAGTTTGAAAAAATTAAAAAATACCGTCGAATCCGTGAAGCTGTGAAACCCGCTAGAGTAGCAGCCGCTGAAAGGCTTTTGATTAATTATGATTCCTTGTATAGAGATGAATTTGAACAGTATCTTGAAAACAAGTCCAATATGACAGGCATCATCCAAAACCACTATGTCAACTTCCGAACCAACAATTGTACTGCTCATCCTTTGCAAAGAAAACTGCGGCTATCTGCCTATATTAGAAGACAGCAAGGAAACGAGGATCTTATTTCAAAACTAGATGAACAGTTTGGTGTCGAAGCTGTTTATGTCATGGGTAACTGGTCTGCTCCTAATACAAGATTCCATGAGCCGACCCGGGGCATTGGTTTCCGTCGGTTGCCTCAAAAAGTTGGTAAAAGGGTGTACTTGATTGATGATTTTAGAACAAGTCAGTGCTGCCCAGCCTGTGAACTTAGAAGTCTTGAAACGTTTCGGATGGTCAATAACCCGCACCCTCATAGACGAAGAGCAAATCCTTGTGTAATTAGACATGGTCTTAAGGTATGTTGATTTTACTTTTTAATAATTTTTTTTTTGTTCTTGTGACAAATGTACAAATCAAAATTGTAAAGCCATGACTCATAACATATATAGGATTGTTCCTCGTCTATGTGATAGTGATATGATTGCTTGCTTAAACATGGTTAATATTGTTCGTTCAATTCGTACTGAAAACGGTATTCCCCCAAGGTTTCGACGTGGAGAGGCTGTGTGTACACGTAATTATTCAAAAGTTTTTCCCCTAAAACTTAGGTCGGGTACATCTTCTAAACAACCACTACACTTACTCACTTGATAATAAATATTGCCCCACTGTGTTTTGAGACACATAAAGTTGGCCAAACGTGAGTACCTAAATATTGAAATTTAAGAATATTTTGATACGGCTCTTAAAGGTATGACTTCTCTGTTTGTCGCAAGGCAGGGAGAACACTACTGCTGTTGTATATACGATGCTTATACTGGTAAACCTAAAACTGTTGGACAACGTACCTTAAAAGTCAAATCATCACACAAGAACAGTTGCAAGAAATAATGAGAGCTGCTTTTGTGTTAGATGACTACTAAAGACCAAATTACTCAGTTGCATTGGATTAGAAGTTGATCATATATTGTTTATTTTTCGGTTGTGTCACATGAATGTTATTAAAGACAGTAAAATTCATATGATTTGACATAATCAGTATCGAGATTTCGATATTGAAGGGTAGTCAATTGTACCAGCCGAGTAATCTGTTCTGAAATCGTCCTCCTCTCTGATTGACTCTATGGCAATTGGTTACTTTTAAATAAGCGAGGCATAAGAAATGAAGACGTTACCTCTAGATTAGCATAAAACAGTTGTACGTCTGGAAAGGGTTGCAGGAGTGTATGTAGTTCGTTTTTACTGATGTTCCATTTTTCAGGAATATCCACTGTAGTTGATGTTTTTTTAGCTTCTGTAATTATTTAGTGATTGATTGTGTTTGGAAGATATACCTTTGGAAACAACAATGGCCAGATGGTGCGTTATGTATTTTGATGTCATTCTATTCAGGGCTTCCTCCAATAGGTCCAGACTGTATCTATTGACCATATCCACCATAATCAAAATATAGTCTACTCGAGGCAATTCATGCTGGGGTATCTCGGTGGCAGTGTTGCTAGATCGCAAATGAGGTTAAAACGTTGTGCGTGTGTGTAAAAATAATAATAATACACTTGAAAAAAGACTTGTCGACATTGTAGTAATTCCTTTGCTAAAGTTTGTTTACCAGAGAATGTAGGGCCTATCAACTACAGTTGTGTCAATGGTTCAAACTCAAGTGATCAATTGAATGGAGGATCTACCATTAACTCGAAAGGTCTACGTGTATATTGTGGTCTAAGCATTTTTCAAAAGAAATAATCAAAAGGTGGTGTAACAAAGGCTTATAAACCGCCTAAAAAAAAAAGGCCAATGATGTCATCAGCGGTGTTTTTTTTGGCACCATTCCAGCTTTTTTTTTTTTTTTTTTTTTTTTGTTCTGGTGAGTTGTATCGCGCGCGCAACACTGAACCATTTTTTTGGAATTTTTTTTTATTTTTATTTTATTTTTTTGCGACGGAGGGTAAAGGGTAAATATTATTCTTCTTTTCATGTTTTCAAAAATGAGTGTATTAAATCATGATTCCTTAGCCTTTTCTTCATTCTTTTTCTTGTAACCATTAAAATATCAACGATCCTGACATGGATAACACTCCATCCTCCTCTGCCCCTACAGCAGCCACACCAGAACAATTAAGCTTAAGCTCACTGACCACAGAAAAGTTGAACATTGTTCTTCAGGTAAAAAAAAATAAAAAAGATAAATACCTGTCCCTCCAGTTTGTAACACTTTAATCAGAGAGCAAAACAGCTGAAAGCCAATGGGGAAGTTGAAGACGGTCGAAACGAATTCTCGCAGCTCATGAACTTGCTTCGCTTGCTTCAACAAGCCAACGCACAACAGCAACAACAGCAACAACAGCAACAACAGCAACAACAACAGCAGCAACAGCAACAGCAACAACAGCAACAGCAACAGCAACAGCAACAGCAACAGCAACAGCAACAGCAACAGCAACAGCAACAGCAACAGCAACAGCAACAGCAACAGCAACAGCAACAGCAACAGCAACAGCAGCAACAGCAGCCAAAACCACAGACGTTAGCTCCTGCTCCTGTAGACACAAAACTTCAAACTATACTTCCTGCCAATGAAGCACACGCATTAACTCCAGCTGAAATGCAACAACAGCAGTTACAATTACTTCAACAGCATTTGTTACAGCAGCAGCAGCAACAGCAACAGCAACAGCAGCAACAACAACAACAGCAACAAACCCGTAAGTCCGCGTATTGCCTATTTTTTTCTTCTTCTTGGCGTACTAAACTTTACATGCGATAGCTACTCCTCCCCCTCCAACTCCAGCAGCACCTACAACACCCAACGGATCGCAAATGAACTTGCAATACCAAATGCTCGCTTACAACCTCCTGTCACAAAACCTCAATAATAAATCCGATTCAGATGCACCTATAGAAACCTTGTCGGGTGTAGAGGAAGTGCCCAAGACGATGGCCGAACGACTTGTGGAAGCCATTTATCAACAGTCGGTGGATTTTATCAGTTTGAGGACCAACAATGCTTTTTTGGCAGCTTCGGGACAGAATACGACGAGCGTAGCACCCCCTTTAACAGCATTAGAACTTTTATCGGGACAGCCTAGATCCCACGCTCATGCATCGAGACAACAACGTTTGTTATTACCCGATATTGCACCTAGAGGACTTTCACCGTATACAGTATTACAGGAACGAGAGAAACGGATTGAGCATCGTGCGCAGGAGAAAACAAAACTCTTGGAAGCTAGCATGGATCAAGATATGAGACAACCGTTAGGTTACTTGCTGACAGAATATTATGATGAGACGGTCAAGACGGCATCACCTGCTAAATTAAAGACAATTGTCCAATTACGATCTTTACAGTTACGTCAAAAGCAAACCAAGTTACGTGAAGAGATTGTTAAAAATATGGAGGAGGCAAATCGATTAGCAAACTCGGTGGATCGTACCGCCTATCGAAAGATTATGAAACAAACCTTACGTGAAGCTAAATTGACGGAGAAATTAGAACGACAACAACGTATGGACCGCGAAAAGAAGGAAAAGCAACGTCACCTGGATTATTTGCAGACTGTATGTAATCAAGGCCGTGACTTGATTACATGGCATAAATCACATCAGGCAAAAATGGGTAAATTGGGTAAAGCTATCTTGCAATTTCATGCACACATTGATAAAGAGGAACAAAGAAGATCCGATAAACGTTCCAAGGACCGTATTAGAGCTCTCCGTAACGATGATGAAGAGGCGTACTTAAAGTTAATTGATGAGGCCAAGGATACTCGTTTGACTTTACTTTTGAGACAAACTGGTACTTATCTCGAATCATTGACAAAAGCTGTGGTAGATCAACAAACAGAAAACTTGAATTTCCAAAATGACGAAGAAGATGATCAAGAGGAAATTGATGAGGAAATGATGTTGACCGTAAGTTTTTTTTTTTTTTTTTTTTTTTTTTTTCATTCTTGATTACCATAATTATATGTACTCATATCTATAAATAGGATTCCCATGGTAACAAGGTGGATTATTATAGAATGGCGCATCGTATCCAAGAAAAGGTTTCCCAGCCTGCAATGATGACAGGTGGTAAACTTAAAGATTATCAGGTAACATACATGTATAATAATTGTGACCATGTGCACCAGTTGGGCTTATACTTTTATACTTTATTTATAGGTCAAGGGTTTACAATGGATGGTATCACTTTATAATAATCGCTTGAACGGAATTCTTGCTGATGAAATGGGATTGGGTAAAACTATTCAGACGATCAGTCTCGTGACTTATCTAATTGAAAGCAAGCAACAGAACGGTCCCTTTTTAATCATTGTCCCACTTTCGTAAGTTTACCCGCTACAATATAACATAAGAAGGACTAAAAAGAAAATGCTTTTAAATTTAGGACATTGACAAATTGGGCGCTTGAATTTGAGAAATGGGCACCTTCTGTTACAATGATTTGCTACAAAGGTACACCAGATGTGCGTAAAGATATCCAGAAACGAGAGATCAAGCATCGCAACTTTCAAGTGCTTTTGACCACATTTGATTACATTATCAAGGATCGACCTGTGCTTTCAAAAATCAAATGGCAATACATGATTATTGATGAAGGACATCGTATGAAGAATACACAATCCAAATTGAATCTTGTGCTGAGACAGTTTTACTTTGCTCGTTATCGATTGATTTTAACCGGTACTCCGTTGCAGGTAATACATAGATTCAAGTTTTATTTAATGGAGTATTGATAGTGTGTCATCACATAGAATAATTTACCCGAATTGTGGGCATTGCTGAACTTTATTTTACCCAAAATTTTCAACTCTGTAAAGAGTTTTGAAGAATGGTTCAATACACCTTTTTCGAATCAAGGTGTACAAGATAAAGTGGAACTGAATGAAGAAGAACAATTGTTGATTATTAAACGTCTTCATAAGGTAAAAGAAAGATGTGCTGTGTGTGACATAATAATATGTAGATTAATTTGAATTTTTCTTGTGAAGGTGCTGCGTCCGTTCTTATTGCGACGATTGAAAAAGGATGTAGAATCAGAATTACCGGACAAGGTTGAAACTGTAATCAAATGTAAATTATCTGCACTGCAAGCAAGATTGTATTTCCAAATGAAGAAGTATGGTGTGTTATTTGGAAGCAGTTCTGCGAATGGGTAATATATAAGAAAGTTTTTTATATAGGAGAAAACTTATAAAAGAAATCTAGAAAAACAAGCATCAAGGGCTTAAATAATGCGATTATGCAGCTGCGTAAAATATGTAACCATCCCTTTGTGTTTGAGGAGGTAGAGCGAGTGATTAATCCTTACAAGATCAGTAATGAATTACTTTATCGTGTTTCTGGTAAATTCGATCTGTTGGATCGTATGCTTCCCAAATTGCGGGCCACTGGACATAGAGTAAAGTAACTCCCCTATTTGTGATTTAGATGCAAACACATGTATTTTCTCTTATACTAACTTTACTAAATCTTAAGGTCTTGATCTTTTTTCAAATGACACAAATCATGGACATTATGGAGGATTTCTGTATCTATCGAGGATTTAGACATTTACGTTTGGATGGTTCCACCAAGTCAGACGATCGGTCCAACCTGTTGCAAGTGTTTAATGCGCCAGATTCACCCTACTTTATGTTTCTTTTGAGTACAAGAGCCGGTGGTTTAGGTTTGAATTTGCAAACAGCTGACACCGTCATTATTTTCGACTCAGATTGGTAAAAAAAAAAACTATATACATATTGTACATGTATCATTCTTGTTTTGCTAACAGAAAATCTATCTCAGGAACCCGCATCAGGATCTTCAGGCTCAAGATCGTGCACATCGTATTGGACAGACCAAGGAGGTGCGAATCTTCCGGTTGATTACAGAAGATTCTGTGGAGGAGAGTATCCTGGCGCGAGCGCAATATAAATTGGATATTGATGGTAAAGTAATTCAAGCGGGTAAATTTGATCATCGCAGTACAGAAGAGGATCGAGAAGCATTTCTGAGGTCGCTTTTGGAAGACAAAGGAAACCCTGTGGAAGAAGCGAGAGAGGCAGAAGAAGAAAGTCAGGAGTTGGATGATGAAGAATTAAACACGATTTTAAAACGTTCGGACGCCGAATACGCCATCTTTCAAAAGATGGATCTGGAAAGACAGCGCATGGACGCTGAAGATTGGAAGCGTAAATATGGCGACAACGGAAAGAAACCTGAACGACTAATTCAAGACTGGGAATTGCCTGATATTTATCGATATGATCACATGGCGGAATATCAGAATGCAGTGGACGATTCTGTCATGGGTAGAGGCCAAAGATCTAGAGATAGCGTAAGATACGATGATGGTATGACTGAAAAGCAATGGTTACGACAAATAGAGAAGGATGAAGATGAGAATAAATCAAATAAGCGCGCCAAACCTAATTACCCGTAACGTGTATATATAAAAGGATTTAAGTGGTAGAATGTGACATAAACAGAAAAAATTTAAAAATAAAATAAAATCTTGTCAAATCGTTAGTTCCGTGTCACCTTCTTTAAACGTTGCACACGTGTATTAGACGATTTGCATTTATGCGACCATACAAAAAAAACAATGAATCGTTGCCTTGCAAATACTCCAATCAGGTGCGTTTAAAAAGTTCGTGATGTAGGTTGATTGGTAGTTTCCTAATTATTGTCCTCCCCCACTCCTAATTCTTTTGTATAAATAGATCCGAATTCTTACTTTTTTGGCTTCTCTCTCTCTCTCTTTCTTTTAATCTCTTTTTTCTATATATCCCAAATGCAAAATCACGGTGAAATCTCCATCGACACACCTCCTTCAAAAGATGCTTGGCCTTCCAGTTATTATGGGCGTACTCGTCGCATTGATTTAGAGAAATTCTATCACGACCTTTTAAAAAATAGCAACCACGATGAAAGCAGTAGTGATGATGAAGAAGACGAGCAAGTTAACCATATTAGCGTAGTTGGTGTAACATCTACCATTACAAAGACAAAGTCAACCAAAAAGGTCTCATTCTCCACAGAACCACCCACGGTGTATGAATATGAGGCAGAATACGATGAACCCACAAGAAAGGGTGACTCATTATTTGACGATGGGTGGCCGGGAAGAACAAAGAAGGCAATGAAGTCTAGTGGATTTATTGATTTCAAGTCTAAAATTGAGGCTAAATTAGGAGCCATCAATGACCCTTCGTTGATCTCACAATTAGATACGATATGTAATGAGCCCATCACCACAACATACGGTGGTTATCGACAACGTAAAAGTCCGCTTGTGCAGAAGCTAAATCTTCGCCCAATCCCGAACAGTGAAAAATTAGTTCAGCCCAGTCTTTTGATGGATGACACCCCTTCCCCTTCCAGTTCATATACTGACTCCCCACTCACACCAAGGGATTCTTATTCGTTACTTGAGCCTTCTGTTTCTTCTGCTTCTACCTCTTCAAGTAGCATTCTTTCGCCTGGTGGTAGTAAATGGTTAAATCGCACTTTATCAAGAATTCGAAATAATTCTCCATCACGATCAAAATAACTCTTTTTTTTTATCTTGTAAATACCCCCCATAACACACCCATTTTTATTCTTCCGTATACAGTACCTTCTCAATAATTAAAATTTTCATTTCATCACCCCCCAAAAATAACTATCCAATGAAATCGCATTGTCTTTTAAAGACAATTGTTGTTGATGTTGTCCAAATTAAGAAAAAGCTTTTTATATATTTTGGAGCGTTTTTTCGTTGTTGTATACTTTATAACTTTTTCTCTTTTTCTCTTTTAAACAACAATAAAAGATGGCATCCAGTAGTTCTGTTGCTGTTACCTCTTTGGATTATTCAACAAGTGAAAGTCAACCACCTTACAGAATATTAAATAGAATGTCCACCTTATTTGGAGGTAAAAAGAAGACGACTGTCAACCATGGTGCTTCCTCTTCATCATCCTCTGCGCCATTGCCCGATGATAATGATAATGATACACTGGTTGCTTCACAGGTAGACTCGCTGTTTCAAGAAGAGAGAAATACATCCTGTGTAGATTCTATGTATTCTTCACTTCAATCTCGTAGCTCTCGATATCGTCCAGCACCTACTAATCCAGATACACCTGCACCACTTCGGACCGTCCAACTGATGGACCCCGTTGTCCACTTACCTACACCTCCTCCTCCTGCTCCTCTTTCTCCACCCATCAAAGAGAATCCGCCCACTCCTCCATCACCCACACCTTCTACTTTACGAAAATCAACCCCTCCACCAGGCACCTCTTCACAAAAGGTTGAAGATGTGGAAGCCCAGTTCAAGCTGTTACTGGTAAAAAAGCAAACTTTAATTTGGAACACCGTTTTATTTTATTTGTCTTTCTAACTTCATTTTCCAGCGTGAATATGCTCCTTCAGCCGACCATATGAGCAACGTCAATAACTTAACCTTTGAACAAAAAGAAATGTTATTAAGATCCTCACGTTCACCTGCTTTACTTCGTAAAAATTCAACATTCTCTCATGTAATGCCTTCTTTTTCGTTAAAAGCGACGTTTGGCATGAAGAAATCCAAACCCCACAAGCAAGTCAACAATCCTGATTTTTTTTATAATTCACCCTATGCAGAGCCCAACAATAAGAGCGACGCTACATTAAGCTTGCCTGTGGATTTGAAGCCAAACAATACTGCGCCCGCTGGAAGGTATGGTCGTACAAGAGCTGCTTTACCCAATAGCCAGGAATCATATGGAAGAAGTACATCACGAAGCAAGCTCAAGTCAACGCCCGAATACTTTGTGCATCTGTTGAGAGAAACCCACGTAAGAGAGTTAGATGACGCTGAAGTACTCGATCTGCGTGTGTTCTTGAGAAGTGTTGTTGTGAGTTGGACGAGTGAATTCTTGGCTCAAGGAGGATACGAAGCCATTGCCAATCTTTTTAAGCAAATGAAAGAAGCTCCTAAACGGTAAACTAAAAAGAACGTAACATGATTGAAATATATATTTATATTTTTATTATTTATATATAACATAGACTTGCTAATGATAACCGTATGTTACAACATCTGGGCAAATGCCTTAAAACTATCATGACGCATCAATCAATGGGTACGCAAATTGTACTTACTAATCCTAGCGCCCTATTCCATATCCGCGATATACTATTTGGTCCAGCCAGTAAAAAGCAAAAGCAAGTGTACGGACTGGATATTACCACACGCAGTCTATTGCTCAATCTTTTATGTACATTAGCCACACTCCAGACTAATCGTACACCGCAAGTAGAGTACGTCCATGGCTATGATGTACTCCGACGTCTCTTACTGGACCGCCCTGCTGATCGATTGTATGAAGAGGAGGATAAGAAAAATCAGCCTAAACATGTCTCACCCTTTCCTATCTCGTTAAAGACAGATCCTAAAGAAATCTTGCAAATGATTATGGAGAAGGATCCTAACGGAGAGGCGATTGGTCAAGAATATGAATGGGACTGTGACGAGTTAAAGCCTCGTTATACATCTTGGATGCGAGAATTGCAGTATACGGTGGAGAGACATATTGAAACCATCACGTTTTTGGCACAAGTGTTGAACTATGACTTTAGAAGTGCGTACCGACAAATTAAACAAAGACAAAACTTGACTGAACAAGAAGCTGCAGCAGCTGCAGCGGCTCATCCTGATGCTTCAGGCGCGGTAATGACGGAAGAAGGCGTGGTGGATTATATTGTACGTACATGATTTGAAACATGGGCTTTAAGTCATTTTTTTTTTTTACTAACCTCATGATACAATTAGATCACTCATCTGCGACTGATTCGTACCGTGGTCACGACACAGCCAACTACATACACTGGATGCTATGATGAACGTGAACAAGAAAAGATGAGACGAGAATTAATGTTATCTGGCTTTGATAAAATATCTAAGGTAAAAAAAAAAAAAAGATAAACCTATCAAGTAATTCAATACAGCTGACAATCAATGATAGATTTTAATCCAGTGTCCTCATCCTACGGTTCGGTCTTCCTATATTAATTACTTGAGACCGCTTATGAGTCCATGTGCTGACTTATCTGTTCCTTTGGATCCAGTTCAAGATGTATTTGCATCACCACCACCTTTGCCTATGCGTCGAGATGTAGAAGGAGGATCAGACAATGAAGAGGATGATGATGACAGTCTGTATGATGATTATGAGCTTTCAGTGTACGCTAATGAAAATGCGGATCCTGAAAGTAATGTTTTAGGTGAAAGACAATGGAGCTACGAAGAAGATCCTTATTACGATGATATATTCCAAGACGAAGAATATATCGAGGATCATTTCAACTCTGAAAACGAGTCAGATATATCTGCTGGTAATTTTTCTGAAGATGAAGCATCATCTAAGCCAGCTACTACTACTCGTGTGATCAATTTGTTTGATCAACAATCTTGAATATTTATTTTCTCTCTCTCTCTTGCTATATACCATACACACACACCCTTTTCATCAATATTATTTTTCCCCCTTGTGCATTACTTTCTTTTTTTGAAACATTATATAAATTCAATTCCACCTTCTCTCTTTTTAATTATTGTGAATTAATAATTCTGATACTGTTTTTCTTTTTTTTCTTTTTTACCTGTGCGTCCCCGCACCATGCCATGCAGTTTAAAAAACAACATGAACCCTAAAAATAACTGTCCATTATTTTTTAGGCTTAGATTTTTATGAAACATTGATGAACAGGTCATGATGTCTTTATTTTTAATGATTTCAAAAGTATTATTAGGTACATGTTAAAAGGGGAGGGAGAAATAGTGTGTGTTAATTACACTGTAAAGTTTTTTTGTTCGCTTGTGTCGAGTTGACAGAATGTACCCTTTTCTTCAATAAAATAAGACCTCCTTGAGTTTTCCGGGCTACATTAAAATTAGGCTTACAACTTTGCATCATGAGTATGTGATGATGATGTGCATGAAAAAAAATCGTACATTGTAATTTTAAAACTATCCGTGTCAATGTAACTTGCATAATCAGTATACAGTCCAGCATTTAAAGTGACTACAGCATTATAAGTGCATCAGACATACAGTTGTATACCAACAATGTAAACTATTCTTAGTTATCCCTTAATGGAAACGATTAACTTTGGGTAATAGACGAGAAATGAGAAATTTGGCCTATTTCATTTGTTTGTGCAAAAGCATTGGTTAGTAGGCTTTCCGATAATTCATAAAGTATATAGTAGCTACCAGTTTGTGGCGCAAAGTAACTTATTGAACCAGGAGATTTGACATTTAGCACACAGATTGTAAGTCATATGACGCCCCATATCTAATCACGCTTTGTGATTTTATCAACAATTAACAATGATATCATCAATGATTCTAAGTCACGGAAACTTACAAATGGTCACTTTTTTCTCAAGTTTGATCAAACAAGGCTCTTTTAGTTATTTGGCTTGGGGGTCTCACACTACAGGCAATGTGTCTTCGATTATAGAAAGAAACATGATATAAATGTCTTCAGAAAGTGACACAAATGTTTCCACAACACAAAATCAGACTCGCTCGTTTACTCATATATACCATAGCAAAAATTTAACATTTTTTTTATTACATAAGAATATGCTTATAGTGGGTTTGTTTAGCAATTTACTAAATTAGTTGCTTCCAGACGTAATTTATCAATACCGAGTTTTTTTTCAAGTGCATCTGTTTCTGCTTTGAGCTTATTCTCCTGTTTTTTAACGGACTCAAAGCTGCCAATATAGTATATATACATGGGATTATTCTTTCTGCAATGCTTGGCACCTTTTGTAGACCATAAAAGCTCAATTTCAGATATGACAGCTGTAGGAACAAATCAATTAGTAAAATCAGTCATAAAAAAATGAAATTTTGTCTTATTTACCAGCAAAATGGCTCACCCTAAATAGTGAAGAATGTTTAATTATATTGGTCAACCTGCAATCATTGTAATATATTTACCACACTTTTTTTCCGAGCTTGTTCACATCTTCTACCGTACTTGACATGAGAGCACTAATAATATAAAGTGTTAATAATAAGATTCGAGCAAATAGACATGATACAATTAAGTAGCCTTACATGACCAAATTAAAGAAAATCAAGACAGTAATGAAAGAGAATACAATAGAAATACATATGAGCACTTTGTTATCACCTGCTTCACCGTCTTGCAAAGAGTCCCATACACCATAAACAAAAAACCACACTTGCGAAATAGTTTTGAATATGTTATTAAAGACATTATCAGAACTAACGTTGGCGATAGTCGTTTCACCTGATAAAGTGCCATTTAAAGAGGTGTAAGTGCCTTCGAATTGTTCTCGGAAATACTCATCAGGTTCCAGACGTAATAGCACAAATATTGCATGCGAAAAAGCAAAAATAACAAGCATCATAATCATGAGCACCGAAGCGACGTTTCTGCAAAGTTGAATAATAATTTCCAGAGTAATACCCTATCCGACAATTGTTTTAGTTTAATAGTTAAAAAAGTTCTTTTCTGATGAAAAATATGTGGCAATATTGGTACTTACAAAATATGATATTGCACGTAATCTCAAGATAGCATGTGTCCACAAAATAAGAGTGCTAATACTACAAACTTCGTTCTATAAAACAGGTTAGTTAATAATTCATACGCTATCTTAAAAAATGATGACTTACAAAATAATCCCAACGATTGACTAGTTGTAAGAGTGTGTAAATCGGAAATATAAATGATGCCATGTCAATCCAGTTATAGCATGATAAAAAGTAATTAAGTCTACAGTGCGAGTTCCAAAATTGACGTAATTCTTGTCCCCATAGTATAATAATGGAAATACCCATCAAAACAACTGAGATAATCTGACCAGGGGAATCTAAAACAAAGTCTTTCTCTGGGTCATGATAAAACAATTCTTGGGAAAACAGCACGCCTGTAGAGTAAGAAACATAATAAAGGGCATGTATAGAACAGATTGCTATAAATCTCCATCGAGCAAATTGCTTCCACTTGTACTCAAGCATGACTTCGAGAACTGTGTCGCCTTGATGAAAAATACTGTTGTCATCTTGATCAATAGCCAATTGGACAAACGCACTATTGTCTTTGTATGTAATTACATCGACACGATTCGATTTGCAAAGTCTTGGTCGGTCTTCCGGAAAGCTACTGTATGAGTTTAAATGAGGAAGGGGGACTACGCATACTTTTGATAATACTTTGGGATCTTTTTTTGACTGATCAAATAGCATCCGAATGTATTTTCTGATGTAAACTCTGTAATAGAATCCAATATCTGATCTCAAATCGCTGCTTGTAAAATAATCAAAATAAAGTCGCTTGATTTTGTAAATAAATAGTGTGCGGCTACTGTATGTTTGGATTTGTTCCATGATAGCGTGTGTTTCCAAATTTCGACTACGAGAGATATATTCTTTCTGGGCCGTCTTTACTTTCATCACATGTGTGATTTCAGATTTTAGTGCACCCAACTTTCCTTGTTCAATGTGTAAATAAGACAAGTTTTTACTGCTGCTAAGTAAAAGATCTATAGTCACAAAATAACATAGTTAATATATTAACCTATATAGTTATAAATTATATATGCTTACCCACGTTTCCTTCTACTTGAAGAAGTAAAAGAGCGTCTGTCAAAGAAGATAGGCAGCCAGGTCCCAGCTTTTTAGAGTCTGCTAAAATTCGGTTAAAAAGAAGTTGATACATCTCATAACTTAAATCTTCTATCAAAACCGTCAAAACATTTTCATTCGAGACCATGGACTGATTATTCTGGACATGCTTATTGAATCTTGGTGGAGAGTCTCTATATGCCATTTTGTAATTTACTGATATGCTATTTGTGCCTGAATCGGTGCCATTAAAATTTCTGATACTTGGAGCATTCATTCTTGATGTTTTGAGTCGTTCCCTGTCATCATAATCATCGGGGGTTTCAAAGATTTCAGGTATAGGTTTTGCATAGCTGAAGATACTGATTGGAATTGGTTGAATAACAATCAGTTTAATAATTTCTTTTCCCATTTCGAAGGAAGCTAGCATAGCTAATGTTCTACTGCCAGCAATAGTTGAAAAAAAATTAGATTCTTTATCAATATTTTTAATGGCTGTTTTAACCAGATGTTCAGTCTTTTTACACAGTATTTTGTGATTATTCTAACAGCAAAAAAAAAACCAGCAACAAAAGTCTGTTGGTTAGCGATTAATCATAAATAATGCTTCTTTTTTCTTTACCTGGTACTGAGTTGTACGCTCTCCAATATCAACGCTTTTGATATAGATTGTAGAAAGATAATGTAAAGCTTGACATGCACTCTCCAATTTATGATAATTAAACTTAAATTCATCTTCATTATGCTCGTCTGAATTCTGTGTTACTGAAGACAAATGTTCCATTGATTGTCTGCGTATAGGATCTTTGGGAAATAGCAATTCATGCACAGGTAAAAAAATCTCTTCGGTATGGTAGCTCTTATCAGGTTCGCTTCCACTTTTATAAGCCTGATCATTAGTCTCCTTGATATTCACCAGCATGCGACCAAAAGAATTACCGCCAATAAACAAAATTTTGGAAAAATCCTGGATCTGCCATGTTTCTCGGAATGAGTAATCGATCCCGTAATGAGGGCCTTTGTAAGCTCGTATATAAATGAGATCATCATTTTCAAAAGCACATCCTCCAGAAGTCTCGTTCCCGTTTAAGCGCCATAACTGTACAGTGTGTTTACCAAAACGGATCAAATATTTGGCCCTCTTAATTTCAAAATGACCGCATTTGATTCCATCATATTCGTCCAAATTGTTCAGAATTTCTGTCTGTTCATAGTATGTCGGAATGGAGTTTTCTACCCATTTTATGTCAATATTTGTTTGTACCCTATCAATATCCAATTCAATGAATGTAGTAGCAAGGTTCCCATTTTCAAAAGATGTATAAAATCCCTTCAGACACTTGTCTCCGTTACTGTTGACCCCTCGTGTCACGAACGGCTGAACTACCTTGAGGAGCCTTCTGTCTCTGCTGTATAAATCAGAGTTTGGCTTGGTCGTAAGTGAAACTGTTGTTCTATAAATGAGTTCCTCTGCTTCAATATACCAGACTACGAATACCACTTGGTCTCCTTCCCATCCAGACATAGCAATATACCGGCCATCGTAGCAAAATCTGATGTGTGCAACTTCAAACGAGGCGGATAAATCTACCGCTCGAGATTTCAATTGGTATACAAGCAATCCACTTTTCACATTGTAGATATTGATTGCTCTAGTCCCTTCAACGTAAGCAGCAGTATATTTGTAATGTTTAGAAAATGCCATTACGTGCTGATTCAAAGCGGAGAAAGAAGTCAGCCTTACACCATCTTCGATCATTGACCAAACGCGAACAATACCATCTATGAAAGGTGTGACCAAAACGTTGTGCCGTATGTGTCTTGAAAATGTAATGATTCTTTTTGTATCTTCATGGATATCAGTCCTAAGGCTACTAGAATCTGCAACCTCGGGCTTGTTGATGTCAATCCATGGGGCATTTTCAATGTAGGATTTGTGACCCTGGGCATTTTCGTGCGCCAAGCCATTAGCTGTAATAAAAGGATGTAAATCAAACAGGAAGCTTATTGATATATTGTTGGGAAAGTTGTCATACACCTTTATTGTTGTACTCTGGACTAATGCTAAAGACAGCGTGTTTTTAGTCAAGAAAACAGCACGACCATCACATTTAATTTTGTGGCTAAGCTTAAGTACACCTTGCTTTGATTCAAACACCAGGCAGTTGGGATTTTTAGGCGGCCAAAGTTTTCCATTTATTTGTTTAATTCTTTCACAAAATGACAGCACCACATAATTTCCATCTCCTGATATAGATAAAAATTTGCAGTGACTATCACCAATTATTTTAATTTCATCAGTAATATCCATGCTGAAATGCTCGAGGTCGATATTTTCTTTTAAAAGATTATCCACTACTGTCTCCTCATCACCAGTTTTTGGGTTGATCGAAGTAAATCTTCGTCTTGTCAGATAGGTACGTTTTTCTCTCTTTTTCATCTTATATGTCTGTGACCCTTCTTCAAGTTGATGACTGATGTAACAAATCCATTTTTTATCAGGCGATATATCAAGCAGTATAACTTCTGTGTTTTTATGGTTGTTATCAATAGGAGGTTCATTTGGGGCACTTGTTCTCTGTGGAATTAGATTTTCGCGCTCCTCGTCTGGATCAAAAGATATAACTGTCTCTATATTGCCAGGCATTTTTACAGTTAAAATAAAGAAAAAAAAGTGTGGTAATTACATTAGACTATAAATTACTCTTTATGCTAGATTGTGCCTGCTGACGCGACATTAAAAAAAAGAAACGCCGTCGCTTAAAAGGATGAACAATAACAAACAACGCAAGCTTATTTGAGTAACTATTAAATTCAGTTTTTTTTTTTTTTTTTTTTTTTTTTTTTTTTTTTTTTTTTTTTTTTTTTTTTGGTTTCTTTCAGTTTTCTAAAATAATCATTGTTCGTTTAAGAGATGCAAAAAGTTGGCCTTCCTTTACTCATAGATGAAAGTTAAGATTATTGCTTTTTTCTGCGATCGTGGCGCCTAACTATTGCAATGTTACACACGACCTGCGGATTGAAGCAATTGTTTTTTCTATTTTAAGCGGCTGTGGATAAAACGAACAGTTTGCAAACTATCAATAATATTGACGCCATATAATGCCATGTTTGAAATTACTTTGACTGATATTCAGCAGTTGGAATCAATATAATACAAATGTAAATGAATAAAGTTTGACGCTAATGTGGTGCTGAACCTGAGTATCATTTTTTGGTTACACGGTTTGAATGTACATTGATGTATCAGTCTATGCATGCTTTTTCTAAGCCTTTAAAAAACAGAATCTAAGAATTTTTGACAGTTTGTGCATTTATGTTTGAGCAATAACTCCGTTATCAATTTTTCTTTCCTTTTTGTTTACTTGATCATCACCTGTGTAACTGAACTTCAGAAGTTCGAAACAAATCTTAATTATAAACAAATTGGGACTCAGTATACTACTGATAGTTTTGTGAGGACTGCACATGATAAAGAACAAACAAAATCAGAAATATTTTATTTTCAAGATCAGGGTAAGTAGACGATGGTGATTAATCGTAGAAAATAATTTTTATTTACATATACGAATGATTAAATTTTAAAACAACCCTATTCATAAATATGCACGAAAGCCTTTTTATGTCATTTTTGTGCTTTGGAAACAAATTTTTGGTTAAGATAATAAGATTTTATTTTATTTAATACTGATTATAGTTATGTCATAATAAATCAAGACGGTCTTCCGTAATTTATAGACTAGAGATAATTTGCATTCATTTTTTTTAAAAGGGCGGCCGTCTCTTCACGAAGCTTCTCTTCGTGTTTCATCACAGAATCGTAGCTTGCTATGTAATATATGTATGTCGGGTTATTCTTCCGGCAATGTTTGGAGTTGTCAAAGCACCATAAAAGTTCAATTTCTGAAACAACAGCTGTAAAAAACTCGATGGTTAATATCACGTTTTTGACAGTTTTTTTTTTTACGTACCAGCAAAATGACTAACCCTATTGTACAAAAAATTCAAACATTAATATGCTTTCTTGATAAACTTGATTCAAATTCTAGTGCTATTAGCTTACCAAACCTTCTTTCCTCGCTTCTTCACTTCTTCAACTGTGCTCGCCATAAGGGCGCTTTGTAATTGGTTGTTAGTATTTGGGCATAGATTACATTAAACCGATATACAAAATACTTACATAACCAAGTTGAAAAATATGAGTACAGTTACTAGAGAAAAGATGATAGAAATACACATAATCATTTTGTTATCTCCTGCGTCGCCGTCATTCAAAGGATCCCATACGCCATAAACAAAGAACCAAACTTGAGAAAAAGCTTTAAACCAATCTTGGAAGCCATTGTCAGCACTGACATCTGCAAAATTAGCTTCTCCAGATGGTCCATTATCTGCAACACTGAAAGTGCCACTATAATTTTCTTGAAAATACTCATGAAACTGTTGACGCAATAAGACGATGTAAGCATTGGTAAAAGCGATAATGACTAGTAGCATAATAAAAAGCACCGCTGCGACATTTTTACTAAGCTGTATAATAGTCTCCAAAGTGATACCCTAATTGAAATAAATTGTAAGTACGTTAAGCTGAAATATCATTTAATTATGCTCACTTACAAAGTACGATATTACACGTAGTCTTAATATACCGTGTGTCCACAAAATTAGAGTGCTGACACTGCAGACCTCGTACTATAATACATCAATGACACTTTCATTGTTTGGTATTGTTATCAACTTACAAAATTGTCCCAGCCACATATCAATTGAATGAGAGTGAATATAGGAAATACAAATGCAGATATATCAATCCAGTTGTATCCCGAAAAAAAGTAGTCCAGTCTACTATGAGTCTTCCAGAATTGGCGAATCTCTTGTAGTATAAGTAAAGAAACCGAGAGACACATCAAGGTCACTGAAATAATTTGCCCTGGATCTTTTATAACATATCTTTCAGAACTTTGTTCATACAGCTCCTCAGCGAATAGTACACCCGTAGAGTATGATATATAATATACGACATGTACTGCACAAATTCCAACAAACCTCCACCGAGCAAACTCCCTCCACTTATATTGAAGCATGACTTCAAGCACTGTATCGCCTTGTCTAAAGATGTTATTACTGTTTTGATCTAGTGCAACTCGGACAAACGCGCTGCTGTCTTTGTGGGTATTGACATTGCTGATCCCATAATTAGTGTTTCTAGGCCTGTCTTCGGGAAAATTGCTGTATGAGTTAAAGTGAGGAAGCGGCACCACACATACTTTAGATAGCTTTTTCCCTTCTTTTCTTGATTGCATGAACAATTTTCTCCAGTTGTTTCTAATATTAAGCCTCCAAAAACGTCTAACTTTTTTTCTGATATCATTAAAGGCTTCGTTATAAAAATCACTGTGATGATATATGCATTTGATTTTGTAGAATATAAGCTGAAAGTTGCTATACTTTGTGATTTGCTCCATTATTGCATGAGTTTCTAAATTTCTAAAGCTTGAAATATATTCCTTTTTCAATGCCTTTACGTTCATAACGTGACTTATTTCCGATTCCAAAACACCTAGCTTGTCTTTTTCGATTTCCAAGTAGGACAGCTTCTGACTGCTACTAAGCAGAAGATCTGAAACACAAATAAGTAAGATGAAGTATTTAGTATTTAATTCATTGTTTTGGGTTAATACTTACCACTATTTCCCTCTTCTTGAAGTAATAAGAGTGCTTCCGTTAGCGATGAAAGGCAACCAGGACCCATTTTTTTAGAATCAGATAAGATTCTGTTGAAAATTAATCGATACATATCGTAGCTCAATTCATTGATTAAAACTGTCAACACATTCTCGTTCGAGGCAATGGATTGACTGTCTTCCGTTACTCTACTCGGTTTTCTTATAGAATTTCTGTAAAGAGATGTTTTTGCCGATGCATTTGTATTACCGAGCTTTTTTTCCATCTTTTCCCATTTTTCTCGTTGTTTTTTTTCTGCCTGCTTTCTTTCATATCTTTCATCTTCATCTTCATCTGGATCAGGCAATTTTGATATAGGTCTAGCGTAGCTAAAAATACTTATAGGAATAGGTTTAACCACTATTGCTTTTATAATTTCTCTGCCACTTTTGAAGGAAGCAAGCATGGCTAACGTTCGGCTACCCGCAATTGTGGAGAAAAAGTTCGATTTCACATCAATATTTTCAATTGCTGATCGAATAAGTTGTTCTGTTTTCCTACTTATGGTTTCAAGATTTTTCTGTAGGAACAAAATAAGATATAAATTTTAGTCAGTCAAATTTTCGGTTATCATTATGGCTTACCTTGTATTTCAGCTGATCAGTAATATTCAAGCCACTACTTCCTTTTTCGATATTTGAAAGATAATGTAATGCTTGACAAGCGCTTTCTAATTTGTGATAGTCAAATTTGGCATTGTATGTCTCGTTTGTAGCAAAGGGGTTTCGAGAATTAGAGAGTCTATTTGATGGGTTTTTAAATGAGAACAATAGTTCATCCAATGGCAGAAAAATCTCTTCGGTATGATAGCTTGCACTCAACTCGCTTCTGTCGTTGTCATTCTCTTCTGTCGTTTCTGTGATATTAACCAACATTCTTCCAGATGGAGTACCACCAATAAATTTTATACTGTCAAATTTACTGATTCGCCATGTTTCACGAAATGAATATTCAAGACCATAATCTGGCCCCTTGTAAGCTCGAATGTACAAAAGGTCGTCGTTTTCGGAAATAAAATTTTTCACAGAACCAGTATCACTGTTTGGTCTCCAAAGTTGAACAGTATGTTTACCAAAACGAATTAGGTATCTTTTCTCTTCAATGTTAAAGTGGCCACACATAAGATTGTTGAATTCATCTAAATTGTTCTCTATTTCGAACGTGTTTTTGTATGCGAGAACGGAATTTCTCACCCAGTTTATGTTGATGTCCGAGCATACTTTATCAATATCTAACTCGACAAATGTTGTTGCAAGCACACCATCCTTAAATGATGTGTAAAATCCTTTAAGGCATTTCTGTCCATCAGCAGTCAATCCTCGTGTAACAAATGGCTGCACTAGTTTCATTAGCTTATTTTCGTCGCTGTATGACGCAGACTTTGGCCTCACTGGAAGTCTCTCTGTCGTTCTGTAAATTGATTCCTCGGCCTCGATGTACCAGACTTCAAAGACTACATTATTTTCTTCCCATCCTGATGTAGCGAGATAACGGCCATCATAACAAAACCTAACATGCGCCACTTCAAAGGCAGAGCCTGAATTTTCTGCTTGAGATTTCAGTTGATACACAAGTAATCCACTTTTGACATTGTAGATGTTGATAGATTTTGTTCCTTCAATATAAGCTGCTGCGTACTTATAATCTTTAGAAAATGCCATGACATGTTGGTTTTTGGCAGAAAATGAAGTAAATCGTACACCATCTTCAATAATTGACCAGACACGAACAATACCACCACGGAATGGCGTAGTCAATATATTATGTCTAATGTGTCTTGTAAATGTGATGACTCTTCTCAAATCTTGATTTTCTTCGTCTCTTTTTATATCCACCCACGATGAATTTTGAATAAAGGATTCGTGATCTTCTACACCCTCATGAAGATATTTTTCTGATGAGATAAATGGGTGCAAATCGAACAAAAAGCTTACAGCTTTATTTTTTGGAAAATTCTCGTATACTTTTACTGTTGTTTTGTTGATCAGAGCTAGAGTGCAATTACTCCCACTCAAAAAGACCGCACGTCCATTGCATCTGAGTGTATGTCTAAGCCGAAACGTACTGTTACTAACTTCATAAATTAAACAATTAGGATTGTTCGAATCTCTGTATCCTGACTGCGATGCTAGATTTCTTTCATAAAACGATAATGCGACGTATCTTCCATCATTAGAAATCGACAAAAATTTGCAGTGATGTGAGCCTCCGTTTTTTATATCATCAGTAATATCAACGCTAAAATGGTCTGCATCATAATTTTGTGTATCACTGTAGCTGATTACTGCTTCATCTTTTTTTGTTACTGGGTTAACAGCAGTGAATCTTCGTCTAGTGATGCAAAAACGTTTTTTCTTGCCTCCCATTTCATATCCCAATAATCCGTCATTTTTTTGCTGGCAGGTAACATATGAAATCCATTTTTTGTCTAAAGATATATCAAGTAATATTACTTCGTTTGTCTCCGTGTTATTGTAAATTGGGGGCACGTACTGAAAATTTGCTAGTTGACTGACAAGGCTGGAGTCTTCATTTTCTTGAATAGGATTGATAGAGGAGCCTCTTTCTAAATCAAAATTCATGCCACTGATTTATTTTGGTGAAGAAAGAAGGGAAGGGAAAACGTGTTAATTGTTTATCTCTGTTTGTATTTTAATGGCTGACACAATCAAGAGTAGCCATCGCACAAAAAATATTCATGTGGTACAATGTGATATAATTGATGAAGTCTTTAACTACAGTCTGTCCACTCTTAAAAGAAACACTTTTTAAAATAAAATAGAACGTTTAAATAATAAAGTTCGAACTTAATTTTGAATACCTTTCGAACTTCAATTTGAACAAAATATGACCATGCATAAGTAACTATGTTTTTTGTTGTACCAATTCCCAAATCTGTTTGGTGCAACAAAGAAAATATATGCTTGTGCAGAGCCTGTGAATTTTAGTTTGATCATTATTTTTACTTCCTTATCTTACTCTCATAATTCATACTAATCTTATTTTACAGGGCGGCAAACGCAGCTATTTTATTTGAGCGTATTATACGCGTAATATCAGCATAAATAAATAATAATAATATAGACTAATTTACCAATAAACTAATACTGTTTAGTTATAGTTTAAGAAGAAACAAGTTGTGGATTTGCATTAAATTTTTTTCAGGAAAGTCATATTGCTATTTAACACATCTGTAAAGATCCACGCATCGAATAAAAGGGACTTTATTAATTATAAACCATTGTTTAATCAACTACATCTATTCTTTCTGATGCATAAGGATGTTTGCTTCCACTACAAAAAAAGAAAGAGACAAGCCTGAACCATATTGTAATAGCTTAATAGTAGTTATACGCTAGCATTTTTATTTAAAGTAAACGCAGTGGGGAAGACAGCCATGAGACGAAAACTTTAGAATTGTGGGTTTCTGTCTGAAAAAAACAATTTTTTTGGTAACGTCTGGAAGTCTTGTTTTCTTCTTGATTGTTGGGGGAATCTATGTTTGTCTTCCCCATGAAGGGTTGCTGCTATTGTTGTCTTCGTTATCACCTCCTGTCAAGCCAAAAGCCAAAATGTTGGTGGTGGTAGCCTTTCTTATTTATTAGAATACTTTGTCAAAAAATCAGAGAATCTTATGCATCGGAGACACGTGTCCGAAAATGTTTTGTAAAAGATACGCTTTTCGGAATAAATAAAAAGCCTGGGCAATGATGATCAAAAGGACATACTTTTGCTTTTTCTTTTTTGTCAGTGCTCTTGAATTTTGAATTGTATGATTCCAGGTGTTAAAAATTAAAAGGGTATTTTCGGGTTGTAGGGTCAAGTATAATAGGCATTCAATGCATGAATATGATGCAAGTCATTTTTATGAGGTTACACGGAATATGCGTCCTCTGTGAATTATATGAATTGATTTAGGGATGTGTATAAAATGCTCTATAAGAACTTCTCATTATGTAGCAAACAAGAAAGATGATTTAAATGCCTGGATATTTTAAAGTAAAGTATACGGAAGAAGTAATAATTTCACTGCTAGTACCAGTTAATTGTAAAAGGAAGCAATATCTGTTATTTTTTTATATATGTTTTACACACACAATTCTGCCAAAGGTTTCACCATATTAAGGAATGCATGTAATTAAAAAATTAAATAGGTACAAATATGAAAGATTAAAAACGCGGAAATAAATATGATATGTTGCACTAATAGTAGTTTTGCTGATTTTGGTATTGTTGCTGCTGTTGTTGCTGATGGTAACTTGGGGATTGTTGGTATTGTTGATGATGAATATTGTTCGAAATATTGTTATATGGCGAAGACCGAGGTTGAGGTTGTGCATGAGAAGTAAGACCGACTTGATCACTGGTAACTGACGATAGACTGTTTCTTCTTCCGACATATGGTGGATCCATAACCACGCTGACATTTGAAGACGAAGACTGCTGATAAAAGCCAGGTCGATGATGATTTCCAGTGACTGGTTGGCCCCCGTAACTAGAGTGAGGGGCGTTATAGACTGGCTGCTGATAGCCGTACACCTGATTGCTATAACTCGGCTGCTGACTGTGACCCTGGCTGCTGTAACTTGGCTGCTGACTGTGGCCATAATTATGATTAGACTGGCTGCTGTAACTGTTCTGCTGCTGATGATGACTATAAGGAGCCTTATTTGGAGGCAATTGGCTCATATTTACTTTTGGTAGCGTGGGCTGAGCTAATGAGCGCATTTCGATATCATTTTTCTTTGATTTCTTTGCTAAATTATCTCCTTTTATTCTCTTTTGAGCTTGTTTCTTCAACAACTCTTCAATTCTTATAATAATAAGTTCAGTATATATGTTGAAGCAGATCATAGATTGAACAAACCTTTTGTCTACTTTATGACAGCAATATTCTTTTAAGTTGCCTTGAATGTGGCAAAGGAGCGGGATATAAATAATGGCGGCTGCACAAATTAAAATAAAAGAGATGGCAAATACAACCACCGAGAAAATCATGGTCCCTGTCATGATCTGTTGCATTCTTGTTTTTCCTAATCCATTGTATTCTAATTTCAATCCGTCGCTGATATTAATCCATTTTGGTATAATGGTTATCAAAGTAACAATATTGATGACTTGTCTAGGTGCTTCCGCTAAGAGGATTCTTTTCCAACCTGGGTGGTTAATTAGTAAAAGATACCTTATTTGGGGCAATGTTAAAATGTACTCACTTTTAAGTGTAAAGAACACAAAAAATGCAATTGAATCAATTGATTTTCTAGAATCGTTAATCTTTCTAAACAAACAAAAGTAATTGTAATCCTTTGTTGAGTACCATCCATTAGCAATGGCTGAGAAAAATGCTAGTGAGATGTCCTTTGAAGCGATGATACTTCTCGATTTGATAATATCCCAGAATAATAGGATGAAAGAAATAAGAATGGCACCCAAGAAAATCCACTTTGCTACTTCCGGTGGGATTGATGCATCTGCGTTAATACTAGCATTACCAATGACCAGTAAAGATATTGCAGTGTATAAATCAGCTGTCATTGTCAAGATGTTTTTGATAATGATTACAAACATAACGACATAACTGAATCTTGCAGAAATTGAGTCGTCTCTGAACTCGCGAATATCGATGTAGTTAAATTTATGATCTTTTACTACTTCTCGCTTCCATTTGGGACCTTTATTACCTCCACAACACTATTATAAACTGTTAATTTAGACTCTGAACAAAATTCAGATGCTTAAAAAGATTTACAGATGTCGACTTGCCATTACAAAAATTGAAGAACAGAATGAATGCTTTTGGAAATGGTGTGTACTTGTTATGAAGAAATACTTTTTGCTTTGAAAAGAAGAGAAAAACAATACAATAAGAGTCGAACCATTATAAATGTTTTTTTTTGTAAAGATAGTAGGCAACCAGGCACGTTCAAAGAGAATCTCGGAGTTTCTGGATGTTTTATAATTAGCAACAACAATTATCAAATAGGGTAACAACTTTAAAATCCATTGTACTAAATAAGGTTTATTTGTGTAGAATGTCAAAATAATAATAATTATGGCTTGATAACATTTTCAATGAAGAAAGTGTTTCCGCTAGACACAATATTACCAGCAGGAGAAAAAGAGCAGACAAAAAGAGATGAACCTTTACAAATTTTGACACCACAACCAATCATGGTGGTGGATTTCCAGACAAGAGCAGAAAATGCACCAGTGTTTCCACTGAATCCGGGCTTATCATAATTGTAGTTGCTGACTTCATTGTACCAGCCATTGATGACGCTAGTCCAGGTAGTATACCCCATAGCTAAGTTCTCGCCATAAGGGCCACCGCTATGCTTGAATCTACACATATCGCTCCAACTTTGAGCATAATTAGCTAAGCTCTCGTCCCATTTTAATGCAGGGGAATGATGTCTAGCACGAAGTTTATTAATGATTGGAAGGATTTCCGTTGGGGAGGCCTCCAATTCGGCGGTGACTTGTTTAGTTAGGAGTGCTAAAGCAACAAGGATGGCAGATAAAAGAATGACGAAACGGGACATGTTGAGAAGGAAGATGACGATGATAATAAAAAGGCTCTTCTTTTATAGTTTTTCTATGTAACACCAAATCATATTGATCGCCCCCCCCCCTTTCTTTTTGAAAAAAATTTGATAATCCCCTCCATAAGGCAAATATAATCTTATATTTCCACACTTCTCAGCCAAAATACGCCTCAGATACTTACAAATGTTACGCGGGCAATATAGTAAACTTGAGTTTTAAAAATGTTTTATTTGAAAAAAGTCGTCTGCCTGACAAAAGGAATAAAAAGATGTGGTATTTATACCAAGTATATGACGGCTTCAAAAAGAGGGATGATGATTCATGTAAGAGGTTAAGAATAAAAGAATATGCAGAAGTAGTAGTCAGATACTAAAAGAGGGCATGGGCTTGTAAGCATAGCGTACTATCTTACTTTTTTGACTGAGGAGTGTGAAAATATTAGGTAATAATTGCCTTATGAAGGGGGCGCAAAAAGAGGGTCGACCCAAAAAGGTCAATTTCATTAAATCATGTATGTAATATAAAACTTTACTTGAGACGATCTATTCTAATTATTACATTTGTTTGTATTCCGAATTCCCTCACCAAGTTCTTTTTTTTAAAACATTTTAAACAAACAGCAGAGGTGCATTTGGTTCCCATAACTTTACCCAGGCAATAGTACGTAATCCACAACCATTGCATGTTTTCCTCTGGCATTGGAGCCTTTATTTGATACAATTGGAGGAGTAGCCATACCATGTGAGTAATAACAATTGTATAGTAGAGTGGCGAGAGGTGTTGGGACTGCTGTACCATAACAGCGAGTTGAATCACTAAATAAGTAAACGGGATGGTCTGGGTTTGGAGAGAAAGTGATAGGTAAGACTTTGTTATAAGCAAGGGCCGGAGGAGGCAATATTTGTGTCTCATTTGTGCATAGATGTATACTTATTTGAGGAAGACTGGGTAAATTGGGGCTTGCTGTTGATATAGGGGCCTTCCTAGTTCTAATATCGTTAATTACAACTTCGATAATATTGTGGTGGATGCTTCGAGTTGTTTTGACAGCCTCCTGTTTCTTCGAATGATTGAAATACTTATCCAAATGTTCTGGTAATTTGTAAAAAATAGTTTCATCATTTGCATTCTTTCTCCACTTGTGAGAAAAATGTTCAAAGTTTAAAAGCAAAATGATCACTGTATATTTTAGAGAATATAAAAATCTCTTCCAAAGTGTGAACAGCAACTACAACATATTTGGTCTTTTGCGACTTAGCAAAACACCAGTGTTAATTCAGAGTTTTATTGGGTAATATTATCCAATCACATTTCGATTTAACACTGGAGTTTTAGCCATCAAGATGGTGTGAAAATATAAGGTAGCGTAATAATTGCCTTATGGAGGGGGTATCAACAATTATGAAATAGTAACAATTTTAAAATCCATTGTATTACATAAGGTTTATTTGTGTGGAATGTCAAAATAATAATAATTATGGCTTGATAACATTTTCAATGAAGAAAGTGTTTCCGCTAGACACAATGTTACCAGGGGCGGAGAAAGAGCAGGTATATAATTTACCGTTAGGACAAGATTTGACACCACAACCAATCTTGGTAGTGGATTTCCAGACGACAGCAGTAAAGTGACCAGTGTTTCCACCGAATCCGGGCTTATCGTAATTGTAGTTGCTGACTTCATTGTACCAGCCATTGATGACGCTAGTCCAGGTAGGATAGCCCATAGCTAAGTTCTCGCCATAAGGTCCAGCGCTATGCTTGAATTCACACTTGTTGCTCCACTTTTGGGCATAAGTAGCTAATTTCTTGTCCCATTTTAATGCTGGGGAATGATGTTTGGCACGAAGTTTATTAGTGATGGAAAGGATTGACTTTGAGGAGGCCGTGGATGTGGCGGTGGCTTGTTGAGTAAGGAGTGCTAAAGCGACAAGAATGGCAGATAAAAGAATGACGAAACGGGACATGTTGAGAGGGAAGATGATGATAATAATAAAAAAATTCATTTCGTCGTCTTCTTTTATATATGTTCTTTCTATGTTACACCAAATCATTTATAAATTATTTAAATTATTCTGCAGAAGATCTTTCACGAGTCAAATATCCATTCGCAGTTACATTTATCTTGAACCAAATACTTTACTTATGTATAAAATTTTCTGGTGTCACAAATCAGCAGAATAATGAGCTTAGATACCCTAAACAACTTATGATATAGAAAAACCGTGTATTAATATGAAAAATTATACCCAAATATCGATGAAAGCGACCCCTTATGCCCTATGCTTTGTGACTCGAATGCAATTACACAACGTAATTATAATCAAAGCACTGAAACGGTACACAAGTAATATTTGAATAGTACAAAAAATTTAATACACTAGAACTAAAAAAAAAGCAAACGGGTTTAGCATCTCAATATACAAAATAAAATTAATGCAATATTTTCTAGAGCTGAGTTCGATCCTGACAATGGGTGGATGTGGGTGTACACGTTTCAGAACCCAATTTCTAATTCTTGCCTAATAAAGTAAGTATACCACATGGAATTAACAATATGTTAGAAGACAGTTTCTTTGACAGCGCGGAATATACGGTATATTTATAGTATGAACCCTGGAATAGATCGCATATCTATTACACACAGGGTTTATAATTCATGACATTATATCTGTACTTCACTTATTGCTATAGTACATAACTTATCAACTTTCACATATATTTAAGGTGTCCCCCTTAACATTTGATGTGTCGATTGCATGTCTATCAAATATAATAAAAATTATTGCTGGTATGCACCTCATTAATTTCACTAATTCTTTTTCGAAACTACCGCGAGCACGCACCAATCACTTTAGTAACACCAAATCGTGCTCGAAAAAGTCATACAGAAAATCTCCGAATCCGACTCTCATCATCGAGGCTTACTTTCGACCTACATCTGCATGTGTAAAAGACTTTTATGGTGCGATAAACAAGATTTAATAGGTATATTAAATAATGAATATGAGCATCGAAGTATTTGAGAAAAGACAATGTAGATTAGATATTTTTGACGATATGAGAATAATCTAAACTTCTGTGTATCGGCTTTAAGTCTTAAGGTATGCGATAGCATGTGTGCTGGTCTTGTTCGATTCGTCTAATTCTTATATACAACCTAGCCATTAAAAGACTCTGTCGTTTTTATCATATATCTAGCAGTAATTTGGATCAAGTACTGCTCCAATAATCGCATTAAACTTGTGTCAAAATTGATATAGGAAATCTGATTAATATTTCGCTGTACTTGTACTCATCCTTCTAAATGTCAAAAAAGTAGGCATCTATTAAAATTCTAAAGTTGATTTGAGATGAAAATACTGCCTACAGACTGTCCTGTGTAATAATACTTATTCAATGACGAGGTTTTTAAAATAACTACCTTAGAAATGAGAAGAAATAGTCCAGTTCTCGCACGACATTGCTGATATTACGAAAATTAGCTTTGTGTCCGTTGGGCTCTAGCCTGAAAGTTTCGTAGTTCACATATTTTTTATTTTGAAACTTGGCTGGGTATATCACAGACCGGATTGTCATTTATAAGAGCTTAATACTTTGCTGATTTAAATGACTAGATAATAATCGATCCACAAAAAATCGGAGTAAAATCTTTTTTTATGGTCCATGAACACCATCTTATTTAATTATTCGCTTTTAATGAGAATATAAAGTACGAAGTAGAACTTGTATGACCAGGATTGTATGAGCTATGCACACAGATTAACTCTTTGATCAGTCGAATAAAACCCAAGATAAATAGATGCTTTCTTTTTCAGGAGCACTGTATTAACAATTCTCACCTTTTGTGTTTAGATAATAAGCCAATAAAATAAAATTATTATTATAAAAACACAAAAGCTTTTAAAATTATGAACGCCCTTTAGCATCGCCTTTAAGTAAGTGGCATGAACTTTGACATTAGATGATGCCGGTCTGTCAGTATATAGCTTAGAGAAAATGGATCAACGTCTAAAAAACCTGAAATGTCGTTGCAGCCATAAAATTTATATTTCAATATGCAATCTTGATAGCCCTGCGAATAGAATACAGCTCAAATTTTCCGTTCTTTAATCAATCGTGCAATACAAATGAGATATATTGATTATGTAAAAACGAGAGAAGGAGGGTTTAAAGTGGAAAATGCCTTACGAACATATCATTTCAACTACCAATTGAATTTATGACAATGACCCATAGGACAATATTCGACTTTGAGTAAAATCAAATGAAAGCGGATTTATCGCCAAGCTTAGTATTGCCAGACAATTTTTAGACTTGAGACAAGATAACAGAAAGTTAAAAGTCGCTTAAGCGTATTCTGATACTGGCATATTCGATTCTGGAGGACACAGCTCCCTTTTTACCTAAATTTTCTATTCTAATTAAAATGTCGATTAAAATTGCACTTGAGCTAATGTGGTGGTAAATATATCTAATTTTTATATCATTCCTTCAAATAAAGCCAAATGTCTTTATGAAGGGGATAATAATTTATAATAATGCAGTACCTTTTTAAATTCTATATAAATGGTTGTACTACGTCTAAAGCATTTGCCCTGAAATTTCGGGAAGATCTCCAAAATTTCTGTTGTGTTGCATAATGATGACGAAAATAAACCAGCTATTGCTTTTTTTTTTTTTTTTTTTTTTTTTTTTTGGCAAACGGCTAACTTTTAAACGTTTCAGCGTCATATTGATACTATCAATCGAAAAGACTTAACTGAGGATTATAATTACTCTTACTGACTCTATTATACCTTACATATTAAAATTTGTTTTTATATTTATGGACATGCCTACATAATGGATGTTTCTTCACTGTTAGCCATAAATTTTAAAGGTCATTTTAGCCTTTATTACTATCTGGAATAGTCTGATGGGCCGTTAAAAGACATGTTAATTTATAAGCTTTTATTAGATTTTTGCAAAAGGGTTCTTATTCATTCTGAATTTCAAATATATATGAATCAAAGTACCTGTCAAATAAGCTACACCTGTAAACATCTTGTATGTGAAAAAAGGAGCTGATCCTGCATGTGTTTCAATAGCACTTGCAATGTTGGATCCAAATACAGGAATAGCATTAGACAAGAGTAGAAGGGAAAGACCAGAAGGGAATTTTTCCATGCCTAAAATTTCAACAGAGATAGGCGACATGAGCGCAAAATAAACACCGCATGAGAACCCAAAAACAACGCCGAAACCCATCATTGATTGGTATGTAAATGCAAAAGTCCAGATAAGCAAACTACTGATAGCGGTGACAAGCGTAAAGATGATATTTGAGTTTAATTTCCCGATACGATCAGCCATGTAACTAAAATATTGATATGAGTCAAAAGAATTTTTTTCTATCTTTTTTTTCACCCCTTACCCAGCAACTAAACGTCCGATAAAGTTCATAGACGAACTGACAGCAACAATGGAAGCACCTTGGGAATCGGATAATCCGAGGTAAGTTGCATAGGCTATACATATGAAGTTAGTAACAGATTTCTGAACATTTCAGTACAACATACCAGGAATAAAAAGAAAGGGACAAAATATCCAAACAGTGCAATATCAGCACCAACGGCGAAGAGAAGGAAATCGATGTTTTTAAGCACGTCAAATTGAAGAATCTCTGAAAGCTTCTTTTTCTCCTTGATACGGGGGATTCTTTCCTTCACAAAAATACAAGCAATAATATCACAGACCAAGCAAATAAATCCTAAAATACGATAAGTCCAAGCATACCCCAAATTTCTGTTAAGAGGTGTCATGATGAAGGGAACAATTAATCCACCCATGCCTGATCCACCAGCGACAATACCCAAAGCAATACCCCGATTTTTTGTAAACCATTGAGGAGTGACCGACATAACGGTAACATACATACAAGAGGCGCCTGAACCAAACAGAATGCCTTGCGTAAGATACAAATGCCAAACCTTAATTTTCGGTTTTTAGTCAAATATTGTTTGTTTGTGTTTCATCTCAAATTACCTCCGTCGCAAGACTTGCTGTTTCCAGGGCAACAACGATACACGTAGTGCCAGCAATCATAATTGGTCGGAGACCATAGCGTGCTACCAGTACCTGAACAATAGGACCACCCGCATTAATAAAGATCAATGCTAAAGTGCCAACAAAACTTAGATCCACCAAAGCAGTTTTGTTGTTTTCAAAAACATGCTGATTAAAATAATCTTGCATAACACCTGCATCATAAACGTCAGATCGGTTGAGATGCATTTTGCGAATGTTTATAATTACCCCAACTTGAAACTACACCAAAACTGGTGATTTGAACCATAAAGGCACCCAGTACTACGAGCCAGCCATACCCACCATCATGGTCATCATCTACAGCAGGTAATTTCACAAGTTCCTCGGATTCTTTGCCACCAACGATTTCTGATAACAAATTTCTTTATTGTTAGGTCATGAGTCATATCCGGGCCGAATAAATAATATTTACCACCCTTGGTAGTCTCTTCAGAACTTGAGCGGCTATCCTGTTGAATAATAACTCCATCTTCTTGGAAAGAAGGATGGAGAGAAACTTCCTTAGTTAAGTTTTCTTCAACATATGCCATGTCTTTTTTATTCTTGCGTCGCCGTTGAGAGTAATCTGTGGTTATAAGTGTTTATTGAAGCTCGAAAAATTAAATCTGAAATTTAATTTTTTGATCTGTTTTGTAGAAAAAAGCTAAAAATGTTGAAAATCCATTTTTTTATATATTCCTGATTTTTTTTTATTGTGTTTTTGTACTTGACCAATAATGTTAAAGAAACTTTGTCTGATTCGTCATTTTTAACATTCAAACGATCTGTATGGTGCGTATTTTCAATCGGCAGCACTTTGTACGATAGTTGCAATAAATCGAGACAAACACAGGGTAAAAAGATGTTGCAAATAAATTAAAATCTGTCTTAATGTTTGACCACTTTAACATCATCAAGGATTAAAGTTGAACCTTTCATCATAGACAATGGAAAGGGTAAATTGTATGCCAATGGTAGCGGCCGAAATGACGGAGGAGATTCTTTGTAAAACATTACCCGTGTATTCCGCAGTTTTTCACATCAAGTAATTCTGGGATGCAGCTTTACACAGGATACATCGTGATTGCATAGATGACTAATTCCCCCGGTATAGTGCTCACGTTGGGGTGCTGGTAGGGGTAGAATCGGAAAGTTTGTCGTCCGAAAGGGTATTTATCTATATTTTCTAACAGAAAAATATCATGAATAGAAAGTTATTACACTATCCGGACACCTATAAACTCTACCCCTTCTTTATTATAAAAAGATAAAAGGTTGATTTTTCCCTCTCAAATGGTCTCTTAATCCTTCTTTTTTTTAGTTATGAAAAACCTGTTGCAAATAACACCATATTTTTATTGTCTCATCTTTCCTTTGTGTTAAACTTGGCAAAGGTAGACGAAAAAAGCCGATAGTATCGAAGAATGGTGAAGCTCAGTGTATAGTTTCAAAAATAATACACGGCTTTTTGAGTAATAATAATTGTACATCCCATAATAAGTTCTGTATATATGTTGTCACAGAATGATAGTCATTGAATTTGATTCGCAAAGATAAAGCATGTCGCTACGTACAATTCGAAATTATCCTGGAATCTTTTACAGGCTGAAATATTAAGGAAACGACAAAAGACAAACACACTTAGGATGATTAAGAATTCGTGATTAATATTTTTTAACTAAAAACAATGGTAGACCATTACAGCTAACGTTTATCTAGTAAGAGACATCTATTAAGTCAGCGAGGATGCTATTTGTAATCAGGCTCTCCTGACAAAGTCAATTATGACACAAGTTAATAAGGACCTATTGCTTATAGGCTACAATAAATAATGAAATTTATCTATCGTTAATCGCATGGCAGGTTTTGATTAGTTTATATAAGTCCATGCATATAACCTATTGATACAAGATACTAGGCTCTGATGACATACCCTATATGTCGATCAGGAATTTAGTAGGTAATACTACATAAACTGCCTCTTGGCAATCAGCTTTACCGACATGAGTGCAAAAAATCTGTGTTGTGAAATAGAAAGGATTAAAATAGTTTGAATGCGCTTTATAATTAACCAGAAGAAAGATTATGTCAAAAATAATCCCCAAATTTTAAAGCTTGAAGAGAGGATAATAAAATATTTTGTTATCTACATGCAACATATCTCATAAGGTTAGCTGCTATCCTTCATAGTGAAAAGTATTTGATCCAGCAAACTAATATTTTTTTACAAGCTTAAAGGTTGTTTAACTACATAAGGAGGTAGAGAGTTTAGAGGTACATATTATCATAAAGACAGGCGACAAGCAATAAAGCAGATACATGGACTTGGGTCGCTTACGCTTACAATGGCGGTATGCAAAAATGAAATTGGGTTTAATACTTTGATCGGGAACCAAGCCATCTTTAGTACAATGGTAAATAAAATTTGGAATGGTGCCACTCCGTAGTTCATGAACACTTTTTGGGAGTTTTTGTCTAGGTTTGGAATTATTGCTGGGTATATCTTCCCCCTTCATTACTGATTCATGACAAAGCTTCATTTTCTTATTAATATTCCGAAATGATAACTTTTCGGTTATTTTCTTTTGTTTTGGTTAATCATTTTTCTTACAAATACATAGCACAGTTTATTAATTAGGTTTTACCAGGTATTTAGATAACATATAATATTAGTGTACAGCGTTCATTCTCATCATGTGCGATCTGAGATCGTGTAAAATGAAATACTTTATTATTGGTTTACTTTCAAAAGCTAAAAAGGGGTAGTATGAATAATTATTTTAAACAAAAAAAAAAGGTGCGTTGTTGATTATAAATTGACATTTTGAAAACTAAAAATCAATCAAAGGAACAGCGGCGGGGCTTAATTCTACGCTACTCTTAAACTCAATAACGTTTGTAATGATTTTGTTTCCATCGGGAAGTTTGGTGTGATCTCTTGTGTTGATGCTTGTACTTGTGGAATTTGAAGCTTCTGGGATCTTTCCGTCAACCATCGATAATCTACGCGCAGTTTTTTGGTTATCAACAGTGACAAATGAGCCATCGGTAATATCAGTTTCACGCATAGCGATGACCAATTTGGACATTAAAGCTTCAATTGCAGCCTCATCAGCTTTGCTTTCATCGGATAATAATGTACGAAGGCTAGCCTCAATACTGGCTTCGCCGGCATCTCCCTTTTCTACAGCAGATCTAATATCGTCGATACTAAGACGTGTAACACCTTGGGAGATAAGACATGTATGTAATGATTCGATGTTCACCTTAAACTTGGGGATAGGAGAAATTTTTTGAGATTGGATATGTACAGAAAGTTTGCGAACGGATGGTGATTGAGGATCGATATATTTTGTCATGAAACCCAAAAGGTCGTCTTTTTCAATCAATCCCAATTCTTTGATATCCGTCTCTACCTGATCGAATTCATAATAGCCAGAGTGGATATGTGTCCAATATTTACCGCCCTCTTGTCCTAAATTTTTATCTTTTTCCAGCTTCTTAGAGATGAGTGATTGAACCTGTGCCTTGTACTCCTCAGGCGTCATCTTTTCAATGATCGATCTAAGTTTGGCCAAGAATTCTTCGATACGGTTTTCAAGATAGACTGTATCACGCTCACTTTGCAAAATAAAGCGCATACCTATGGATCCAGTTTGTTTACGAACACCACTGAATACCAGATAGCCTAATTGCTCCTTTGTACGTAATTGATCGAAACAGGGCTCTTGTGCGATCTGTGCCAGGAGGCTGAGCCTAGCACGAAGGTCGGTTTGGGTGACATTGCCAACTTGGATAAGGTATTCGATCCCAGAGTTAACATTGTTGGGATCTTCTACATCACGCTTATAAACCCATTTAGTTCCCTTAGGAAGAACCAAACTGTGATGACCGTTTAACTGACTAGGCAACAACTCCTTGGGCTTCAAAGTATCGAGAGCATCCTTGAGCATTTTTTGAGCATCTTCCTTTAACACGTTACCATGAACAAGTGCTTCAACATGTAATTGGGACAAAATGGTGGGATAAAATGCTTGAATATCCTCTGCTGTGATATAATCCAACTCCTTTAACTTTTCTGAATTGGTCCACATTTTGTCTTGTGTGAGGTAAGAAAGATAATAAAGTGCATGTTGATAAGGAGGCTCAAGCGAGAAATTCTTGTAGGATCTGCGAAGTTGGTCCTTGAGTAACTTGAATCTTTCGGGATCTACCTGGAAATCACGCATCTTCTGAATGACTTTTTCAAGTAAAACTGGGAGTTTATCGTTGTAACCACCGATAGCAAGCTAAACAACACATTAGATTATCTTTGCTCTACCCAAATTTACCCCCCCCTCTCCCTCCCCTTAAAAAAACACAACTTACCAACATGCCTTCAAGTTGATTTTCAATATTATAACATAATCCGGCAACTTCGGCATCGTAAGCGTACTCGTTGAGTGAATCCTTCAACAAATCGGTATACAATCTTGTCTTGACGCAGTTAGTTGGTGTGGCGTAAGCCAAAGGAGATCTAAGCAGAATCCAGACATTAGCTCTAGGGACCCAGAAGGTATCATCCTTCTTGTGCCACAAACGAAGCATTGGTGTATTTTCAATTAACTCGGGCCTCTTTGCAGGTGTAGTCACTTCCTTTTTATAAGTTTCGAAATCGGAAGGGATAAAAGCATTGGTGTCGGGTAAAACTAAAGCGTCATCGTGTTCAAGAGTTTGCAAGGACTAAAATACCAAATTTAGATATTAATATTTCTAGAATAACGCGGAATATATACATTGATATCATAGATTTACCTCAATCAACTTATCATCGAAATCAAGTACGTTGTATTCAGTACCATACCAAGTTTCTTTATGAATATACTCGACGCCGTTGGGAGGGTTTTGACTGGCCAACATGATACGGAAATTATCAGGACGGAGCCAGCTGAGGTTCTCATTGATTAACTCGGGATCGTATTCACGGATCAAGCTGGGACCGCTTAAAACATAAGCAGCAGGATATCCATGTTGCATTAAGCCAGCCAAACGAGAAGTATACTGTGATGGGGGATACTTTTCCTTAAATCGGAACGCAAGAGATGCAAGAGATTGGACCTCCTCGAAAATACGAGATTGAACACCATCTTTCTTTAAAAGGTTGATATATTTAAACACAGTAAGTATAACATCTTGATAATGTGCTATTATAAAAAAAAAGTGTGAGATTATATCGTTTTTTACAAAGTACGACCCGTGTGAAACACACATGCAACATGCAGTTTCTCTCAAGTATTTTATACTTACTTAAACCTTCCTCTGTAAGATCAACGCTAATACGCATGAATTCGAATCCGATGCCGCCGTGAATTGTGCCTACTTGAAGATAATTTGCCCATCCGTTTTTCTTTAACAAAGATAAGATTGATCCACGGCCCTCGTGACCGATCAGATGAGAAAGGTATCTGCCAGGCTATCATTATGTGTAAGAGTTACGTATTCAAAAATTCGTTCATACTGATCAATAATTACCTGGACAGAGTATAAAGGACGTTGATCGGGGAAAGGAAATGTCATTTCCAAGGAACGAACATCTTTGACAGGCTTGACAAATATTTGTTTCTAATTCGCAAGAAGTTAGCGGCCGCAAAATAATGAAACTGCGATACAGATACGCCATACCATAAGTTCATTCTTGGTGAGTGGGTGTCCAGGGAAGCTAGGAGGTTGAATGTTCTTGTTACGGACGTTTTTAAATTTTTCTACAGCCCACTCTGTCAACTGATCAAGAGGTTCTCTTCCAAGCACACAAAGTTTCATAATGTTTGCAGAGTAATAAGAGTCATGAAATTTCAAAAGTTCTTCACGAATATCCTTTCCGTTTCTTTTAGGGTTCTCAAATAAGGTTTCCAGATTACCAGTACCGAAATGACAATAAGGATGGTCAGGATTAGAAAGAGATTTTTCCAATTGAAACATACGCCAGCTATCTTGTTGTCTATTTTTCTTGTGTTCTATGAATGTTTGTTAGTACTTGTAAGACCTTCTATAGGCTCTTGTAAAAAATAAAACCAAATGACTCTACCTGAATCAACTGCCTTTAACTCCCTTTCGGTACAGCCATCAGAGAAAAGAGGGCTGATAAAGAATTGGGCGAAGCGATCCAGGGCACCTTCAAGGTGTTCTTGACCAACCTCAAAATAATAGTTTGTATCCTCCACTCCAGTGAACGCATTTGAAAATCCAGAATGCTCAGATAAATATTGATTATAGTCATTTTCTTTGGGATATTTTTCTGTTCCCATAAATAAAAGATGTTCGCAAAAATGAGCCAAACCTTGCAAATCAGTCTAATAATATGATTAATATCCAAGTATTGTCCCTTAAGACACGATATTAACTTACGGGATCACTAATATGACCAACGTGAACATCCAAAGCCGCGCTTGATTTATCAGTATCTTTATCGTGAACTAACAACACTTGAAGATCATTTGTTGCTAACTTGATGAGACGGTAATCACGATCATCATTATCCGACTTTTCTAAAGTATGGGTGTAGGTCCAGTAGTTACCATGGGAAGCAAGTTCCCAATCAGAGTTTTCTTTTGTAGTCATTAAGGATCTAAAGGTGGTTAAGCTCGATTTATTATGCAAAAAGTGACTATAATAGAGAAAGACGTCAATTATGTATACTAGGTTTGTCAATGTTTTTAAGTAAAACTTACAGTTTGTTAATCCGATGGAAAGTAAAAGAACCAAAGAGTCTTAACATTCAACTTTTTTCTTTATTTTTTTTTTATTTACCCTTTTTATATTTCCATAAATACAGTACACGCAACACTAAATCAGACACGCGCTATTAAATGAAACTCAGAGAGCAGTCATCCGCCATGGTTTCCTCTTCTTAGAATGCATGTCTTGATTGGCTATGTTCTAACATCCTTATGGTTTTCGTCACATTGTAGCATCGTGATTGAGAGTTCAGCTTTTAAGTCAACCTTTGCAATGTTTAGTTTTCACTATAGCCATAAATTTTTGTCACTTAATTGTGTACTTTTAACAATTGTAGGACAAAACATAACGTCATCTCGAAACGCTCATTTATGCTAAAATGGGATAAACCTTAAATCCTACTTTTCAGGAACTGAATATTCTCGAGGCTGTTTTCTTTCTAACGTAATATATATCTAACATGGGATTCATAAAAGCACATAATCAGCACTCCGGTACATAAATAACATCCCACTAATAAATACACATGGATGATCTCAGTCTAGCGCACACGATCGAACTGTGTGTTTAAAGTTTTGTTTACGGTAAATCTATATATCAGCTGAACAAACATCGGTTGCTATTTTGGCAGGAGAATACCATAAAATATAAAAAACAAATAATATCTTTGACATTAAAATATCGCATGTAATAATACTTAACGGGTTAATTCCATTCTAGATACCCAATTTACAGAGCTAATAGGCGATAGCTATACAGCCCCTCCGGAAAGTCTTTAATAACTTAGCTTGTACCGAAAAAACTGATACAAAATGGTTAGTCCGTTGGAATTCAAGACTGTTTTGTTCGATAGACATAATTTTTATCGATAGTTATGCTGACCCGACTTTTTCTTCTTTTAAATTAAGGTTCAATTACAATGTAATTAAAATTAGTGCTAAATCGATATATAAGACATAGCACCAGTACCATAACAGCTATAAAGCACATTTACCATATTGTCAAAAAAAAAATGTTTATAGCAAAGTAATAGATTCCATATTGTGGCAGAAATACTCGCATATGAACGTGAATTATATTAATTTTTGTGAGTGTAAAGACCCTTCTGCAAGAGATGGGGCACATACTGATTTTTTATTTACTTAAACATTGAATTATTCTTTTTAAAATAAATACAAATCACCCAGAAACATTTATGGTAAAAGTTTGCATGATCAGATACAGGATGTGATTTTATTCATACTGTAATAATAAATTGGACATCTCGGTGTCATTATACTTTATCGTCTTACATTATATGCGAAAGCATAACAATATATAGACGGTGGGCTAAGGTGGGCTAGATGGACAGAAATACCAGAACATTTATCTGGGGTAACTACTCGAAAAGTACTTTGTTTTTAGCGATAAAATGGAGAAAATACTTTTTAGTTTGGAGTTTGTCCACCTTCGATCCATTGATGTTTGCATAATTCTTTATGTATTGCACACACAAGGCTGTTTCAAATAGCACATAGTTTTGATGTAACTATTAATTGAATACTGAACTGTTCTCAGCTCTAACCTTTTGTATATCGCAATCAAATACACGAAGTAAATGAACCCTCGCTGCTTAATTCGAGTCGATCCATCTACTGGATAGGCTGTGTTTTCATATATACAGCTGTTAACCAACATGAAATATATCGTACGGAGCGGTTTGACCAGATAGGTCAACGACTTTCTTCGTTGTAAACCTCTTCACATATACCGATTAAAGCTAGACATCTTACAATCAGTCATACCGGTATTCGATATCCACGAATACTGTCTCCGTAAATGGAGCACAGAAGACGAATGACAACTGAACTTCTTTCTTTGTTTGCCATCGAGGCAAATCAACTTCACTGATAAACTTTCGGGTTCGACTCTTTTCTTTATTGAGCTTTAGAATTATTTAAGAAAAAAGGTGCTTTCGAGGGAATGAAATCAGCAGATAAATATTTGATATCCCTATTCGTTTTTAGCCATTCATAATTACAAGACATCTGATATTTAGCTCAGCTTCCAATATTGAACCATCATTTAAAAACTTGTTTGAGTAACCTTCTTATAATTTGCCTTCTTCAGGATAGATCATATTGAGCATAAAATGCTGAGGTTATTTGTACTAATTACTGACAACCAAACTATAAAAAAATGAATAGGAGGTCAAAGAATGAAAAATCTGTGTAACGTCATCAGATCATAATGTGAGCCAGATTAAAGCTTCATCTATGTTTGCACATGCGGCCGATTTTTTACGCATGATAAAGACCTTTTAAGGTCTGTCCTTTCTTGTATTAATGCGTGTAGTATGTACGTATTTTCTTCTTCTTCGTCCAGCAGTTTTTAAATTATCGCAAATGACATTATATTTGAAAGGCTTATGTTTGTTCAACTATTTCAAAACTTTTCATGACTAGGTTGGGCTTTAATACGCATAATCGGGTACTTGAAAGATATTTATGCAATGAATGAAGTTTTCTTATGATAAATCTTGTTTTGCGCAAACATCATTTGCCATGAATTCGACGATAAACACATCACATTGCTGACATAATATTTTTTATTTTGAACCATCTTTCTTTAATTATAAGGTGCCGAATTTAATGACGTGGTACCATTGAAAGACGATAAAAACGAAAAAGAAAAACAATTGTACGACTATTATCTTTAGCCCCGCCAATGTGTTTTCTACTTTCTTTCTTTTTTTCTTAACACCAACTAACATCTTTTGATACCATCATACTAAAGAGCTGTGCGTAAATAGTAGTTCTTAATATCTGAATTTGAAACTTAACTAAACAGAGTGTTGTCATATTAAAATTGTCGTTCTTCCAAGAGTCACTAGCAGTTGCAGGTTTTTTACTCAGATAACATACAACTAAACTTATATCCGGTGATAGCGCCTAATTTTGCATAGCAGTAACGTATTACAAATACCTTTGAGCCAGATAGACAGTTTATATTTATAAATTATTTTAGCTCAAATAGATGAGTAAAATTTGAAATCTTTGTTTTCACCGTCGTTTTCTAATTACTTCAAAGAAAAATAAATGGGAGTTCTAGGTCCTGCAATTTGGATTAGTAGAAGGACGTTTAAAAGTGACACTTTGTTATGTTGCACAAAGCGGTTTAAATTACGCATTTTAAGCGCTGCTTTTTTAAGAAGATTGATTGCTCAGTCCAGATAAGATGATGAGTCAAAAAAGTATAAATTTTAAAACAGAACTAGCACTTGGAATTTATCATTGGTAATCGATTCTTTTTTTTTCATTTTTCCTATTGCAATATTACAGTGTTATAGTATTCTAGAAATGGGGTTTTGCATTTCGCCACAAAAGACGATGCATGCAGATTTTTTTTACAGGAAGAAATGTGAAAGCATTGTGGATCGATAAAGATAAATACAAAACAAAAAATAATATTAAAAATTCTTGGTAAACCTTTATAATCAATCTTAGTCAGAATTGTGCCATGATACCAAACAATGATAGATTTAGAGGCATTAAAATAGATGGCCTCGGTATTTCTAAAATTAAATAATGGGCAATGGGTTACACTTGGTAACTGACAAAAAATCCTGTTTGGTTTTTGTTTAATTAGTGGAGTAATATATGTGGGGGAAATCTGTTGTGTGACTCTTTGGTCCAAAAAAATATACTATCTAAAGTGCCTATTCTATGTATAGTATATTTTCAGAAAAGCTTATAAATGGGTTTTATAGAAAAATAGCTGATTAAATTATTTCGAGATATCAGTTGTTGTAAAATAACATCAAAAGATTAAAATCAATAGTAACCTTTGAGTAACCGTTTTAATAAATACATATTAGTGTTGGTTTTCTCACAACTTAATTTTGTGTATCTGTTGAGGCTTAACCAGAGTTCATCTGTTGTACAGTGCATGGTATATCTCCTGTTAATGGTAAGACTGATGTCGCTATATTTTTATTCAGCCCACAATTTTAGCAGATTGAGCAGAAAAGACCGATCAGCCCTGAATGGACCAGACAAATATTTATTTGTTACCATATATTTTTGGCGGTTCTCCCATCTTATACAATGACGACATACCTGTATGTGACAACAAGTCATACACTAAGGACTCCAAATGCTTCACTGCGGATCACTGGTTTTTTGTACATAAGATAGTGTTAAAAATAGCTCAAGATCTACCTACGTTATAGATACTGACCAAATAAACATCCTTCTTTTCTCTACTCCATTGCGTTAATATTATTTCGATTTAAATTTGAGCACATGTAACTGGTCCACCGGATGATTTACATGCAGTACGGAGGTTTAAAATACGGTTCAATAATTTAAATTGCTATTTGTTTGCGATTCAAACTTTTTGGCGTGAGGACGACCTTATTGCACAGAAAACGTCAAGCAGCATATATTAGGTTTAAAACATGCCAAAGCACGAATGGATCTACTTTATAAGGGGTGGGGAGGGGGAATAAGTACGAGTGTAAGTAGTGTTCCATCCGCAATAATGCTAGATTTGGGAGGCATTGCCTTGAATAGCCAAAAAAGAAGTACAATACGCCGTCTTAAAATCGAATGTAAACAATATGTAGATTAAGTGCATATTTTGTTTGCAGCTTCAATAAATTTAGAATTTGGTATGAATAAACATAGCTTTTACTATTCATTAGTTCTAGATTTAGTTATATAAGAAGCTGATATATTTCGGACCAGACTTTTGATTGACATACGCATTGGCAGACTAAATTGTTTATCCATCATGGATGATCACCCTGAAAATAAGTCTGAGTGACAATTAACTCATGCATCAGAAAGTCCGACTTTTTATTTCAGGTAAAATACTATATTGGGACATTTTTTTTCTGTGAGCGTGATTTGGCCCCCAATTTGAAAATTCCAGGAAATCTTTTTTATTTTAAAATACCTAAAAAGAGTAAATTTGTTTTAGTTTTTTTTTTTCTTCTCTTTATTCCTTTTATTTTTCTTCTAAAAAAAAAATGGTTCACTCCATCGAAGTATTTCTACAACCACCTTCACCTACAATGAATCCTTCTTATAAATTACCTTCAGTGAAGTCACTATTTCCGGTGTGTATGGATGATGATTCGAATTCACAAGAACTTCCGAGCATACGGTTAACAAATCATTCCAGTGATACACATTACAACAACAATGAAAACAACAACAATATGCTGATCGGTAGTCCTAGATTAAATACAATAGAGCCTCGTCCAGATCTATCTATAGCAACTTCACCATATCAACAAAGTCCCATCATGACCTTTTCTTCTCCTTCTTCCACAACCTCATCTATGGTAGGCTCACCCTTGATATCACCCATACAGGATGGTCCGTTTTTACTTCCTCCTCCCGACAGCAGTTCATTCCGTCGTTGTCGCTCAGTGTCCAATGTATCCAATGTCTCCATCACATCCTCACCGTCAGCATCACCGTCCTATCAGTTCACATTTCGCTCTCTTTCAGAACCACCCAGTTTAAATCTTCCTCCATCCTCCACGTCCGGCGACGAAGAAGACACAGCCATGAAGGACGAGTATCACCCTATATTTGGACCCAAGAGAAAACGTGGTAGACCTCCAAATGCCTCTCGCCCTGAAATACAAACAGATAGCAACTGGACTTTTGTTAAACCAACTGTGTGGGATGTCAAACAAACTCATCAAAAGCACAATATTGATTCCAACACGCATAGCGACAGATTTACAAATAACCATAATACCCCTCAGTTCTATACTGAGAATACTGTCATGTCAGATGGGATAAATACCTTCACGACCACCAATATGGATATGGCTCTAAGTATACCCAAAAAGAAAAGAGGGCGTAAACCAAAGAAACAATTAGCAGGAAACTCTTGCTTTGTTTGGAGAGATCTCACTGCGCCACGTGGCGCTAATAAGAAATCTTTACTGCCGAAAAACAAAGATATCAAGAAGGATGATACGAATGATGGGAGTCGAAAACTGTTACCTGCTGTTATAAAACCTTAGCAATCTCTCTCTCTCTCTCTTTTCACCCTTTCACCCTCCCTCCGGGGACCCCCACCCCTTTTATTCTCCTATTATACATAATTTCACTATAAATAACAATTTTTTTTTATTGGCTTTGTAACACACATGTATATTCATTTAAATATGAAATCCAACCCTTTTTTATATATAAATAAATAACAAATAAATCGCTTACTAAAACGTCCCTCCCCCCATCACCCCTTTGATGTAATCACACCCTTAATATTATTATTTAGAGCTTAAATCCTATTTTTATTTATTATCGTCTTTTTCTTTTTCTTTCCCTCTTTCATTTGTATCCCCTTTTTTATATTTATACATATTAAAAAAAAAAATAAAGCATCAATCATGCTTTCTGCTGGTAAATACCTATCAAAATCTATTGCTATTGTTGGACCCCCTTCTACTAAGCAAATAAGCAGAATTTTGGGCAATCGTTGCTATTCTTATTACAGTAACCCCAATGCCCAACACGAGTTTTCGGATCCTCGACATGATAAGACCGTCCATGTCATGCATTCAAGAGGTGTAAATGTCATCCATGATCCTCTTTTATCCAAAGGCACTGCCTTTAGTCTGGCCGAAAGAGAAAGATTATCTATCCGTGGCCTTGTCCCCCCTCGTTGCCAAGCTATGGATAAACAGTTGTTGCGTGTTAAACGTAATTTAGATGCTTGTGAATCCCCACTATCGAAATTCGTCTTTTTGGCTGCCTTACAGGACAGAAACGAGACATTGTACTACAAGCTATTAATGGAACATCTTGAAGAATTAGCTGGCGTCATTTATACTCCCACAGGTACTTCAATTTTGTCCTACTAAATCATGATATTATTTAAAAACTTACTCTGTTTTTTAGTGGGTCTTGCCAGTCAAATGTCCCATTCCATCTATCGTCGTTCTCGTGGTATGTATTTCTCTAGCCAAGACCGCGGTCAAATGTCTGCCATGGTGTACAACTGGCCTCATGATAAGGTTGATGTCATTGTGGTAACGGACGGTTCAAGAGTATTAGGGTTAGGTGATTTAGGAGCCAACGGCATGCAGATTCCCATCGGTAAACTTAGTTTGGTAAGGAGACATTAGAGCGAGAGAGCGAGACATGATATTTTTTTGACGATGGGGGCCCTAAAACTTTCTCTTTTGTTTTATAGTACGTTGCTGCAGGCGGAATCAGACCTAGAGCAGTTTTACCGGTCGTTTTGGACGTTGGCACAAATAATCAGGATCTTTTGAACGATCCCTTGTATCTCGGCATGAGTCACCCACGATTAGAAGGCGAGGAGTATTATTCGTTTGTAGATGAGTGGGTTACGGCTATTACTAGCAGATGGCCAGGTAAATAATAAAGTGTTGATAGGACGGATTATGATCTTGGCTAACAGAAATAATGCACGTAAATGTTTAGATACGCTAATCCAGTTCGAAGATTTCAAATACCCTCACGCTTATAATCTGTTAACAAAATGTAAATAAACAACAAACAAAACGTCCATTCTAATTAGACTAACTCCCTTTCTTTTATAAATATGGTTAGATCGTAACCGTATAACCTGCTTTAATGACGATATCCAGTCGACCTCATCCATCACTTTAGCCGGAATCTTGGCATCCCTCAAATCTAGAGGTAAGGAGCTTGAAGATTTATCCGACGAAAGGATTATTTGCGTTGGAGCAGGATCAGCAGGTGTTGGTGTATGTGAAGGAATCATTGACTGCATGGTAGCGCAGGGACGGGTCAAGACAAGGGAAGAAGCTTATTCCAAGATCTACATGCTGGATCAGTATGGATTGTTGGGAAATCCAACTAGCTTGGATGACGATAAAGATGATGTAGAAAGTGTCAACTATAGACCTAGAGAGACTCCATTAGATGATAGACAGCATTGTTATGTAAAACATGACCTTCGTGACCAAATGACTTTAGAACAACTAGTCAAAAAAGTGAAACCAACTGTATTGTTAGGTCTCACGGGTATCCGTGGTGTCTTCACTGAGGGTGCCGTCAGAGAAATGTCTAAACACCAAGAAAAGCCTGTCATTTTCCCTTTAAGTAATCCTGATACCCATGCTGAATGTACCGCTGAAGAGGCTTTTAAATGGACAGACGGAAGAGCTATATTCGCTTCCGGTAGTCCTTTCAAGGATGTTTTATTACCCAACGGTAAAATCGGAAAAACAAACCAATGCAACAATTCTTATAGTTTTCCCGTACGGTAACATTCTCCATACTTTATTACGATGTATTAATTTTATACAAACATATACACAGGGACTTGGGTTAGGTATTACAGTATCTAGAGCTAGTAGAGTCACACCCACCATGTTCTTGGAAACCGCCCGTACAATCGCGAATATGGCTACGCCCGAGCAGTTGAAGCAAGGCATCTTATATCCTGGCGTTAGCCAGTTGCGTGAGGTAGCCTTGAACGTTGGAACCCGTGTCTGTGAGGTTGCTTTTGAAGAAGGTGTAGCCACCTCTGTTTTGGAAGAAGGCGAGATCTTAAGCGAAGTAGTCCGCAACTCTGCCTATCAACCTGAGTATGTTCCTTTAGTCTACCATCCCGGTTATAACTTTTAATCAAAATAATATGCATAAACACACACATTAGCCCCTTTAATTAAAAAACCTATCGCTTATTTTTTATTCTTTATTATTTTGGGTCTGTGCCTGCATTGTTATCAACATCCTTAACATAATTATAGCTGTAGAAAGCCATTTTAAGCACTAATGCAAAGATGGCATGAGCACCCAAGATAGCCAATAGAATAATACGTGATGTCTTGGCGTCTGTTCTAGAAATGACGATATACAGGTTTTTCACCAAGAATACAGATGTGATTGCAAATGCAATACCAACAAAGGCCCATCTTGCATAATCATATGGAATAATACATAATAACTTTTTCGTTCATTAGTATATACTATTTTGTTTTGAAAATCTCTCTTTCTCTCCCTCATATATTTTACTTACAGATACAGGAATCCAAATCGTCAAACCATAACCATAATAGTTAATGATCTCCAATAAACTTGGTCTACAACCAAAATATTTTGTAGAAGCCCAAACCAAAGCGGGACACAAAAAGGCGTACATGTAAACAACGAATACGGCAAAACTTAACAAGGTAAAGTCATATACATGAGGTTTACCAGCAATGTATGCAGCTAGAGATCCAGCTAAAGAAGAACAGACAAAGACAGAAAACACCACCGATGTGGCGATCCAGAAGGGCCCATATAAATCAGGTTGGTTGTTCAATGTGTCTGCTGCATAATCGCCAACTGGATACATGGATTTTAAGCATCGATCAAGTACTTGGGACGTATCCACATCAAAAAATGTAGCGTAGTAATCAAGTGACCAAATAGGCTTGCCGTTGTTGTTGCCGCTGCTTGGTTGAGGTGAGTCAAAAAAGCCTGTATTGCCGGAAGGTTCTGCTAAAGGGGGAGGTGCGGCTGTATGGACTATAAAATGAATTAAATAAGTCGTGAATCTACATATCTATTCTTTCTTTTCCCTTGCATACATGATGTCTTATTCGTATTTGTTGAAAAGTCTAGTTTTACAAAAGAAGAAATTTTATGTTGAGTTCCTATTATTATTTTTTCACCCCTTTATCGTGTCTCTTCATTGATTTACCTTGAAATTCTAAACCATCACTCTCAATCGTTGCAGGCTACAAAAAGATAGTCGTCAGCCATTGTTACAATCAGACTCACTGCGTATCCTCCCCGTATTACCTGCGTATAAGCAGCATCTTCCATGTCAACAAGGACATTATATTGGTTTTTGTTCGACATGATTTCAAAGTTTCCTTTTAAACAAAGAGGAAAAAAAAAAAGTGGCCCTCACAAATTCCTTGGCTTTGGTATTTTCCAACTCAGGCCAGGTTATTATTTTCTTTCAACAGCATTTCTCTACTTTTCCCATTTACTTTTTATTTTTTCGCTGAAAGAAACAATAAGATCTGTGTGTTAAATCAATAGATTGATAGACTATTTACAATTAGGAATAGCCTTATAATCTATAATTATACATAATATACGTAACGAGCTAACAGGAACACAGTAATCTAAGGATGACGTGTCATTATGTGATCTACTCAGGGAAAGCACATTTAATGCACAGCGTACTGGCTTGCAAGTATGTTAGAATTAGAAATGTTATTTACTGATTGGCAAGGTGCCATACGAGTAAATATATTCACTAGATGAACTTGGAGAAGAGCCAAACCTGGCCAATAGAATTTCTAGGAGTAAAATAATTAGCCAATAAACATCTTGCAAATCCGTAAACACATCATGCCAGATAACGATTGTTTAAAAATAGCGCACAAAAAAAATCCGTTGAATTCTGTAATTTGTATGAGGGCAAAATATTAACAAAAGAAGCAAATAAAAAAATTCTCCACGTGTATATAATGAGTTTAGACAAAAACAAATCGCTGTGAGTTTTTTCTCTGATGCTGTTACAAAGGATGTCATTATTTGGAAATACAGAGTTCCCAATAAATGACATGTTTTAGCGCGATATTCTATAATTATATGTAACGATAACATATCATAGGATTAGATAATTAAGCTTTTTCAAGTATGCCATTCTCAGGAACACATGAGCGTACAAGACAAGTCTATTTGATTCGATCACACAAAAGGAAAATGCCCTGCACAGGCTTGATATAGAGTTATAAATCATATAATTATTTATTAAGTAATAAAGTATAATAGAGGTATATGTATAAATGCATATATATAATTTAAGCATCATCTTGATCTCCCACAACATCAGCCCATCCAAATGATCGTTTCACAGCTTCCTTCCAACCATGATACATTTGTTCTCGCTTTTCATCCGTGATTTTCGATTCAAAAACAGTTTTTCCTTCAGTGTTAACCCCTTGAAGATCTTCTACGCTCTTCCAAACGCCCATAGCAAGACCAGCAGCAATTGCAGCACCTAATGCGGTTGTCTCTCTCATCTGGGGTCGATGTACCTGGATATTCAAGACATCTGCTTGGATTTGCATACAAACATCCGAATTGGAAACACCACCATCTACCTTGAGTGACTTAAGAGGGTGACCAGCATCTTTATTCATGGCTTCCAAAATAGCGCGTGATTGATAACAAACAGCTTCCAGAGTTGCTCGAGCAATATGTTCACGTTTTGTGTATTGTGTTAATCCACAAATTGTACCTCTAGCATCGTCACGCCAGTAAGGAGCAAACAATCCACTAAAAGCGGTAACAAAATAAACACCTGCTGTATCTTTTACTTTTTCGGAGAGAGTGCTGATATCTTTACTTTCATTGATGATACCCAAGTTGTCTCGTAACCATTGGATTGAGGATCCTGCAACCGCTACAGAACCTTCTAAAGCATACATGGGTTTATCGTTCCCTAGTTGATAGGCTACAGTAGTCAATAAACCGTTCTTGGAAATGACAGGTTTGTCTCCGGTGTTGAAAAGCATGAAACATCCTGTGCCGTATGTATTCTTGGCCTCACCAACGTGAAAACACTTTTGTCCGACCAATGCACTCTGCTGATCTCCGAGACATCCGGATATAGGTATATTTTGAAGGGATCCTGAATGGATCTTACCATAGACACTAGATGAGGGTACGATTTTAGCCAAGTGTAACTTGGAGAATCCGAAAAAGCTATAAAGAATTTTAGAAACTGGAGAAAATTGCACATGATATTTATATACGTACTCGATGGCTTTTTGACTCCATTCCAAAGTATGAATATCCATGAGCATAGTTCTACTAGCATTCGTAACATCTGTTACCAAAACACCGTCATTCTTGACGCCACCTGTTAAATTCTATTAAGAAGATTAAAAGTCAATATTTTATAAAACAAAACAAAAAAAGTATTTGCTTACATAAATCAGCCAAGTATCAACAGTACCAAATTGTAATCGATTATTTTCATAGGCTTCTTTTACAGCAGGCTCATGTTCAATCATCCACTTTAACTTGACTGCCGAGAAATAAGTGGTCAGTGGTAAGCCACAGATGGGTAAAAGAGCATTGATGCCTTGGGTTTTATCTTTTTGATTAGCCAGTTCCTGTACAGTATGAGCCGTTCGATTGTCGCTCCAGACGATGGCTGGACACAAAGGTTGCCCAGTCTGACTGTCCCAGACTACAGCTGTTTCACGTTGGTTTGTGATACCCACGCATTGAATGCAGGAGGCCTCATAGCCCAACAGAGAGAGTTTTCGCACCGCATGCTCAATACATGTGTCAACGGAAGCCAGTATATCATAGGGGTCATGTTCCACCCAACTACAAAGAAAGGTGATTAAAAGAAAGAAATGATAGATCAAAGAAAGTAAATCTTACCCTGGGTGTCTGTAATGCTGTTCAAATTCCATTTGATGATAGGTTAACAGTTTGCCATCTTGGTCAAATATAACGAATCTTGTTGAAGTTGTGCCCTGATCAATAGCACCGATAAATTGTTGTATGGTCATTTTTTAGCTTTTTTTTTTCTCTGTATTTAAGAAAGGAGGAAAGGAGAAAAGGAGAAAGTTTAATTCCTTGTGTGTGAAATATATATAGGCGAGACGTGTGTAACGTCCAAAGCATTTTATTTTTATTTTTGAAAAATATGATCATCATCACTTCAGCAATGTTTAGCTTGAAAAAGCTGGAACCAATCAGAATAGCGTATTTTTTTAGTATGTGTCAGAATTGGGGGGTGTTCATGTAAATGTGACAAAAGTATGAAATATGATATTAAAAAAATTAAAGCTCATTAGGATCTAGGAGCACATAATTCGGGGTTACAATGACTTGTAAAGGCCGTATCATCAGACTCAATTTGAAGAGTTGAATGGTGCACACCGTAAAGATCACAAACTATATGTTGGCCTTTGGATAATATGTCATCATAATCTGCACCAGAACTACTGTCAATAGTGATATGTGCTGTCAATGAATATTTTCCAGGGGATAATGTCCAGACGTGTAAATCATGGACCGCAAGTACACCGGGGAGACCCAATAAGGACTTTTCAATCAGGTCTGGATGAATATTACCAGGCACACCCTCCATAAGAACTGCAAGCGAGTCTTTAACAAGATGGTAGGTTGTATATAATACTAAAATAGAGAAAACAAATGTACAGATAGGATCAACAATAGTCAAATGAGGCTTATAGATGAGAATGATGGAAGAGATAAAGACACCTATAAATAATCATTTAGACTGGAAGATAAGATACACATCTCTACTTCTTTCTCTTACCGACAGACGCTAACAGATCGCCCAGTACATGGAGTGCTGCGGCTCTTAGGTTAATATTAGCTTCCTATGACAAAAGATTTAGCAAAAAGTGTCAAAAGAAAAAGTCCGATAGAGTTTTTACCTTATGAGGAAGAGACTCCCCTGTTTCATTCTCGACGTGGCCATGCTCATGTTCTTCATCATGCGAGTGACCATGATGATGTCCACCCAATACATAGGCCAAACTTTTATGAAAAAATATTAGTGACCAATATTATTCAAAATCCATCTTATGTATACTCACACCACGTTGACAAGTACACCAACAGCAGCCGTCATGCACATCTATTTAGTAGAATGTTTTTAGAAAAAAATACTCGTTCGAGGTGGTACAGATTAGAATGTAATTTACCAGTTTTGCATTGATTACTTCAGGATTTTTAATACGTTGTATAGCTTCATTCACCAAAAAAGCAGTAAGAACCCAGATGGTTAAGACGGACATGAGAGCTGCAATCACTTCTGCACGATGAAAACCAAAACTATGTTCTAAATTTATCTTTTGTTATTTTAAACTTAACAAAGAAAAACAAAAAAGTACCAGCCCTAAAATTTTAAAAGACTTACTCTTGGTAGGTGGTTTTTCTGCCAAAAAAATGGCTACAAGAGCCACAACAAAACTAGCTACGTCTGATAACAAATGAAACGCGTCGGACATCAAAGCTATACAATATAAATTAAGCACAATAAAAACAATAACTTGTTTTTCTCAAGTTACCTAAAGAGTTTGCAAAATATCCTGCTACTAGTTCCGTAGCAAAGAAGCAACAGGCTAAACAGACTGCAAACCATAGCTTTTTCTTTGTTGATTTAGCTTCCTCACGATCTTTGGAGGTAAGGTTCGAACAATTCTTTTGGGTGATGGTGTAAGAAACAACCGATCCATTTGGTAAAGGAACTGTACTAATGAGAGGATCTCTCTCCGTACTTGTACTATTCATTATATTGTTAAAGATAGATATCGGAAAGAAAAAAAAGTGAGAAAGGAAAAAAAAAAGAAATAATTTTTTATAATGCTATTTGGGGGCATTGATCTCGGCCAATGAAATGAACTGCAGCCTTGTTTTGTACAGCATGAAAAATTAAGCTTTACTATTTTTCGACGTAACGAAACGAATGTCCTATCTGTTCTAAACAGAGCTCAAACGAATAACATGGCAGGAACAACAAATAAAATTTTGAAATTTTTGCGTTTGATTTGCTGTAGATTTTCATCAATACACTATGCCAGAGACAATTGTTACAAAAAAGGGAACTATTTAAAAGTCATAATTACTGACCTAACTTCCAATGTAAACCTCAACAATCATTTTGAGTTTGACGGTTTCAGTAAGAAATTCTTTTCCTTTTTACTGAGCGAAAATTCCAGCATTATGACCAGTTTTTTTTTAATATGTCTCCAATTAAAAACAAATTATTATTTGGACATAATGTCACTGTCCCGTATGCCATATATTGTTATGATGGAACTTGTTTTCGTACTCTCGTGTATATATTAGAAATACCTTTTTGCCGTTTCAGGAACTGACTGTACTTTAGATTCCTGCTGCAAGGTAGATTTCTAATGTTCAGTAACAGTTCCCTTGAACGTATTTGACTGTATTTTGTCTTATTTCTTAAGGATATTTATCAAATTAAAAAATCCTTTAAGGATATTTTGCTATGTTCTTCCTAAAGTTGAGAGGTTAATCGGTTGACCTTATTTATCTGGTTTCCCTGGTTACTTCACTCGAGGACTCCTTTGCCCATATTTGTCCTGTGCAAAATTTCAAACCAATCAAGGCAAAATTTTTGATTAGTGACTTGTTAAATTCCCCCAGCGCTTCAACAAGGGGAGAGCAGGGGAATAGCCCAATAACTCTGTCTCTTTTTTTCAGAATGTTTCAACAATTATGGTCAACGGCCTCAGCTAGATTTGGTGTTGCTGCCATGAACGCTACACGTCCTTCTATGCTTACCCAAGGTTCTAGCATTTTATCTGCTAGGTAATTTTTTTTTGTGTTTTTTTTGACATGAAGAAACTAATCATTGATCGAATCTAGTATGGGAGCTTTCCGTAACCCTATCAGCAGTGCCATGAACACTGCAACACAAATGCGTTTCGTCACATACGGTAACACCTATCAACCTTCTCAGCTTGTTCGTAAGAGAAGACATGGATTTTTAGGCCGTTTAGCCACAAAGACAGGTCGCCGTGTTATTATCAGACGTCGTATGAAGGGTAGAAAGTTTTTATCTCATTAAAGCATTCTCCGCACACACATACACTCTATCTCTCAACCAACAACACATCCAAAGTATTCAACCTGTACATTTATTTCCCCCTCGCTTTTTTTTACGCTTATTAAACAGAGAAAACAAATTAGAACTTTTTTTTATATTAAAGAGGAAGATACAATGGAAGAAAATACACTAGGTAATTTATCATGCTTTAGCTTTTCTTGAATATTACGACGGAAATTTCGACCTTGGCGACCTTTGAATAATGGCATTAAAGGTCGCACCATGAGTGTGGCAGGAGGTAATCCGTATTCATCTTTATCCAAGCGTTTGGAGTAGAGTCTATCGGCATAGTCTATATTATTTGGAGTAAGAGATCTTACACATTTGTATTTGTAATATTGTATTCTACCTAAATATTCGCTTGTGATTTGCTCAATCGATTTTATAATCGTATCGCCATATATACCCTGATCTAGGGACTGAAGAAATACAGGGTCGTCCATCACTAAGTAACATTGAGCATCATATTCCCACCTCCAATCACAACCCACAATTTACCTTTTCTACCAATCATACAACCATCCACCTTTTTTAAAACCGACTTGATCTCATCCACCTCTGTAAAGCCACCATTGATTGACATGGGCAAATCGGGAAATGCCCTTGAAAGTTCAAACACCCGATCATAATTCAATGGAGGTATTGATCGATTTTGCTTGGGTGATAGACCTTTTAATAGACATTTTCTGGCATGCACAATCAAATGAGGGGGTGGCTTATCGCTTTTCATTAAAGTCTGAACATAACCTTGCAAAAAGTCGAAATTGTCTTGATGATCAACACCTGTTCGACACTTGACAGTGACTGGAATTGTCACATTGTGCTGGATCATGGCCGACAACATGTCAGCTACTAGATCAGGGGTCCTCATTAAGACAGCTCCAAAACTACCATGTTGTACATTAGGACTAGGGCAGCCATTGTTGATATTCACATGTTTGTAACCGTAATCCTGTAACAATTTAGTGGCCCTTGCCATGTCCTGCACATTGGAACCGCCTATTTGAACTACAATGTTGGGTCGAGGTTTCCCCACAAAGCGATCTAAATGATCGGCATGATGAAGAACCGCTTGACAGTGATGCATCTCGGTGTAATAATCATAACGGTCCTTGCCAGAAATGATGTGTAACAATTCCAAGAATTGCTAAAGGGGGGTTATTAGCGATAGGGCTGTCAAATATGTCAAAAGCAATTTAAAATAAGGGGCATACAGGGGTAGTGATATCAACCATTGGTGCTACACTGATGGGTCGCTCTAATCTTTTTAGAGTATGCATGTGCCGACATGATGTTGTGATAAATCTTCTAAAAAAGGTCATGATTGATAAGTAAACAAAAAAAAAAAAAAATATGAAAGAGCAACAACAACAAAAAAAAAGGGTCACATAATAATTCATTTATGCAATTTCTGTTTTTTATGTTAAATTAAAAAAAGTTTATAAATATTTGTTAACCGTTCAAAAAAAAAAAACTGTTCCTTTTTCTTCTCTTTTCATGGATACTTTAAAGAGAAGACATAATATTTCTCAGGCACCGGATTCTCCACCGCCAAAGTATTCTGATACTTATGAACCCGTTCCTTTAAGTGATGAAAAGTTCAGTCCCACCATCTCTGAAAAGGATGGTAAGGTCTTTAGAAAGAATTACAATAACAAGGTACCTCATTTTTGTTTTCAACGCGTGCCGATTTGACGCGATTTTCTTTAACATATATACTTTTTTTTTTACATAGGCCTTGACTTTCTTGTATACATATCAAAATGTAATTGCGTTGTCCGTCTTGTCACTGTTATCTTTTTATACACGTTTTCATCTCATTGGCCGATCAAGAAAAGTTATTTGGGATGAGGTATGTAGTATTCTAGCCTATATCTGACACATATCTTAACTCTCTTTTTATGTCTGTCTTAGGCACATTTCGGAAAGGTATGCTTAACCTCCCTCTGGTTACCTTCATGTTCTCCTCTTTAACGTATTTAATTTCTATAGTTTGGCTCTTACTACTTGAAAAATGAATTCTATTTTGATGTCCATCCACCTCTTGGAAAAATGCTAGTAGGATTTTCAGGAAAATTAGCAAACTACAATGGCTCATTTTCGTTCGATTCTGGTATCTCTTATCCTGATGATTTGGATATCGATACCATGCGTATCTTTAACGCAGCTTGGGGTGCCATGCTCGTACCTGTTGCTTTCTGTACCGCTCGACAATTCAATTTATCGGTGCATGCCTCCGTACTGGCCGCATCCATGGTTTTATGTGATAATGCATTGTTAACCATCAGCCGATTTGTCTTGCTGGACTCCATGCTGTTGTTCTTTACTGGTGCCACCTTTTTGGCTTTGGCAGGATTTCGTGCGCAAAGAAACGAGTAAGTGGGACGACGGGTAAATCGTATGTTTTGGTTACACACGTCACCCTTAACGCATATTTATTTGTTACAGATCCTTCTCATTAAAATGGTGGACCTGGCTTTGCGGACTTGGTGTATCGTTGGGTTGTGTATTAAGTGTCAAATGGGTTGGATTATTTGCTGTTGCTTTGGCCGGCGTATATACACTGGAAGATCTGTGGGATATGTTGGGCGACATTCAGATGCCTAAAAAAGTCTATGTTTCTCATTGGTTAGCCCGTGGTGCTTGTTTGCTGGCACTACCAATGTCGATTTATTTAGCTAGTTTTGCTGCTCATTTTTATATCTTGAGTAACAGTGGTCCGGGTGATGCTAATATGGGATCTCTCTTTCAAGCTAGATTAAATGGAAGCGTCTTTAAGGACAATCCATTAGGTAACCCTCCATGAAAAAAAAAACTCGATTTGTTTATTTACATCTATTTTTAAAGAAATCGCCTTTGGTTCCAACATCACCTTAAAAAACTTTGGTTATGGTGGCGGTCTCTTGCATTCTCATCCTAGTAGTTATCCTGATGGTTCCAAACAACAACAAATTACAGGATACACTTACCGAGATGCCAACAATAATTGGCAAATACGTCATCCTCGTGACGCCAATAATATGATGCCAGAGGACAATGGAGAAATCAGATTCGTTAAGGATGGTGATGTGATTCGTCTTAATCATCAACTCACCGGTCGTAATTTACATAGTCATCCTATCAATGCACCTATCTCTACTAAGCATTGGGAGGTAAGTGCCTATGGTACTGAAATGTTTGGCGATATCCAAGATAATTGGAAGGTTGAGATTGTTAAAGATATCTCTGGTATTGATTCCAACACCGTCAAAGCATTAACTTCTCGCTTCCGTCTTCGCCACGTATTTTTGGATTGTGTTTTGGCCTCCCGTAATATTGCGTTACCTCAATGGGGTTTTAGACAGCAAGAAGTGACGTGTGAAAGAAAGAGTAACCCATCCGACCCACACACTTGGTGGAACGTTGAGGAGCATTATAACACAAACTGTAAAGTATACTCTTTATTTTATTTTTTGCATATTCTGTACTTATATAATTCGTTTAGTGCCACCCGCACCTACTAGTGCTTATAAAACCAGCTTCTTTGAAGATTTCTGGCATTTAAATGTAGGCATGTGGAACTCCAACAACGCATTGATTCCTGATCCTGATAAGGATGATCTTTTATCATCTGGACCTACTGAATGGCCTATGGTTACTGTCGGTTTACGTATGTGCGGATGGGATAATGCCAACATCAAATATTATCTTTTGGGAAATCCTTCTGTTTGGTGGCCTTCTTTCATCTCTATCTTTATTTTTGCCTTCTCTATCGCAGCCTACATTGTTCGACAGAAGCGACAAATTGTTGATATGAATACAGGTAAGAATCCGCCTCGCATTTTATGCTGTTAATAAAATTGCTAACATGTAAAATAGCACGATGGACACAATTCGTGTCAGTAGGAAAACTGGTATTCTTTGGATGGTTCTTTCACTATGTTCCGTTCTTCATGATGGGCCGTGTTACATATATCCATCATTACTTCCCAGCACTTTATTTTAGTGTCTTTATGGTTCCCTTCTTAATGGAACACTTTTTAGTCAGCTCCAACGCCAAAACACGTCAAGCTGCATATGGTCTTGTGTTCACTCTAGTTGTTTCAAACTTTATCTTTTTTAGCCCCTTCTCCTTTGGTATGGAAGGGGATATTAATGAATACAAAAATCGTCTCTGGTTGAGTACTTGGAATTTAATTGAGAATTTCAACTAATATTTCAATAAAATAAAAAGTAGCATAAACGAAGAAATCTTTTTCTAAGATGTATATGTTTTACAATGTGTTCAAAACTCTATTTGTGAATGATGAAATCAAAACAGTAAAATGTGTGCCAATGATAACTCATTCAGTGGCATTTTTGTATCGCCGTTATGCCGAGTGACCCTCTGGTAACAACCAAGTTATTTGACGTGACTAACACACAATATGTGATACTGTTTACATATGTACTTGATCTATCATAAATAATAAGATATCTATCAGAGATAAATTAGTAGACTGATGCTGATTGGTCAAAATTTCGCCTCTCCTCAAAGTCACACGCTTCAAAAAAAAAAAAAAATAAGCCTTCTTTACTTGAGCAATGAAAGTTCGAGGACTTTGGGGTAATGTTTTAATGACCGATTCGAACGAGAGAGTTAGAGCATTAACACGACAGCTTAGGACTGGCCCTTAAACCCAGAAAGATATATAAATTAGACAACAATGTTTCTTGCAAAATTACCATGGTAACTTTTTGACATTCAATTGCCGAAAGCTTATCCTTATACAAAGAAATTAGGCTTCTTTAGCTAGCTTCAAGAAGAAAAAACGGACTTCTGTGCGCATGAAATTTGGTGGCATGGACCACATTTTATGCTCGCTAATCCCTCGAAAGGTAGACCCAAACTTTATCAAGAAAACAATGATATTAATATGATAAGAACAAAAAGATTGAGCAACAAGTCGTAGATATTACTTGTTTAGCAGGTGAAAATATTGAACTCTATGCCGAAGGACCAGAGTATGTCTATATAAGACGCGTCGATTTATTCTCACTGACAACGTTTTAGTGTGGTTCATCTCAAGGGAAATTATATTTCTCAAGACGATAGTGATTCCGAAGAAGCAACAGAAACAAAGTATGTAGGCTTAAGGGTATAAGCTTTTTCTCATTTTTTTTTACTCATATAGGTCTATCAATAGTCTTTTACAAAGTTCTATTTCTCTGGCCAGAAGCGATCTAGAAGAGGAAACAGCACCAACGTATGTCTTGGTTTGTGCGTTCTCCCGAGCAATTACATTGACATTTTCATTTTCTTCATTAGACCCGTCGATGAAAAGTCAACAGATAACAAAAATAATCTGATAGATAACAGAGAAAACGAATCCGATCAAGATATTATTTCTGCTACCAACAGCAGTAGTGATAGTGATGATAATTTTTTTGGTCGAGATCGTTTTAATGCCACGGAAGTGGTTTATAATGAAGACGATTTCGATACGGAAGTCATTTGCGATTACTTTGATTCCACTTTTGATCAAGAAAAGCTCATCGAAGAGACTGGCAGTAACATTGAAATCATCGAAAACAATCAGCAGATGACTGGTCTTATGAGGGATGCCATGGCCTTCTCTCAAAAAGAAATTGATGTCAATGCGTCTAAAGATAATGTGCGCAAGGAAGATGATGTGCCCGAGGAAGATGATGTACCCAAGGAAGATGATGTACCCAAGGAAGATGATGTACCCAAGGAAGATGATATGCCTGAGGAAGAAGACACGCCTGAGGAAGAAGAACCGCCCGAGGAAGAAGAACCGCCTGAGGAAGAGGACTCACCCGAGGGAGAGGACTTGCCTGAGGAAGCGGATTTACGTGAGGAAGAGGATTCACCTGAGGAAGAGGGTTCACCTGAGGAAGAGGATTCACCTGAGGAAGAGGATTCACCTGAGGAAGAGGATTCACCTGAGGAAGAGGATTCACCTGAGGAAGAGGATTCACCTGAGGAAGAGGATTCACCTGAGGATCCATATGTGGAAGAATTAACTGATCCAATAAAGGATAAGAAATCTGATACATTAAAGAATATCGAACAATATAAAAATGAGATCAACAGCACGCTGCAAGAGATAGACAGGGTGTCTAAAAAAATTTCAAAGAGTCCTAAAGGAGGATCAGGAAAAACCGAAACCACTCCTCTCAAAAATAAATTTATTACTCAAGCAAAGGACAAGCCCACAAAAAAAGCAGCCAAGTCAACACTAATGATAACACCAATGACAACGCAAACCGCGAAGAAAATACGAAAGAAGACACCTAAAGGAACTCCGGTCTCTCCGCCTTCTGTTCCAATAAATGAATCCGCGCTAATACCAGTCATAATACCATCATCTAAGCCTAAAAACAATCCCACACAAGCCAAGAAGAATAAGGGAAATAATACGAAAACAAATAACGAGAATAAAAACGATACAGCTCAAAAGGATTCATCATCTAAGCCCAAAAACAAAAGGAAGCCTAAAAGCAAGCCCACACCACCTAATAATAACAAGGTACCTAATACCGAAAAAGATAACGAGGAAGTTGAAGATACATCACAAAAAGATCCATCGCCAAGAGAAGTTTCATTAAAGGACGTATCGTTAAATGATATCGCACCAAAAGATGTACCTTTAAATGATATCACACCAAAAGACGTACCTTTAAATGTTATTACATCAAAGAAAGTGTCGTTAAATAGCCCTCCCAGTACTGTATTATCCCCAACAACATATGTACCAAAAGAAACTGAAGTTAATCATATGGAAATCCAGCAAGAAACGAATGCCGAATCTGAACTTGATACAACATACGAGAAACACAAACCGTCTGCCTCTCAACCAACCAAGGCTAGATACCCAAAGCGAAGTCACGCAGAAGCATCTGCGCGTAATTTGGAGCATTTAGCGCGAGAAGATGCCAGAATGTCTGCCACCATGAGTCATAAAAAACGAAAAATCCCCAAAGCCTAAAAATAATAAATGTGTTTTCTCCATTTGTTTTTTTGTTTTTGTTTTTGTTTTTTATATAAGGAAAGGAGGGGGGTAACTATGCACTAAAAGGAATTAAGAATAAATCTGGGAATATCGTATCTCAGGAGGTGGGGTAGGGAGGAATAATAATAGGGATGAATAAAGAATTAACAAGCGCACGCGCTACTTTCTTCTTTTCGGGCGGATGAATCAGTCAAATCCACTTTGGTTACTATTACAACAAGGCGTCAATAAAGTTATTTGTTTGCTTTTAATCACACTCACATTGTTCCCTTTGATTATCTTCAGAAGAGTTATCCATACCGGGTAACGCATTTCCAATCTTACGGAAGAGAGCTTTCACCTGTAGACATAAGTTAATATGCAACGTACTTCCTCACAAACAAAGTACTACACTTACATTATAACCCGCCTTGGCACTGGTTTCTATAAACATAATGTTGTACTCTTTTGCCTTTTTCTCTCCTTCGTCCACAGTGACTTGTCTAATTCGATTTTTTTACGTAAGCAAGATTTATTCAAGGCACCAATCTATGGTTCTTTACCTTTTATCATTTAAATCCGTTTTGTTTCCTACTAGGACGATGATTACATCCGTTCCTCTCTCAGCACGAACATCATCGATCCATTTAGATGTATTTGAAAATGAGTTTCGGCCTATATCAAACCGGTTACAATCTCGGTGGGAAACTGAACACACGATTTGTACTTACTTGTAATATCGTACACAACAACACACACAGAAGAATCACGAATGTAACTTGGGATCAACGAGCGAAATCTTTCCTATGCTTGTCAAAAATTGCTTTAGTGTCCTGACCTTTCTCATCCAATTCGAATCAATTATTTTACCTGTCCGGCAGTATCCCCTATTCATTGTGGAATCATTAGTACGCAATAATTGAACAAAGAAAAAACAATCCACACTTACATAATTGGAGGCGGATAGTACGATCGTCAAGATACATGGTTTTCGATAAGAAATCAATACCAATTGTAGCCTATCTCATGATTAAATACATAAGAAAAAAAAAAGAATGGATGTATAACTATGCTGTTTACCTGGTAAGTATTATCAAAAGTGTCATACATAAAACGAGTGATGAGTGAGGTCTTTCCAACTAAACGAAAAAAAAAAAAAAAGAACATTCAGGACAAAAGTACTCATCATCTTGCTTTTTATAAAAAAAACTTTACCACTTTGTTCACCAAGAAACACAAGCTTAAACTTTTTCAAAGGATTACCAAAGTCGTTATTGTTGTTTGCCATTTTGATTTTTTTTACGAGAAAAACAAAGGAATGTGTATTGAAATGAGAGAGAATGGGAGTTTGGGATAACTGAAAGAAAAAAAGAATGAAAATTTGTGTATAATTTTTTTTCCTTAATATATTGTGTGTGTAACAATCTCAAGGGATGTCATCTCCTTATTTGAAAAGCAGTAATACATTAAAGAACAATTCGATCCGCCTCCATAAATAGTCGTGACATAATCTAAACAGTTGATATTATGAAACCTTGTAGCACCTGAAGCTGCAGAATGCCAGTTATAGCAGTAATTCCTTGCATATCCTGTAAAAGAAACAGATTGACAGTCTAAATAATAATAAATGGTCAATCTTTTTTTAGGTAACATACCGGGTCAGTCACTTTTGGTTTAGATAATACCATACAAGCTGCTGTATTTTTAACATCTTTTCAACAGTCATAAAAGGACAGTTGCTGATGCTTGTTTGAAGGCCTGTCACCACCTATGTATGTGCATTTTATAAGCTAGACTTACTATAGTAAACAATGTCTTGCGAAAATTGGAGTGCATCTTTTTCATTGCAGTTAAAAAATGGATTCTAATCATGAACTTCACTTCAGATATTTACAGATACGAAGGGATCTTTGGAAGCAAGATTCGGCGTCATTTTAGCATTTGATCCATAAAATGAGATCCGCTTTTAGATATCTACAGAGTGTAACCGTAATTCTGTATCTAAATTGCCATCAAAAGAAAAAGTAAATAAATCGTAAGGCCACTCTAATCAAATTTGAATTATCAATTCTTGATGTCATAACTACAGTTATTATTGAAGCGTCAGAAAAAATTCGTACGTTATTGAACCGCTAGGATTTATGCATAACTTTTTTGGCGTTGCTTCATGTATTCCTCCCAACATTCAGAATCATATATCTAATGACGAATTCTAATAAATACATACAAGAAAACAAAGAGGGAAGGGAAAAGTGCCTGAATAAATTTTATTTAAAAGCTCTAATTTTTGTGCCATTACTTCTTCGAAATATCTGCAAATAGACACTTACAGTTTTTCAACGTATCTAATACAAATAGCAATGGGCCTACCTATTGAATACAATACCAAACTTTATAATCTTTTATCTGTGAATAAGCAGTAGCATATACCTATAATGAAGCGCATTCCATGAAAAAATAAAGAGAGGTTCAAATATGATGTGAGTTCTAATTTTATTCTATTTTATCCCATAAATGGGGAGGATTTAGGATCTTAAAAAAGATAAAATTTAGGCTTCCCAAGAAGAGGTAGCAGGAGCTTCGGTCTCATCAGCCCAATCGGTGGTGCGAGAAGCAGACCAGTCAGCGGCAGCGGCAATACCGGCAACACCTTCAGAGGCCTCACCTTCAACAGCCCACTCACCAGTGGCAGCCTCAGCGGTGGCAGCAAAGTCACCCTCTTCGGCATCTTCGGCATTCTCCTTCTCGATATCCTCAGGATCACGGTAGAAGAACATATCAACCATGACGTCCCAAGCGGTCTCATAGTCCAAAGAACCACGGAGACGGAGGACGGCACGGGCCAAAAGCCAGTAGATCAAACCAATGGCGTGCTTGGCCTTGTTGTTAGTGGGGATAGCAACATCAATGTACTTAAGAGAAGCATCGGTATCAGCAAGAGAGATGACAGGGATGTTGACATAAGAAGCTTCGATGACAGCTTGGAAATCGGAACGAGGATCGGTACAGATAACCAAACGGGGTTCACGGAAAGAACGGGTGATGTAATTGGTGAAGGTACCGGGAGTGAAACGACCGACAATGGCTTCAGCACCAATGTACTTGGCGAACTTAAGGGCAGCACGGTGACCATAAGGACGGGCAGAGACGACAACAATGTCTTGGGGCTGTAAAGATACTTAAGTGTGAGCAGAGGATCTATGTAGTAAAATAAAAGATCTACTTACGTTCTCAATGGCAGCAATGACACGAGCAGCCAAGATGAGCTTCTCCCAGGTCTTACCAATGTTGATCAAGTTGATACCTAGAATAATTACGATTTAGTTACATTTCGGAATCAATGATGGTCTAATTAAGGTGCTTACCATCAGCACGACGCTTGTGGATATAAGGAGCCATACGGGTGTTGGCGTTCTTGGTACCAATGTGACATTGGGCACTCAAAAGGAGTTGGATATCCTCTTCGGTGGGGTTAAGAGCGGAAGGAACACGAGACATATCTATTAGGGATAGATTAACATTTACTGCTTATTTGTTTGTTTCACTATTGCTATTTTTGTAGCATGTGGATGGATGGATGGATACATACTTGATGTGCAGGGAAAGAGAAGGCTTAATCTGACTGTACCACTGACGACAATTTTACATTGCTTGCCCACCCCCATCACCCCCCTCGCCTAATTTGGCAGACAGCAAAAATCCCCACCCTCTGTTTAAAAGCCAAAACGAATTCCCGACCTCCGGCCCGCAAAATTAAACGCGTGACCTTCTTTCTTAAAAAACTGCAATAACTCCTTTAACATATGGGAGCTTTCAAAGAATTATGCATTATTTGAATATTAAGCTACGTATCAATTGAAGTCGGTTACAAGGCGAATTAGCTGCGCAACAACATGAATAAAAACATAGCTTATTTTTTTAATGGAAGAGATTTAATATTTATTGGAGAACAAACAAAAAAAAAGGTTGAGAATTTTTTAATTTAAAAAAAATTGACAGATGTGGGGTAGAAAACTTAGAATCTGAGCTTGCTGAAGAACCACTTGTTCTTACCGGTTTGGTAACGTTCTTCGAAGAGCTTCTTGATAACCTATTTTTTTAAAAAAAACATAGTTAATATCATTATGTTGTTAAATTTTTATTATCCATATAGTATTACCTTCTTGGAATCTTCACGTTGAGTGGGTTCCTTGAAAGTCTCAGCAGAGACGGTACCCTTGATTTGTTCTAATTCCAAACCGTAACTATAAAAAAGGTTAGCCGAAAATCACGGTTCCTTAAAACTTCACTGTAATACATACCGAGTGGGCATCATGTGGTTGTAGTTAACAATCTTGACGAAAGGCTTAACCTTGGAGCGCTTGGCAGTCTTCTTCTTACCCATGGCCTTGGTGACCTTGAGGGGAGAACGCTCGACACCAGCAACGACGGCATAACCGTAAGGTCTATCCTTGGTTCCTTCGTCATGGTCTATAACAACAGTACTTAATTATTGGATCTCTCTTTTTTTTTTCGAGGCAAGAAAACTAGAAGAAAATAGAATCTCGAATTGTGCTTTCCATTTAATTTAAATCGAATCGTTGTGTTGTAATTTAAAGTATGTTTGTGGTGTATAGTTGGGTGTTGAATGACACGAGTTGAAGCACAATTGAATCTCTCTGCTAATTTTCTGCCTCTTTCAATTATTTTTATGTAAATACGTACTACGGACGACAACGGCCTTTTTACCGGCATAACGACCTTGTAAAATAACTACAACCTACAAAACATAAAAGCATAAGTCAAATTGGAAATTGAGAAAATATCAACAAAAAAAAACACGGGATGGACAATGGGGACACCCTCACCACACAAAAAATTTGTGTATCATTTCTCGTTCTCATATCCAAAAATGAATCATCCATCCAGGTTTTTTTTATCTTTTGTGCGTGGTCTGTATCTGTGGTGATTTCTACATACTTTACCAGCCTTGATGAACTTGACCATGGTTGTTGAAGATCTGTCAAAGAGAAGAGGGAGATTATCTATTTTTGCCCTACAGGCTCTCTTTTGGTGGATAATCCCTTGTGTCCGGCTTCGCAAATAGAATTCCTTAAAACTCCGACACATTTGCTTTTTGGCTTGCCAACCGTTTATAATTATCGAACAGTTGTTTAAAAATTGTATATGGCATGTTCTCTAAGAGTAGTACCATGTGAATTACCTGTATAATTTTAAATAACTGATACTAAAGGCCCTAATGGTTATGATCCAGAGAAGAATAAAGACTTCATCTTTACTTGCAACAGAATAGCATGATCAGATAAGCAAGTGTGTTCTTCTTTGTCATGACATGTAAGATAATCGTTTTGGGTAATAATTTGTTTGCAAGTAATGGAATGCTGAATCCTAGGGAGAACATATTATTAGCGGACGTTTGATGACAGTAAAGCATTTTGCCTCAGGTCACAAAGACTTCTCCAAATATTTACTAGTCCATGATATTTTAAAATCCAATTTATATGTCATCTGATATCCTGACCATTGAAATTCTGGAAAGAAATTGCACTGAAGCAAAGATAACTTACCACTGTTTATATTCAAATAAAATATATGATTAGACCTATGAGGGTCAATTGTATGTATGAATAGGGCGGTACTTTGGTCAACAAACTGAAAGTCTTGGGAAGAGCGATTTAAATTCCGTAGACTGCAGCCATTAAAACGTCATATTCTTAATTTTCTCCCTTGTAACTGAAAAGCCTACGGACATGAGCGAATTTAATACCACACAATGTAAACGATCTCTTGAAACAGGTCCCGAAAAAACCAGTACAAAGCAGAGAATCTCACTTTCTCGTCGTAAAACTCGACAAAAGAAAGAGTGTGGCCAGTCATCATCACAACAGGAACTACGCCACAATGAGCAAGACAAACATAATAATCACGATTCGAAAGATCTGCCTTTTGAATCAACATATCCAGTAAAGGAAGAAAAACCGGACCAAATTACTACTTTAAATTTAACTGCATCGCCATCGATCCCAGAATCGTCGACTTCATTGCAAGAAACAAGCCTAACGATCAAGAATATGGATCTCAGTAAAGCAGATTTTATAATTGATTCAGACATAGGCCATACAATTTCCAACACAGTGCTATCAATACAAGAATTTCCAGAGAGCAATAACTATAAATCAAGTCTTAAAGACACATTAAAGCATGAATGTGAAACGGAAGAGAAAGCTGAAGTCAAGTTAGAATATAAAAATGAAACTGACGGTGACGGTGACGTAAAAGTTAAATACGAAGTAAAAGAAGAGACTTTTAGTGATGTAGAATTTAAATACAAAGTAAAAGAAGATCAGAACTATGATATTAAAGTCGACTTCGAGGAAAAATATGAATGTCCTATCTGTGATGTCGACTTGACATTCATTACATCCACAGACATACGACAAGAGCATGTAATGGGTTGTATATCTAGTGCCGAATATAGGCAAGAGACTAGTATATGTAGTGTCTGTAATCGGGATATTACATATCTCACCATAAATCAAAGGCAAAAACATGCCAACCGTTGCCTAGATGGATCATCGGTTACAACGTATAACCGTAACTCAAGTAATGATTTTGCAACGAAACAGCCAATCTTTTTAAATAGACCACAGAAGCTGCCAAAATCGACGCGAGAAGAAGACAAACACGATGAACTTTATCAAGCAACATTGGCTATGTCTAAATCCTTACAAAAGCCCGATAAAAAAGCCAAGATAGAATTGGATGAGGCAAATATCTGGTCTGATCAAGAATCGCGGTTGGAAGCAAGTCACCAGTTGAGTTTGTTACTAGATGCCCAGAACGAGATACGCATGTCCATTCAATCAGAACGTGAGATTTCTATTGGATCGATCGGTCCCTCTACTATGCTAACAGTGCCTACATTATTACTATCTCGGTCGCCGTCCATAAACTTTTGGGGATTAGCTGCATTGGAGGACATGGAGCCCTCTATTTATAACTGCGCATTTTTAGGCCATAGCATTAATGCTTCCAAGGAAAAGTGAGGGAGGAGCTTTAAAAAAAATAAGTTTAAAAATTACAGTGTTCTTTGGTCTTTTCCTAGTCCTTTTAAACTTTTTATTGAAAAAAAAAAAGAAACAAAAAACAAAAACAAGCGTGAAAAAAATGAGCTCTAAAAATGACAGTAGCAGCGTAAGTTTTTTAACACGTTCATAAATTGTGTATTCGGACTCTCTATTAAAGCTTCCATTTTAGACATATAAATCAACTGCGGACGAATCTAGCAATTGGCGAAGAAAACGTGTAGATCCTCTTGCAGAATCTCAAGACACCGAAAGAAAACCAAATTACGAGAGCAGATCTCGTCATAACGATCATTCAAACAATAGTTCGTCGAGATTGCCTCCACGTCAACGCGATCAAGACTACAGACCTCGTAGGCAACACGGCGGGGGTAATATCACAGCACGACATTCAAGGCATAACCGGCAAGCGTCAAACGACGGCTCTAATAGAAACGATCATGTGCAAAGTATCTGTGAGAATTCTTTAGAAAATAATATATCAAATAACGTCGGCACAGTTCAAATTCAAGCTGAAAATGAAAACGCATTAAGTAATGAGCATAGACAAAATAATATTTTGTTAGACCGCGGGCAAAACAATGCTTCATTCAATTACGGGCATACTGATACTTTACCAAGCTACAGACAAAATGATGTCTCGCCAAATCAAGGAGAAACTGATATTTCTTCAAGTCAAAGACAATCTCATACTGCCTCAAGCCACCGAAACAAAGATGCTTCTTCCAGCCACAGACACACTGATATTTCTTCCAGCCACAGACAAGCTGGTGTTTCTTTAAGCCACAGACATACTGATGCTTCTTTGAACTACGGACAAGTTGATGCTACTTCTGATCATAAGCAAAATGATGATTCTTTAAACAACAGACAAACCGATGCTTCTTCAAATCACAGACATAGTGATACTTCCTCAAACCACAGACATAATACAACTTCCTCAAACCGCAGGCATAATGATACTTCCTCAAACCACAGACATAATACAACTTCCACAAACCGCAGACGCAATGAACGTCGAGTTGATAACGATAACGTAGATACGAACAACCGTCAGGCAGCCAAAGAAAATAATTGGCGATCAAGTAAGACATGATCATCATAACAATAACATAAAAAAAAAACTAACTTTATGATAAAAGCTGCCGGTCCACTCTCTCCCAAACAACCAAGAGCTTATCGTCACGTTGATGATTATAACAACTCCAGTAGAAAGAACGTGTTCCAACCGTATATCAGCCCAGAAGCTGCACAGCAAGGAATTCGAGAAGGATCACTTTATCAAGGAATTATACGGTTAACAAAAAATCGTAATGATGCTTATGTCATACCCGATGACTTGGATGCAGATGTATATATCAGTGGGCTAACCGGTCGGAACAGATCACTCCATGGCGATAATGTAGTTGTACGATTGCTGGATGTGGAAACAGTATGGAATGAACGACAGGAACGTGAAGCTCAAAGAAGAAAAGAACGGGCTCAAAAGAAACATAATGAAAAAGTCGAGGCTGCTGCCGAATTGGACGACAATATAGACTCAACTATCGAAAGTCTTGTCGAAGAAGAAGTTGATGTGGAACAGCTTGAGGAGGGACATAAACCAACTTACTGTGGTGAGGTTGTGTCTATTTTAGAAAGATCACCGAATTTCACTTTTGCTGGGTAAATTTCTACCACACTCATATAAATAGAAAAATTAGAAACTAAATATTTATTTAGTACCATTACAGCAACACGATTTGCCAATACTGCTCTTTTAGATAACAATCGTCCTCTACGAGTTGCTTGGTTTAAACCAAACGACTTACGCGTCCCATTTTTAGTGCTTCGTAATAAGGATATTCCTGACGATTTGCTACAAAATCCAGATATATACCGCAATACATTATTTTCCGTAAGTTTTTTTTTGCTTCGTTTTTAAAGGAATACTCAACAATATTTTTGTTTAGGCAACGATCTCACATTGGCCAATCAACGACCCTTTCCCCACTGGAACAATCATTAGGGAAATTGGTCCATTAGGCGATTTGTTGACTGAGAAGGAAGCAATTCTAGCCGACAACAGTATTATTCGCACCGAATTCAGCAGTGTCGCCCTACGTGGCCTTCCTGATTTACCTTGGTGTATTCCTGAAAGCGAGATTGAGAAAAGAAGAGATCTCCGTAACGAACGCATCTTTTCAATTGACCCAAGCACTGCCAAGGACCTTGATGATGCTCTGCATATCAAGGAATTGGCCGATGGGTTTTACGAAGTGGGTGTCCACATTGCTGACGTAGGATATTTCTTGAAGCGAGGTTCTCCTTTGGATACCGAAGCTTACGAACGTGGTACTAGCACTTACCTTGTGGATAGTGTGATCCCAATGCTTCCTTCGATTCTTTGCGAAGAATTGTGTAGTTTGAATCCAGGTGTTGATAGGTAATTGCTCATTAAATAGTATTATAATTCTTTATTAATGTACTTTAGGCTGGCCTTTTCCGTTATTTGGAAAATGGATTTTGAAGGAAAGATTGTTGATACGTGGTTCGGAAAGACTGTCATCAGGTACTAAGCAAATAAATGGAAGCTTCATACCAGATACTAATATGCTCGGATAGATCTTGCGCCAAATTAGCCTACGAGGACGCACAATGTGTAATTGACGGTCAGGAAATGTCTGGAGACATAGTGATGCACGACTCTCACCTTCTTCGACTTGTCTCTGGTGATATATTTATGCTCAATAGCCTTGCCACGGGAATGCGCCGTCGAAGATTCCAAAGTGGTTCTCTTACTTTAAACTCGGTCAAGTTAATGTTTGAATTAGACTTGCAGGGTCGACCTACATCTGTCAAGAAATTTGAATCAAAGGATGCTAATCATTTGGTAGAGGAATTCATGCTTTGTGCCAATATCAGTGTCGCAAAAAAAATTGCATCTGTGTACCCACAAGCATCTTTGCTGCGTAAGCATGAACCGCCATTGGAAAGACGCTTGGTAAAAAAAGAAAAAAAAATGGCGGGTCAAAAGACCTCGTACCTAAATACTGACATGTTTTGTTTAGAACAAGTTTTTAGATTTGACAGAAGAGCTCGGTCTTGATTTTGCTGGTAACACCGCTGGTGAACTACAACGATCTTTTGACAAGATAAAGAATAAGGATGTAAAGGATGTTCTCTTAGTTTTGGCTATTCGTTGTATGCAAAGAGCGAAGTACTTCAGCAGTGGAAGTGCCGACTCTTCAAAGTATCTTCATTATGCCTTGAACGAAAAAATGTATACGCACTTTACCTCGCCCATACGTCGTTATGCAGATGTCATTGTTCATAGAATTTTGGAAGCAGCCTTAGAAAACAATAGTAAGTTTCTTGCTCGTTACAAAGAGAGAAAACGTTTATATCTATTTTACTAACATGATAACAGGTTCAGGTGTATACGAAGGCAGGATTGTGCAGAAGATGACATTCAAATGTAATTCCAAGAAAGATGCTGCAAAGAACGCTCAAGATACGAATATCGGCCTTTACCTTGCCAAATATCTATCAAACTATCAAGAAACAAAAGGACCTGTATATACAAAGGCAGATGTCATTTATGTCGGTAAAGAGACATACGAAGTCTATGTTCCGTTGTACGGACTTGAAAAAAAATTTCACGTGGAAGATCTTCCAACTGAACAACATTACTATGATAAAGAAACCCATAAGCTGGACATTTTCTGGAAAGCTGGTGTGCCTGTCACAATGCACAATGAAGAGAAAATGTACGCTCAAAGACGAATCCTCAAAGATGATTATAGTGATGACGATTTGGATGTCGATATTCCTATCGAATCTTTAACACTTAAGGATGTCGATGATATGGTAGAAAATGATGATTTGCTTGTTCCGCCTGTAGTACTTGAAGAAAATACATGCTTACAACGATTAGGCATGTTCTCCAGGATCACTGTTCGTATCCAAGTAAATGACGAGAGATCACCACCGATAATTAATGTTTATCCAGTGAACCCTTTTTCTGGGGAAAGTGTGGTAGAAATAAATTAAGAGGATACTCACGCACACATATCCCAATTGTAATGTTTAATAAATGACATGTGAAAACTGGTTACACACATGTGGGGCAGAGTATATATAATCATGTAAGCGTTGTGTTACCCAAAGATTATCTTTTTTACACTTTGCCATCAAAATGTCATAAGAAAGACCGAGTACTTCATCGATATGGCAATTAATGAAGATTCGAATGGCGTACGAAGCTGAAATGAGCTCATTGTCCCATTAATTCATGATATGTTTAGTCAGCTCGCTTTTGCCTTTATGTCCTGTCGGAGTAACTTGTTCAGTGATCCTCTAAACGGCCAGGGTGACAAGAAGTAGACACACATGTTAAATATATATCGGATTTAGGCTATAAAGACTAACTAAACTTTAATATGAGCAATAAGGAGATAGTTACAATTGAGCTCTATTGAAAAGGTTCAGGCATATCATGTGATACACGAATTTCTTTTTTTCCCCCACATTTTTCATGTGAAAGTAATTGCACTTATAAATACGGTTCTTTTTTTCCAGTTCATTTTAACGCTTTGATTTTTCCTTTTTTTTTTTTCTTCTTTTCTTTTTTTCACAAGTTAAAAAATAAATATCAAATATGACTAACGATATTCGCTATGATGGAAGAGTTGCTATTGTAACTGGTGCTGGTGGAGGTGAGTTTTTCATTGAGCAAACAATGCCTCATTGGAATGACAAGACTAATATTCCTTATAGGACTCGGTAAGGCTTATGCACTTTACTTTTCCAGCCGTGGTGCCAGTGTTGTTGTCAACGATCTTGGTGTGTCCCACACTGGTGATGGCTCCAGCTCCAAGGCTGCTGATGTTGTTGTGAATGAAATCTTGAAGGCTGGTGGTAAGGCTGTTGCCAATTACAACTCTGTCGAAGACGGTGAAAAGATTGTCGAAACTGCCATGAAGGCCTTTGGACGCGTCGATATTATTATTAACAATGCTGGTATTCTTCGTGATAAATCCTTTGCTAGAATCACTGATGCCGATTGGGATCTTATCATGGCTGTCCATGTTAAGGGTTCCTATGCCGTCACAAAGGCTGCTTGGCCCATCATGAAGAAGCAAAAGTATGGTCGTATCATCATGACTGCCTCTGCTGCTGGTTTATACGGTAACTTTGGTCAAGCTAATTACAGTGCTGGTAAGATATTGTGGGAATGTTTTGTTTTTATTATTGTTTATATGTTCTGATTGCATAATTTATTTTAAGCCAAACTTGCTCTTGCTAGTTTCAGTAACTCTTTAGCTAAGGAAGGTGCCAAGGATAACATTCACTGTAACACCATTGCTCCTATGGCTGCTTCCAGAATGACCGAAACTGTCTTACCTGCTGAGATCCTTGCCTCTCTTAAGCCTGAATATGTCACTCCCGTTGTCGGTTTCCTCTGTCACGAGAAGACCGAAGACAATGGTGGTATCTTTGAAGTGGGTGGTGGATTCATTTCCAAGTTGAGATGGGAACGTTCTGCTGGTGCTGTCTTCAAGGCTGATGACAGCTTTGATCCTGCTGCTGTTGGTGCCAAATGGGAAGAAATCACCGATTTTGAAAAGAACAACGAATATCCTACCTCTGTCATGGATACTGATTTCTTGGCTCTTTTGGAACGTGCTAAGGCTGCCGAAGCTAACCCCAAGGCCGAACCTCTTAGATTTGATGGTCAAGTTGCCGTTGTTACCGGTGCCGGTGGTGGACTTGGTAAGGCTTATGCTTTACTCTTTGGTAAATTAGGTGCCTCTGTTGTCGTTAACGATCTTGGAGGTTCTGCTGGTGGTCAAGGTGCCGATAGCCGTGCTGCTGATATTGTTGTTGAAGAGATCCGTAAGGCTGGTGGTAAGGCTGTTGCTAACTACGACTCTGTTGAGGAAGGTGATAAGGTTGTTGAGACTGCTCTCAAGGCCTTTGGCCGTGTTGATATCGTTGTCAACAATGCTGGTATTCTTCGTGATAAATCTTTTGCTCGTATGACAGATGCCGATTGGGACCTCGTGCACCGTGTTCATTTAAGAGGTACTTACAAGGTTGTTCAAGCCGCATGGCCTCATTTTGTCAAGCAAAAGTATGGTCGTATTATCAACACTGCTTCTGCTGTCGGTTTATACGGTAACTTTGGTCAAACCAACTACAGTGCCGCTAAACTTGGTGTTGTTGGTTTCACTCGTACTTTGGCTCTTGAAGGTCAACGTAAGAACATTCTTGCTAACGTCATTGCTCCCAATGCTGGTACTCGTATGACTGCCACTGTTATGCCTGCCGAGATGGTTGAAGCTTTCAAGCCTGAATATGTTGCTCCTCTTGTTGCTTTCCTCGGTCACAGCAGTAACGAAGAAACTGGTGGTATCTTTGAGGTCGGTAGTGGATGGGTTGCCAAGGTCCGCTGGCAACGTTCCGGTGGTGTTGGTTTCCCTGCTAACCGCGAATTAACCCCCGAACAAGTTGCCGAAGCTTGGTCTCGTATCATTGATTTCGAAGATGGTCGTGCCACTAACCCTAACAGCACCCAAGATTCTTTCCAAGGTTTCATGGATAACTTTAGTAACGTTGCTCAAGAAGAAGAGAAGCCTGAGGGATCTCTTGATGTTGAGAGTGCTAAGAAATTGAAGTTCGAGCCTAACGTTTTCACCTATGAGGAACGTGAAGCTATCTTGTATGCTTTAGGTGTCGGTTGTAAGCGTACCGATACTCAATTTGTCTACGAAAACGATGTCAACTTCAGCGTCTTGCCTACTTTCGGTGTCATTCCTTCTTTTGCTGCCATGAACTCAGTTCCTTTTGGAGATATCGTTCCCAACTTCAACCCCATGATGTTGTTACATGGTGAACAATTCTTGTCTCTCAAGAAGGCTATTCCTACCAGCGGTACTCTTAAGTCTGAATCTCGCATTATTGATATTCTTGATAAGGGTAAGGGTGCCTCTGTTGTTCTTGGTGTCACCACCTATGACGAAAACAACGAAGTTGTCTTTGAGAATCAATTCACTTTCTTTATTCGTGGTAGTGGTGGATTTGGTGGTAAGCAAAAGGGAGAAGATAGAGGTGCTGCTACTGCTACCAACGCTGTTCCTGACCGTAAGCCTGATGCTGTGATCACTGAAAAGACCAACGAAGATCAAGCAGCTCTTTACCGTTTAAGTGGTGATTACAATCCTTTGCACATTGATCCCGAGATGTCCGCCATGGGTGGATTCAAGGTACCTATCCTTCATGGTCTCTGCTCTTTTGGTATCTCTGGAAAGCATGTCTTGAAGGCCTTTGGTAACAACGATCCTGAAACTTTCAAGAGTATCAAGGCTCGTTTTGCCAAGCATGTCTTCCCTGGTGAGACTCTTGAGACCTCCATGTGGAAGGAAGGTAACAAGGTCATCTTCCAAACTCGTGTAGTTGAGCGTGATGTGATTGCTATCTCAAACGCTGCTGTCGAATTAAACGCCCCTGCTCGTGAAAGCAAGTTGTAAATTTCCCCCCATTCCTTTTAATTCTTCTATTTTACCCACTCTTAATTTTTTTTGTTGTTGATTTTGCTAAAGAATAAAGTTCATTTTAAACAATAAACCATTGTTTCTAATTAAAAAGTTCGGTAAAAGTTTATACCCACGGATAAATTACTAGGAGATACAGATAAAGAGTACCAGTGTAACTGGTATCAATCCTTAACCTTAAACAAATATTATAAACCCAAAATAATGGTACATGTCTGAAAAAGTACATTTTGTAAGTAATGTGCTACAATATATACATCGATATAGACACCATCTATATGTTTATGCTAGGAAAATGACTTTATTGTTGTCTAATTCATTACGTATTCATTGCAAAAGTATAAACCCCGTCGAAACCCGCTTTTCCCGTTGATAAAAACCCCGTATTTCAAAAAACATTCCAAATGACATCTTTTCCCGTTTATCTGCAACTTGCATTTTCTTTTTTTGTGAATAATAATAATAATAATGGCAACCAAGACCCTCACATCCAAAGCATTTATCTTTGATCTCGATGGTACATTGATAGATACCACACCTCTTGTTGTCAAGTACTGGACAAATTTTGCGTTGGAACATAATTTGGACCCTGAACAGGTACAGTGTAATTAAAGGCAGAAAAAAAACGCGCAATTTGTGTGTATTGATAGAATTCTATATAGATCCTTGCTACTTCTCATGGACGTAGAACTATTGAAACTTTGGAACGCTGGACGCCCGAACTTGCAACCGTGGATTACGTGAATAAGTTCGAGGGAGGTTTAGCCAAAGAAACAGAAGGTGTGACTGTATTACCAGGCGTCCTTGATTTATTGAAGAGCATTCCTACAGAAGATTGGACTGTCAATACGGCTGGCACTATTACAATGGCTGTCAGCAGATTATCACAATTCAATATTCACGTGCCCAAAGAAATGGCTACGGGCGATAAGGTAAAGAAAATGTCATGGTTTTGGATAATGATGACTGTAGATACTCATGCCGTTATAGTTGACTTTTGGTAAACCTCATCCTGAAGGCTATTTATTAGCAGCAAAGATTCTTAGAAAAGAGCCCAAGGACTGTTTGGTGTTTGAAGATGCACCTGCTGGTGTGCAGGCTGCGATAGCAGCTGGTATGGAGTGTATTGCATGCACGACTACACACACCGTGGATCAACTTAGAGAGGCTGGAGCAACTGTGATTGTGGAACGCTTAGACAGTGTTCATATTGAAAGACAGTCTGATGGTAGCTACAAAACTGTAATTTCAAACACGATTGAATAAATAAAATTGGATCCTCTATTGTTATTACAAAGAAAGAAAAAAAAAAGGGGGGGGGATAATGTACATTTATATTTGATGATAAATACTAAAGCTTTTCTCTCATCAATTGGTCTTTACGGTCATACCAACGAACAACTTCTTCATAAATGGTCCATGAAATAGCTGAATTGAGTGGTTTACGGATTAATCTAACGCTAATACCATCGAAGAATCCCATCAAACCTTCCTCCTATCGTAGAATATTAACAACATGTTGGAATAATGTAAACGATATCCAACTTACCATGTAAACCTTTCTTGCTGATTGTATTAAATTTTTATACATCATGGGTTTAAGCTGCATACGCGTTTTCAACATATCAAATGGTTGTGTAGTACAAGTAGCAGCCATACCGGCAACGACTCCGGAACCCAGATTAATGAGTGCATTCGCGATAGGTAAATTTTGACGCATAGAATATTCTTACAATAGGATGAATGTGATGATGACAAAAAATAGAAAAAAATAGATAGTTACCATTGGCCCAAGTCTTACATCCTTCATAAAAGAACAAATAGATACCAGCAAATGGAGCATCACGAATAAAGGTTGCACCATATCCAGCAAACAGACCTATTTGTACATATTAATACCGGTAAGGGGCCTGATTAAATCTACACATTATACCCCTGATGCCATCTGTTTTGATAATTGATTTAAATGCTTGGTTTAAACTTGTGTAATTATAGAAATTACTCTTTTTATAAACAAAAATATGAGTCAAAAAAAAAATTTGTTTCCGATATAATCTACATGTACATACCTCATATCTCACTTTGACCACTGTGATAGGCATCATCATATAACCCACAGCGCCTCTTGCTGTAGAGCCAGAGAATAAATTTTCATAACGTTGATATGCAGCTGTTGTTTCGCCATTGACACCTGCTTTATTTAACCAAGGTTGCCAGGTGCCTCTAGTGTTGGCAAGAATGTCTCGAACCTCGGATAAAGCAAAAAAATACAAGGCTGAACCAGGTACATTTCTTCCGCTTGGGGTCAGTTGTTTATTCTTTTTTGGGGGCGTGAAACTCTCTATAGTTACCTCATAATGGTTGGTACAGTTCCTCTCCAAAGTCCATTATAACCGTTGCTATTGACAATATCCTTGACAGTAGTGTAAATGTTGCTACAAACTAATTCATTAAACATTGGCAATTCCAAACAGAATCGTTTACTCTTTGCTTGTTACCTCTTTTGAGGAGATACCAATAGGCCTTTACTCTTTGCTTCTCTCAAAAAAGCCAAGTGATCCTGGCGTTGTTGCTGTAATCGTGTCTTGATCAAGTCCAGTGGTTGAAGTAACACACATGCTGCCATGCCAGACAATGCTCCTCCTGTTAAATGTAAAGCTGGGCTTCTTTTGTCGTGTTTTGACATTTTTGCTGTTGCTGCTGCTGAAAAAAAAAAGAGTGAACAGAAGAAGAAAAGGCTTCCCTTTCAGAAAACTCTCCCCACCTTTGACTTTACGATTGATGACCTCTGTTTGTGTCAACAATCCATCATTATTTTCAACCCCCGAAACATTTGCCAAAAATACAAAGTTCTGTTTGAGAATGTCTTTGCTTTATAGTTTATTTGATTGCTTCTATCTTCATCTCTTTATACCAATGCCTTTTTCAACTCTTGGTATTCTACCGTATTACTCTTGCATGGGTCACCACCTTCCCCTGTCATTTGCCGTTTGTTCCTATATGGGTAAAAAAACCTTAAGTAAGCATGACTCGCGTTGGAAAAGGCGTATCTTTAACTCCGAAAGAGAGAGAGAAGTAACCACAATATTACCCCTTTACCGAACTCAGGCATCACCTACACATGGGATGCATTATTAGAACCATAAGCTTTATAGCTCACTTTGCGTAATGATACAAGTCCAACCGTTCACCCTTTTTTTTTTTTGCAGTTTCAATACATGGATGATATCATAATTATAAATATTTGCACAACGACACCACCCTCCTATGGTGTTAAATTACATAGACATAAAGCAAAAACACCTCCTGAGGGCATGTACGTTCAGCTCATAGTTCTAACTACCATTTCAATAGTGGAGACCACTCTTTATAGTTGACTTTAAAGTAGAAATCACTCATATAGTCATTTGAAAGAAAAAACTAGGGGTGTTAAGACCTCATTTAATTTCTCAACAGTCTAAGCAGTTCTAAAAAAATTATCCTCGTCTACCCCTTCCCAACCAAAAGTATTTAAACATCAAAAATAATTTCTTTGTTTTTTTGTTTTGTTTTTTTACACTCATCGGTACCATCCGATATGAAAACCTTCTTTGAGAAAATGATCTTCTATACCACAAATAAGCCCGGAAACATAAACTAAAACTATTAGATAGTCTGTCAAAACTGATTTACTTGAAATATAAGTTCATAATCAGATATTTGAGAATTTCGATAAAAACATTTTATTTTATTGCATAGGTTGACCTCAGACAATGAGGTGTGGCATGTATTCTCACAATTTATTCAAGAAAAGCAGTTGATTCAAGAGTCAACTTTTCTTCTTTTATTCACGTATTCACTTAAAGTCGAGGTGACAGACATATCAACTTCATTGTCATGATTTAAACAGGCGTTTAACCATTCGCTGGTGTCCTATGGGTAATTATGTTTCTGATTGGAAAATACCTGGCTTTTCACTTTTAATATTTGCTGTTTAAATTCCCATTAAAACGATCAACGGTAAATGCTCCTAGTAAAGTGGGATGCGTCGCTTGATATAGACAGGTCTTTGATTTTTGTTACTCTTGTAATGTAAGGAGTTGGTTTATCAGCAGCTAATAGTGCTATAGATAGACCTGCAGTTTGGATTCCAAATACTGAGAGGTCTTTGGACTCGTTTTGATTACACCGCAAATTACGGTGAAAGGTTAACAATGATTTTGACCGAATCCGTGACGGGTAACTATTTTCCAAAAATTGACCGTCTCTGGGATTTTGCGGTGTTACTTGTAAGCAAATTATCTAACATATCTTTCATCACCTTTGGCAGTTAACGCTGTCTCATATCAGTGCAGCGGGAGCAAGAGTATCCTAATAAATTTTTAGTGTTACGAGACACCTATTTATCATGCAACGGTTACTGTAAATGATGCATACTTGTTTGTTAAATGTGATTGGCAATAGAACATAATAGTTGTAGTTGATAATTTATTCATTATCTTTGTAATGAATGAAATACGATCCCAATTATAAAATCTTTTATCGAGATTTGTATATTTGGTTGTAGAAAGTAGGTATCCATTAATTCATACACTGCTTCTTTATACACTTTATCAGCTGTATAATTATATCAATATATAAGTAAATGAACCATTTATATTAATAGCTGCTCTATTATCTTTCTGGGTAGCTAATCCATTGAGAGAACTGTTAATATTAAGTTTCTCTTTCTTATAATTCTTGATTTGATCTGAGAAGATTCTCTTCTCGATCGTTGATATCGTAACTTAGTGGTATAGCATTATGTATCCAACTGTCACTCGTATATTATATGTAGTCCATTCATGCAATCTTTAATATAGAAGTATGTACTCGTAGTAGGAGAAGCTGTATAGGGACAGCGCTGTCATTCATAAAGTTACTGAGGTTCAGAGTCTGATCGAATCGCGCGGATATAAAGCCACATACTTGCCACCTTACTCATCATTTTTGAGCCCTATTGAGTTGTTCTGTTCCAAAGTCAAGGATAGTATTAGGAGAGATTTTTTGACTGTAGATGACAATCTGAGAGCTAGAATCATTGAATCAGCCAAAACCATATCTGTTGATGACTGTGTAAATTGGATAAGCCATTCGTATGCGTTCTTCGATAGATGTCTGGCTCTTGAGCCAAAGCTCTGAGAGTACGAAATGGGAAAGTTATCCGCTTGATAAAAATCTTTGTACGCAAAATAAAATCAACTATCCGCAAATCTGTAGTCAAAAACCAATATCAAATCGGCAAACACTCAATGTTGGGAACCGGGTTTTCGTAGGGAACACAGAAAAAAAAGACAATTACCATATTTGGTCATTTCTAAAAGTGGGATGTGTAAAAAAAAAATATCGCATAAATTGTGACAACAAACATTTTTTTTTAGACGTTTGCAATTATACTATTTTAGCTTGAAAATAAAGACGCTTTTATCCCATCACACGTATCAGAAGGCTGTATTTTTTTGGTTTCTATACGTTATTGTCTGGGCCTGGACAATGAGACTCTTTTAAAAGAAAAAAAAAAAAAAAAGGGTTGATTATTTTACCACGTGTTTTTGGGTTTCAATTTAGATGTCTTGCTTTTTTTTTTTTTTTTTGCTTCTTTTCTCTCTTTGATAAAAAAAAAACCTTTTTGTTTTAATAGAAATGGATTCAGCAGATCAAGCAATACATTCTTTATTTGCTGGCACAGCAAGCGAGCTCCATTTACTGACAGGTTTGTCCTCATCTTTAACCTTTTTCTTGAAAAAAAAACTGAACGTACTCTCCTGGACACTTACAGCTGTCGAACTCATCAATAATGCCACGGTCGAAACACACCCCAACCCAGACACCAAAGAAACACACTTACTTGCTAAACAAGCCTTACGTTACCTACGCATGGAAGCAGCCAAAGTAATACATATACATATATATATGAATAAATATAGACACAAGTAGAAAGCTCATTAAGCTAACGCCATGAATTATAGGGTGATGTAGAAGCAAAGATTAAACTGAGCACAATACTAGATCGAAGAGACCTTGGTAATGTTCTGATTCAACGTGATTCACAAGAAGCCACTTTATGGGCCAGAAGTGTATTTGACCGTCGACTTTCAGCAGCTTTAGCTCCTTGCGTCTCTGAGCTGATTGTGTTGACTGAGCAAGACAACACTATGGGTCTTTTAGAACGCATCATTCAACGAGCTCAAGTTCAATGGACTGAAGGAGACGATAAAAAACAAAAGAAGATATTAAAGCATATATGTTACTTGGTCGGTGTCTTGTATGTGGATGGTACAGGCATTGATCAAGATATACCGCGTGGTGTCACTTTCTTGACCAAGGCCTCTGAATTATCTCATGAGGGCGCCGGTGTAGAACTGGCAAAGATATTGGGCGACCCTTTTAAATACCCCAAGCAATACAACATCGAAAAGAGTTTAGAATTGTATGAATCCGTAGCTGAAAATCAACAATCAAGACGCAATGGCAATAATAGTACGGATTCAAGAGCTCTGATTGACTTGGCCAGAGTGTATTATGAGGGAAGTGAAACCATTCCACGAAACATTGAAAAGGCGTATAAATATGCTCGTCGTATTGCTGAAAGTATTGGTGAACAGTACTGTCAGTTTATTGTGGGCGATGTCTTGTTACACCCACCACCCACACAGCCTGCAATGAAGCAAGATATTCAACAGGCGGTCTTTTGGTTGACTCAATCAGGAGAACAAGGTTTCCCATTAGCGATTGAAACATTGAGCAAAATTTATTTTGAAGGAAAAGTCAAAGGTATCAAGAGAGATTATGAACAAGCTCATCTTTGGTGCTTATTGGGTGATGATATCTGGCCATCCGGTCTAGGTTATTGTCAGACGTGCTTAGGCGATATGTACAGGCAGGGTCTGGGTGTACCTAAAGACTTGATTAAATCATTTGAATATTATCAAAAAGCTGCAAGTCAGCAAGATGCCCCACAAAATTATGCAAGATATATGCTGGGAGAGATGTATGTGTTATCTACTGCTTTTTAGGCATTTACATAAATATTTAACCTACATACATATATAGGTTCTTTAAGGCAGATGGTTGGAATCACAATTTAGCTCTTGCTGCTGATTACTACAAGATGGCTGCCAATGAAAATTACGAGCCAGCTTTAAAGCGTATGGCTGAACTAAATGCCATTCAGGAAGAAAACAAGAGGTCTTTGGAAAAGGCTTCTAGTAAAAGAAATCAATGGAAAATTTGGTCCATTTTTGGTACCAGAAGAAAAGCAACAGCATAAATTATAACAATACCCCCACTTCTTAATACATTCGCATTTCATGATAAATATACCATTGTAGAAATAGTTTCTTTTATTCTTTCTTTCTACTGGAAAAAACACAACATTTTAATTTATTTTACCCTTATTTACAGTGTTTACACTTCAAATTCAGACAACATCAGTTTTTTTTCAGACAAATAAAAATTCACTTTCAAACATTTGCTTACCTTTTTCAGACGATATAAAAATGGAAATTCAGATTTAGTGTTAGACTTTTTTTTTTTTTTTTTTTTTTTTTTTTTTTACCTGTAGGTATCTTTAAGCCATCGCCGGTGAGGGCGTGGCAACCACATTGTAGGTGGCGCTTTGTCTTTTAAAGACATCGGGTCGGCCATCACCTCTCCAAATTGAGGTGGCAATGGTGTACATGTTTTTCGTAGCCATAACGTCACGATTCCAACGAATATTACATTTTTTGCAGAAGAATATTTGATGGATTGATCGGTTGTCCGTTCCACATTTATACTTTAAGTTTTCTAGACCACTTTCTAGGCAGTTATTGCAGTTCTAAGAAAGAAATGACATTGTATTAGTAATTACATGTTATAGACACGTATATCTTTCACCTTTGATGTTTTATATTCATCTATGTCAAGTAGCAATAACTCTCCAAGTTTTTCCCGCAGCTTCAACTGTCTGTATATCATTTCAGAGACGCCATGCCTAATCCCACTGATCTTTACGTGACTTTTATTCTTCAGACCGTCCCCAAAAATTATCAATGGCATTTTACTTTTGTCACCCTCCTCAAATTTCTCTTTGTGGCTTCTTTTTTTTTTAAAAAAGAAAAAAAAATATTAGAAGAGGAACAACATCCATGGATATGTGAGTAATACCTGGATGCGCTTTTTCTTTGTCTTGATCCGGCTTGAGGGGTGTTGCTTTGATACTTTGCAGCTGTCTTGCTTCTTTTTCTCTTGTTTTTTCTTGTTTTCATCCGTCGTCCTTTATTGTACTTCTTTGATCCGTTAATAAGGATATTTACAGCATCCTGGAGGGCACGCTGTTTTCCAATGTAATTACACCATTTGACTCTTGCTGTCTGAAAATTGTAAAAACTAAATAGTGTGTCCTTATGTTGCATCATGTATTTCACATGCGTAATATATTTATCAGTAACTGCTGACTTTACAGAAGGTATGTTTGTCTCGATTTTTTGCACTCCTTGTTCTTTCTTCCTGTCTTGCTCCAACTTCATACGATTGGCACTTCCATTCATGTTGTAATATTCGGCAGATGAAAGCCGCCTAACATCCGTGTTACCATGAAATGACACAAAAGCATCTTTCCTATTGGGATCTACTGTGCAAGGTCTAAAATAACGATCGATTTCTTCACTATTGAAATCTTGCAGCTCCAAAGCAGTTTCATTCACAGGAGATTCTGCGTATCTCTTTCGGCAAAAAGAAATCCTACAAGTGTACCCATCTGTGTACAGGCTATTAATAAACATCCTTCCTTTTCGTTGAGGTAAATTTTTTAATTTTTCAAAGCTATACAAGTTGAAAATTAGCAGGTTTATTTGTTGCTAAAAGCGTATGTACCTACGTATTTATGTTTATTTTAGCAAAATTAAAACGGGAAAAAAAATATCTTTGGGTGTATTCAAAAACTGTTTCTTCCTCTAACCGTTCCATTGAAGCCGTCGGAAACAGACCAGTCAAATTTTGGCTATCTATTTTAACGAAACGCCAATGCAAGCCAGGGTTCGGGAATAGACTGAAGAGACGAGGCGGCTGGAAATCTCTTTTTACGCCGTTGTTGTCGTTTTTGTTTTTTTTTACTTTCTTCTTTTTTCTTGGTCTTTTATTTACTTGATCGGTCTCGTCTGATTGTTCTTGTGAGATGATTTCCAATTGAGAGACAGGAACAGGTAGCGGTGCTTCCACAATTAAGGACTCATATTTCTCCAGAATGTGCTTAAATACTGGCATAATGCTGAATGGGGCATTATTTAGAGTTGCCTTTGTCACAGGAAATGCTGGTATACGATTCTTGATCTCCAATATCAATGGGTTTAAAAACGTACAAATGTTTTCTTGCTCTTCACTGTTCAAAGAAGTGGAAATATTGTCAGAATTGATGGCTCCCAGTCCTGGAGAAAATAGTACATTGAGCACATGTTCGTATACTATATGTTTTACTATGGGCATTTTTATGTCCTTTTAAAAAAATAATAATTGATGTCAAGTTTTTAATATATATATATATTTAACAAGGTTTTACACTTACATGAAATGCTTGACGGATCATGTATATAAAGTAGTTTGCAATAATATTTTCAAAGTTCTCTATATAATAGTTGTTATAACAAGTAGCTATAGATTCACAAGCGGATGAAACCACTTGGCCGTAAAGAGTTAAATTTCCTTTATCAACTGTCAAGTTGACGCCTTCAACACCGTTAAGCTCATCCCATACTTCGGCGAGGTGGGGAATAAGTGGATATTGTGATTGAAAATTTTGAACTGATAAATTTTGGTACACCACTCTACATACGCTATACCAAAAGTTTTGTTTCAATAGTTCATTAGGCAAACTGTTTGGATGTTTCAAAATATAAAAGTTGACAAAAAGCTGAGCGTTGTAGGTAACTTTTCGCAAAAACATTGAAAGACTTTTGATTTTTTCAACCGCAGTGTTATTCGCATTCTCATCTACTGAAGACATGAATGACTTGAGAGGTATGGAGACTGTATATCTTTGATTTTGAGAACCCAGATTTTGTTGAATCAATTCTTTTACTGTATAATTATAATTCAGGCATTCTCTGGACCTAGCAGATGCATGGCCATTTTGACCGCAGGACTTACATACTAGACTCGATGTATTTGGGACAACATTTCTAGCTCTTTTTGCATCACTTTTTGCCTTTTTCTCTTCTGGGGTATCTTTTCTTTTTACACCTTTGGGAAGATTTAGTTATAAACACATTGAAGAAAGCTTTTATATTACCTTTCTTTCTTTTACTTGGTTTGTTAATGGTCTCACTAGCAGTTTCCTGTTGTTGGCTTTCATATTTTTTCAACTTTTTCGTTTGTATAAAAGCTTCAATTTCAGGATAAATTGGTGTACGCATCCCGTTTTAGAAATTAGAAAGAAAAGGACATAATTGTTGTTTAAATCGACATCAGGCTGATATATATATATTTGATGTGACCGCTGCTTATTATTAATTTATCAAAGTATTTGTACAAACCAAAGTTATTATTTTTTATATCAAATTGTATCTATATGCCATGAAGTGAGGTTATTTGTAGTAGGCTGGGTATGATAATTGTAGGCATGTAAATCACTTTATTCATTTATAATATAAGTCGTATTAAACAAACTTTGTTGAGTGAGTTTTGGCTGTCTCAAAGTTTGATTAAATAGATTATTATGATTACGCTTTTCTTTAGGACCGGTAAAGTGCGCGTAGTCATAATCTAGGATCACTTACCCGTTGTTTTTCGCCGCCGTACGTTTTTCTATGTCATATTCTCTATCATTATCTTTTCCTCCGCTATGTCCTACCCAAATAACATCCTGCCTCTATCATTACATCACAGGTAGATCATGCCAATTATCTGCACAAGTGTAGGAACCTTTTTCTCACTTAAATCGTGAAGTGTTGGTTGAAAATAATTTGATGTCCTCTTTAAATTCTTTGTAACATTATCGACACAAAAGATTGTATTGACTGGGATGGATATCTTGTCTGATTGTCTTTTACATGTGTCTGAAAATCTTTTTACGACTGTCCGAAATATATTTCTGTTTGTCTGAAAACAATTATAAGCCTGTCTGAAAACAAATATAAGTTTGTCCAAAAATATTTGCTTTTACCCTTATTTAATCACAGCATTTATCATGTTAATAACAGTTTTTTTTATTAATATTAAGATATATAGTACAAAAAAGAAGGTGTGTGTGTGTGTGTGTGTAAACAATTAGAGACAAATTAAATATTTTAGCGGTTGAATGACAAGGAATAACGGAATCTGGAACGAGCGGTAAGCGTAAAATGTCTCTTGCACCATTTATAACCTTCGGCAATCAAGATATATACCACGACAGAAGCAGCGGTCATACCCCATTCCCAAGTGATAGGCTTGTGTCGGAAGACATCTGTATTCAATACTGGTACATACAAGGCGACAATCAACAAGATAAAACCAAACAAGGTAGACCAGAATAAGTACTTGTTTTGAGGTCCCTTAAGAGCAGAGATAGACCAAGTAGAGTTACGAAGATCACGACAGGTAAAGCCATGTAATAAGACGATTACAGTTAAAGTAGCGAACAGTGCACCACGAGCACGAAAAACTTCGTCACATGTATCATTGTAGTGTCCGTTACAATCGAGGCCTAATTCACCCGTTCCATAACCATAGAGTACGACAATAAAGTTCATTAAGCAAATCACACCAATGGTGATACCATAGAACATGATATCCACCAAATTGGACACTCTAAAGAGACCATCCTTTGAAGAACGGGGAGGTTCCAACATTTGATCGGCATGAATGGGTTCCAGACCTAAACTCATGGCAGGTGGTGAACTGGTCAAGATGTTGTTAAACAGGATTTGAATGGGAGTCATGGGGAAGACAGAGCCACCGGTTTGATCAATAAAGGCAAGACCCAATAATAAAGGGGTTAATTCAGCAACGTTACCAGACACCATGTGAACGACAAAACGAGAGATATTACTAAAAACACGACGACCTTCTTCAATGGCTTTGACAATGGTAGCAAAGTTATCATCCACAAGCACAATATCTGCTGCTTGTTTAGCTACATCCGATCCATTTTCTCCCATAGCAATACCAATATCTGATTCTTTGAGTGAGGGACTATCATTTACACCATCACCTGTCATACCAGCAATCTTCTTTCGACGATGAAGGGCTTCAATCATCTTAACCTTGGTATCGGGACTACAACGAGCAATGACCAAGGGGAGATCGGGTAAAGCATCGATTTCCTGTTCAGACATCTTGTCAAAGCGTTGTGCGGTCATAACCAAATTTTCTTTATTGTCTCCCAAATGAGGTTTAGCGGTTGCCTTGATACTGTTGTACAATTCAACGTCTTCTTCAAGGCCATAGGTAGCAGGTACAATACTGACTTCACGTGCAATGGCAGTAGCTGTTGCGATATGATCACCTGTTAACATGTGTACGGTGATGCCTGCTTTATGACATTCTTCTACGGCCAATTTGGATTCTTGACGTGGGGGGTCATAGATACCGACTAAACCCAAAAAGATCATGTCGCGTTCGATGAATTCACGATTGAAGGTATCATGTGCGATATCACCGGCATGTTTGATACGACGCATAGCTAAGGAAAGGACACGAAGACCACCACGTGCTAAAGTATCCACCTTGGGAAGGACCAACGCTTCCAGTTCTTCTACGGACATAAACTTGATATCACCTTCATCGGACATGAGCATCCCAGAGCAACTTTCGAGCACACGCTCCGTTGCACCTTTCAGAAAAGCCATATGGGATCCCTCGGGAGAACGACAAAGAACACTCATACGTTTCACAGAAGAATCAAAAGGGTATTCAGAGATTAACTTCCAGCTTTCGTTGTCGGGTGCATCCTTCTTGACCAAAGTAGGCTTACCATTCTTCAATTTATGAGCAAACACTTGAAGCGCAATTTCAGTGGGGTCACCAATACCAGACCATTCGTCATTTTTCTTGTCTTTACGGAGTTCCGCCATGTTACAGAGTGCAGCGGTATTGACCATCGTTTGAAAGCCAGCGTCCATATTTTCTTTGGTGATCACTGTACCATCGGTTTCTGAAGTCACTTCACCATCGACTGTAAAGCCCAAACCAGAGACAGAATAAAAACCAGTGCTAGGACGCCATAAACGTGTCAAGACCATTTTCGATTGGGTAAGTGTACCCGTTTTATCAGAACAAACATTTGTCACAGATCCTAACAATTCAAGCGCAACCAAACGACGCACCAAAGCTTTTGATTGAGCCATACTGTGTACACCAAACGCTTGTGTCAAGGTCACGACAGCCACCAGGCCTTCGGGGATGACGGAAATGGAGGTAGAAATAGCGTAAAGAACCACATCGTTGGTGATATTAAACTTGGCGGCGGCAAATACAATAATGACGGAAACGATGGCAATGGCCAACAAGACAAGGGCCATACGGTCAAGGGATTTCTGGAGGGGTGTCTTGGTATTGTCTCCACTGTCCAAAAGACGCTTAGCAATCTTACCAATTTCAGTTTGCATACCGACAGCGGTGACGATGGCTTTACCGCGACCCTTGGTTAAGACGGTGCTGGAGTAACACATGTTGATACGATCACCCAAAGGGACCTCTTCGCCTTGAATGACGCTTGAGACTTTATTGACGGGCATACTTTCACCAGTTAACAACGCTTCATCGATATCCATATTGAAGGCTCTATAAAAGACAAGTGATGTTAGTTTAAATTACTCCAATGTTTGTATAGACTATAAACTTACTCGATGATACGGCAATCGGCACCTACGACATCGCCACTTTTTAAAATGACAATATCACCTGGAACTAATTCCCGAGTGGGGATGGTCTTTTGATGGCCGTTACGGATGACTTGACTGGTAGGAGAGGCCATTTGACGCAGAGAGTCCATGGTCTTTTCGGCCTTGAATTCTTGCATGAAGCCTACAATGGCGTTGAGGAACATGATGGCACAGATTACAGCACCTTCGATGTAGTCTTTAAACACAAACGAGACGACCTATTTAAATATGATTGTGAGTGATACATTACAAAACAAAGAGATTAATTGTATTCGTAATTCTTACCATAGCAATGAGGAGAATAAGGACCATGATGTTCATAAACTGCTTGATCATGAGCTTGACAGGACTGACACCGCCCTCACCTTCCATTTCATTATAGCTGTATTGGGCTCTTCTTTCGGGAACAGCGTCTTCATCAAGACCATCTTCAAGATCAGTTTTGAGCAATCCATTGACGGTATCGAGATCCATGGTATGATAAGGCGGGCCTTCTACTTTTTCTTGGTTATCTACACTTTGTCTTCTACGTTTGACCAAGTGCATCTTGTTCATGAGCACACTGCGAACAGATTTGGTATCGAAATCATTGGAACTAGCACCGGTAGAGGAACGAGTTAAGGGTTTTTGCGAGAACTTTTCATTATGCTGGACTTGATATTCCTTCTTTTGGGATTCATCGAATTGAATTCTGGGTGCACCGTCTCTGTCACCTTGATCATTGTTATCAATTGGTATGTTTTGATTCATATATGTGTGTATGTGTGTATAATAAAGGGGTTTTTTTTTATATGTGGATATATATAAAAAAAAAAGTCTAAGAAGTTAAAGAAGAGATTACGTTAGAAGTAAACAATGCGTTTTTATATTTTCCATTGACAGAAAGACAGGAATTGTTTGATGTGAAACTCGTCATGTGAACATGCAGATTCTAGAATTTTTATTGGCTCAGATTCCGCTCGCAACCTAAAAAAAAATATTTTTTTTTGTTCTGATCTGGGTAATTCTCAACCTTCTTTTTCGGTAAAATGGCAAACTACCCATTTATAAGCAAACCATACCACCTGGTTTACTTTTTACCTTTTATAGAAATGTGATTATAATGGATACCTTCTTCTTTTTTTTTTTTTTTTTTTTTTCTGGGATTGATGACGTTTATTATGTGACGCCTTTTTTTTTTCTCGCAACAGGATTTTTTTTTTTTTTTTTTGTGTGTGTGTGTGTCGTTGACCCTATATTTATTCACATATATTTTTGGGTGTTAAAAGGTGGTCGCGCGTTTATTTTTTTTTAAATTTTTTTTTTTTTTTTTGGTTGCATATATTAAAAAAAGTATAAAAAATGTATAAGCCAACAGGTACTTAGAAAGAGAAAGTACAAAGCAAATATGGAAAAGAGAATAGGGGAATAACTCAATAAAAATGTAGGTACCAACATTACTCCCTTGGGAGCAAAGAGACGTTTCAATGACGGATCAAGCGAACGACGTGGGGGTCCTGAAGACGACCGAGGCAGAGAAAGAGAGAGAGACAGTCGAGGTTACTCCAACGATAGAAGAAGTCACCACGACGAAAGAGAAAGTAGAGGATATTCCAACGATAGAAGAGGAGGCCATCATGAAGAGGACAGAGGTAGAGACAGAGGTTACTCTGGCTGTAAGTCCCTTTTTTTAATTTTATATAAATGACCCTGTAACTAATTCTATAACACACACACACTTTAAGCTCATCGCTCTGCTCAACAATACGCCTACCCTCCTTCGCAAGCCTCTCCCTCTAAACCTACACCACAATCGCCTCCTCGTACAGAAGATGATGGAGCTGAACGTAAGCGAAAGCGCAAGAGTCGTTGGGGTGATGAACAAAAGGTGATTATGCCTGGATTACCCACCTCGGTTACCAAGTTGACCAAGGATCAATCAGAAAAGTATTTGTGTAAGTTGACTTGATTACAAAAGAGAAAGAGAGAGAAAGAGAGAGTACTAATGGTAAAAATAAAGTGCAAATCCGCTTGGAAGAAATCAATCGAAAGTTACGTATTGGAGATTTCACGCCTACGGAGCGAGCACGATCTCCTTCACCCGAACCCATTTACAATGCGGATGGTAAGCGTATTAATACGAGAGAAGCCAGATACAAAAAGAAGTTGGAGGATGAACGTCACCGCTTAATGGAGATTGCCATCAAGACCATTCCCAACTTCAGACCCCCAGCCGATTACAAACGACCCACCAAGACCCAAGAAAAGGTCTATATCCCTGACAAGGAGTTCCCCGAAATCAACTTTATCGGTCAATTGATCGGTCCTCGTGGAAACACTTTGAAGAGTATGGAGTCTGAGTCTGGCGCCAAAATCAGTATTCGTGGTCGTGGATCTGTAAAGGAAGGCAAGTCGAGAACAGATGCTGCTTCTAATTCAGGTCAAGAGGAAGATTTGCATTGTCTTGTCACGGCAGACACGGAGGATAAAGTCAGAAAGGCCGTCAAGCTCATTGAAAAGGTCATCGAAACTGTAAGTTTATTTTTTTATATATCATCTATCTTTTGTATTCATTCTTTGCCCTTTCTATATATATATATATAAAAATAGTCTGCCTCTGTTCCTGAAGGTCAGAACGAGTTGAAGAGAAACCAGTTGCGTGAGTTGGCTGCTTTGAACGGTACTTTACGTGATGATGAGAACCAAACGTGTTTAAATTGTGGTGCCTCTGGTCATCGTCGATACGAATGTCCTGAGCGTCAAAATGTCACGACCAGTCTTACCTGTCATATCTGTGGCGGTGGAGGTCATATTGCGCGTGATTGTACCCAGCGTAATAACCCAGAACTGGTGAATCAAGCGCGTGAACGCGATTCTCAATTGGACAGTGAATACATGAATCTCATGGCTGAATTGGGTGAGTCTGTACCTGAAGGCGGTAACAAGCCCACACCTGTAAGTTTTTATTTATTATATTTGTCATCTATTTTTTTTTTTTTTTATTTTATATTTAACTCTTTTATGATTAGTACGGTGGACAAGGTGGATCTGCACCTTGGCAGCAACGCGCGGTGCCTTCGCCCACACCGGGAGGATCGTCTGCTCCACCATGGCAACAACCCAGAGCTCCTGTAGGCACAGGTGCACCACCTCCATGGTCTACACCCAGCACTTATGCTGCTCCCAAGGAAGATAGTGGAGTGGGAGCCCCTTGGTCTAACAATGGGGCAGGATATGGTTATAGTGCGCCACCTCCACCTGGTGCTGGCGGTGCTGGTTACTACAATGCTTATGGACCTCCAGCCGCAGCGTATGGAGGATATTATGATCCTTCTCAGGTGGCTGACCCTACATCATGGCAACAACAACAACAACAACAAGCACCACCACCACCACCACCTTCGAGTGGTCATGCTGCACCATGGCAACAACAAGCGCCTCCCCCACCACCAGCCGAAGGTGATGCCTGGGTAAGTTGATAGAAAAAGAAAAGAAAAATAATAATAATAAAAAAAAAAAAAACTAATCTGTTTATCCACTTAGGGTATGGCACCTCCTCCCCCACCTCCTTCTGAGGATCCTCTTCCTCCTCCACCACCTGTCCAAGAAGAAGTCAAGGACGAATAAATCATCATCTTTTTTTTTTATATATAATCACATTTCCAAATAAATATAAAAAAACGTATAATTTTCTTTTTGAGGCTGTGTTTTAAAACACCCAGAATTTAGAAAAAATGACGTTCCCAATAGAAATAGAAGAAAAAGCTTAGCAGAGAGTTGGGATCGACATGATATTCTTTACGTTCTATTTCTTTATCGGAAAAAGCAAAAAAAGAATTCTTGAGGGCACACACCGCACTAACTGGAGAGCTAAATTCTTGGGATTCCTTTTCACTCCTTTTTTTTTTTTAGTGTAGAAACTGAAAATGATATTTTTGCCCTAAAGGGATAATATATATCTATTTTACATCATGGTTAGATCATTTCCCGTTTAGCCCACTCTCTTTTTTTTTTAACCTTTTTGTCATCATGTCATCAAACAAACGCATTACATAGTATATGTACACAAATAGAAAAAATAAAGTCTCCGAAATCAAATTCTAGCAATCTACTAAAATGATCCATTGTCTGTGTCTGAGAGATAAGGAGGTTAAAAAATCAATATATACGAGGAGATTTCTAACTACTATTTTAAATGAAATATGTTGTTGGGGGCATGAAAAGAAATGCAATGTAATACGTGTTTGAAAAATGTCTTGTGATTGGTCAATAGGGCGTAAAAATAATAATAATAATAAAAAAAAGAATGCAATGTCATATTTACTTTCTCTTTCCATATGCCGTTTTGTTGTCTTTTTTTATTATTATTTGTTTTCAATCTAAAAAAGTTGAAGAGTAAAAAAAAGAGAGAGGCTTTTTTTTAAATACTACGTGTAATCCCCCATAGACATACATGGATGGCATGAAATAAAATAGAAAAAAAAATGATTCCATATTTTATGTTTGGATGCCGGATTTATTGAATTCCGTTAGGATATATCTGGGGGGAGAGACAGGAAATGAATGATACCGGGTAATGTACAATACAAGCATCAGGCTTTATGGATACTTATGCAGAGACTGATACACACATAAATGAGAAGCGTGATTGTTGTGATGACTGTTATTATATCATTTTAAAAGAGTTAATTAAAAAGAGGTTAGGAGGGCAGTCTTTTCTAGTTATTTAATTATCATACATTATGAGTAAAGTGGACAGTAATTATTCTATTCCACTCTAATCATGTACACGTGAGTATAAAGAAAAAAAAGAAAGAGAGAGAGAGTGTGTGTGTATAAATAGCTTTTATTTTGACATGGATTTATATTAAATTAGACACGCACACATGGATGATGTATTGTTTATGGACTCTAAGGGTTCATTGTGAGTCCAGACCTTTTTTTAATCAATTTGTTGCATATCTGTAGATGACAAGTTTTATAACCCCTTAATTTTTGATTAGTGTTAGGTCTCATATAAAAGAGAAAGTAACCAGGTATGAGACATGGTTATAAAAAATCATGCGGAAAAAAAAACGTTTGTGCGTTGAGAACGTGATTTAGCCGCTTGTTCATGGTTGTATTCTAAAGCACAAACAAGTAGTAAATGAATAGTTATTTATTGTCAATAACATTTCTATTTATTTCTTTTCTCTTTCTCTCTCTCTCTCTCTCTCTCTCTCTTTCTGCATATTCTTTCTCTTTCTCTCTCACACTCCTCTTTGTCCCTTTTTTTTTTTTTTTTTTTTTTTTTTTTTTTTGGGTATATATTTTGGCATCTTCTCCTTTTGTTATCTCTCCTCTTTTAGCTTTCCCTTTTATATTCCCCCTTTCTAATAGACACTATATAAATTCCCACCACTATCTGTGATGACCAACGCTTTCTCTACTCTTTCCTTAAAGAGAAATCGAAAAAAAGAGTCCAAATTCAATGCCATGTTAAATAAACTCACAAACCCTTTTCACACTCATAAAAAGAGACGCCATACAGACAGACGATCCTCTCTCAGTACATTCATTGACTTCTTTCGTACAGAAGATCCTCATCCGTTTGCCAACGACGCTCTCTTTGAACATAACAGATACAAGCAGCAAAAGAGTCTTGGTAACAATCAAAATTTGCATCCCCAACATCATCCTTCTCGTAACAACAATAATAATAACCATAACCATAACAACAACCATAACAACAACAATTATAATAATAATAAGCCTACATCATGTATTTTACCATCACCATCACTACCACCACTACCACCACTACTCTCTCAGGCACCCACAGGGAGAAAAGAAACAAGCATACTGAAGAAACCACTGATTGGACATCGACACACAAACAGTACGCCCATTCAGCCCACCAGCAGCAGCAATAATAATAATCGGAAAAAGACACAGCAGCATATACGTCACTACTCGCATGTCTCCTGTATCTCGTCTTCCAACATTACGGTGAATTCCGAAGACTTGACTGCCAAGGAATTTGCAGACATTGCAGGTATCCGTATTCTATCGGAAGACGAAGAGTGTCCACGAAAGCACATGGAGGAAAAGATTTGTACGTTCTGTGGACAGGATGATAGTGAACGCTTGCCCTCATTGATTGTGACTTCTCGTATCAGTCATAGTTCCATGATTCGAGGCAGTGATCACAGCAGTATTTACTGCCCTCCCGACTACACTGCAGACAAAGAGGAAGAGGAAGAAGAGGAGGAGGGCCATCAGATATGGGATAATCAGTTCTGGAGGAAACCAGGCGGGGATACCATCCTGATGCCTCCCATCTTGCATGAATTGAAACATCACCAAGATACATTTATTAAAAAGGGTCGATTTGAAATTCATTTATCCTCTGCTATTAATGTATTACCACCACCTACTCTACAACCTGTCTATGAATGGAAGCGCAAATCAAGGCCAATCGCTTAAGCTGCTACATATATACTTTTTTTTTTTTTTTTTTTTTTTTTTTTGCATACTGAGTCTCAATTTACTGAGTGTTTGAAAATTATGCCCACTTTTTTTGAAAAAGATTGGTCAATTGTGTAAAGTTAAATTTCCCAGTAATAAAAATTAGTTTGCCCAAATATTTGTAGTTAATTTGCCCAAGCTCTCCAAAATAATTTGCTCAACTTTTACAAATAATTTGGCCTAACCAATGTTACAAATATTCAACCTCATAAAAGATAAACTTTTCAGTGTACAGCAATTTATAGAAGTTGGTTACTCGACAAGATCATAATGCAGACATTAGAGACTATTATAAATATATCATTTGTTTTTAATGTATATATATATTTTTTATCAACTCTTTTCTTGTAAAGGTCTCCCAAATGATTCCCGTAACTGTCTTCGATTATTTAACAAGCACTAAATACGGGATGTGAGATTCTAATACGTGCATCGATCTTACTAAGGAGGAACGAAATTGCAATAAAGCCGCTACATACTCTTACTTGAGCAACCTCTTGAAAACCAAGTTTAACAACAATCCCACAAATGTCTAGAACTCCGTATTTTTTTCAAACGTATTTATGTATTTTTTAGAATCACGTGATGGTCTACACGTCGATCGACATGCCATAGGATGATCGATTTCTGTTTTCCATAAAATCTGCTTCACTGTCATTACAAGTTACTACTGGAACGCAGATAGACAACTACCAGGTTCCGATTTACTTGAGGGTGGTTTACTGTTTTAAGTAAAGGCCCAAACATTATGGATGATGAAACAAATAAATAAATCATTCTGACATAAGCTCTTATTTATCAGCCTATAAATAAAGCTGGTTCACACACTTTATTCTTCTCCTTTTCTTTTCCCTTAGATAACATATTTTTTCTATCGTATGAAAGCAGTCGATAAAGTAAAACGGTTTGTTTAGTAGTAACTCTTGTTTCGTTCAAAAGACGCTAAAATGAAAAAAGATAGCATTGCGGTATTGCGACTGCGGCTAGTCTTTGCTATAGAAGGGTGACCTTCTAGGCAGAGTTTATGAGCTTTTGGAACTCACAGACTGTGAATAGCAGGGATTTTACTGTAAATAGATGTAATCATACTGGCCTACTGGGCTTGGCTAGAATTCCTGTAAGTGGTATAAAAAAAAATACGTTTGAAAAAATTACGGAGGTCCTGACATTTCCGTAAAAGGTGGATTGAAAATTGGAACAATCTTATTGAAAAACATGAGAAATCGATCCTAAATAATTCTCAACAGAGTACTACTGAGCCAACAATGCTCATCCAAGCTCAGACACAAACAAACTACTTATCCACGCGTCAAACCATAAACCAGGTAAATAAAAAATAAAAATACACCCAAATTTCGCACTATCATTGATTGAAAACAACAACAGTCAATTACAAAGAATAAAGGTAAATACCTAGTTATTTTTTTTTCCAAAATTTCACAACTGTATCTTATTTCATTGATTGCGTACAGAAAAAAAAAAAGGTAGACATAATTGCAGAAGAGGACGATGGGGATGAAGAGGAAAATAGTACAGCTGCCGTGAATGTAGTTTTATTTTATTTTTACTTTCTTTTATGATTACTTCATTCATTCTAAACCGAAATGTTTATTCAGGACTTTCAATCATTGGTTTTTAAAGCGGGATACGATTATGTAAGTTTAAATTGATCACCTTGTATTTTTGTGTATAGGCTCTTAAGTGAATATTTATTTTTTTATAGCTCAAGCGTGGTGCTGTATCTATGGAAATAATAAGAAAGCTAAACTCTAAGATCTTAAACCACCAGCCGAAAACACTGGCAGATGCATTGGATGTCTTGTCGTATGAACTCCTGTCAATAACCCAAAAATTAGCTCAAACATACGCTTTAAAGTAAATCCTTCAATTATTACATGAAGATCACACTTCAATAACTTACTTGTAATATAGGTTGTCTTTGAGTCATATCATATACTTCGATGGTAGTACATTGGAAGTATTCGACGAGTTCTTCAACAGACAAGACACTGGCATTAAAGCATTGTATGAACTGATCATCTTTGATCCCTTAACTTTAGATCTAGATCAATGAAAACGTCCTGGGTCAAATGCCTTCGCAATAAGGATAGATCTCATCGTGAAGCTTGGTATCAGTCGCATATTTGGTCTATGATTGAGTCATATTTTGACAAGTTGAAGGAAGTTGAAGCAGCCATTGGTGAATCAGCTAGTTTAGGTAGTAAACGTCGAATGAACAAAAACCGCTACATCTCTTCCATCACTTCCGCACCTCGTTTGGAATGCATTAGTCTGTCTTCGGTCAATCCCAAGAATTTCGCCTCTAACGAAGTTCTTAGACCAACGAAATAGGGGCTAAAGTCATCTTTCATTATTCCATCCTAACACATTCAAGTTTAAGAGCCTGCTTCAAACACTTTGATTTGCTCATGGTAATCATTTGGCTAGAAGCTGCACCGTAACCGAAGCTACAACACGGTATAACCAAAAAAAAAAAAAAAAATTACGAGGGATCTTCGATAGTTTCGTTGCGGTAAATAAATTTGTAAATACTCTGTAATGCGATTTGCTAATCAGATAATATTTTTACTTATGTAGTGTCCGAGCCATGACGCTGACCTGGCGAGAGCCGAGGTTTTCAAAATGAAAACTGGTTTGTTGGTGGTGAAGAACCACGATAAAGAATTAGTAAAGGTATTGGATGTGTCGGATTACGTGATCATAAAGTTCGAAACTAAATCAAGTAATGAAAGTGAATTCACATGTTACCGAAAAACAGCTTGCGTTCTGGATATCCTGTTTAGAAGTACCCCCATCCCTTGAGATTGATTGAGTAAGTTCACCTAAAACAGCTCATGCTTGGTTTATCACTATGATCCTAAAACTTTTTATTGTGTATATAGCGGTGAGCACACATCTGAAGCAACAAAGGATGCCCGAAATGTCAATATGAGAGCATCTGATGATGATGATGATGAGAAGAAGGATTTGATTGGAAGGAGAATTGATTTAATCGTCAGTTATCTTTACAAGCGGCGAGGGCAACCGACGCCCTTTAATAACTGGAAAACGGGATCCTTTTACATACCTTTGTTATGTTGACAGTCCTCCCTCATCTCCTCGCATCGTAAATACGGTGATTAGTAATGATGAAACGATAAGCTGTAAGCAAATACAAACAAAACAATGACAGCAACTTGTCGAAGGGTCTGACATAGAAATGTGTAGCTCAGAGTGGAAGAAGCCAGCTACAACAGCAAAGGTTATTGAACAACAGCGAATTAAAAACATTTGTACGAATAGTGCAATATTACATAATCTCTCTAAACTTGTTCATCATGATAACTTGTCCCTTTTGGGCATGGACTGGGCCGGTAAGTTGCATTTTAGATGGGCTGTTTTATTTCTGTCACAAACTAAAATGAAACATAGGTTTCGTCGGTGTTATGTTTACTCTTACACAAGTATCTGATGCACATTGTGTCAATATCCTTCCCAATATTGACAATCAACTCTTTCCTGCTCCTTTTTTTTTCGCTTAACAAGCTGTTTTTAATTGAATTTTTTGTATAGTCAACCGTCGTGTTGGTGAGCTTGTTCTGCCTCACACTATGAATATTCTGGAGGAGTTTAAGGATACTCTGCACTGGCTATATCTGTTTAAGCAACATAATTTGAATTTGTTGGACGTGGTGACACCAGTTTTTGGAGAAAAAAGCAATCAAAGACCAACTAAATATGATGCGTGGTTCATATAAAGAACTTACAGTACTCCATGCGCCGACGACGTTCTTCAACCCCAAAAGGAAACGGGAAAGAAAGAACTGATCTGCTATCAAATTTCTTAATAAATCGTAATAAAAAAAAAAATCCAATGCTTTTCCTATGTGCTTGTAACACTTTTTTAACCATTGGTTTGGCCAAATTATCTGTAAAAGTTAAGCAAATTATTTTGGAGAGCTTGGGCAAATTAACTACGAACATTTAGGCAAACTAATTTTTATTACTGGAAAATTTAATTTAAAAAAAAAAATGTGGGCAGGATTTTCAAATGCATGAATAACCAATAAAAGTAACTGGATTTTACTGAGTCATTTAGAGTGCAGTTTTTGGTATGGATTGAACCTCCGTTCCACCCTAAAAAAAAAAATCTATATGAGCAAGATGAATGCTCTCTCCCTTTATTCCCACTTTTTTTTTTCTCTCTCTCTCCCTTATATTATCAAATAATGACTACTACTACAACTAATGAACAACCCGACTATCTGCGCATGATCTTGACTGCCAGAGTGTATGACATCATTCAAGAAACACCACTGCAGGAGGCTCTCAACCTGAATTCTAAGCTTGGGTCCAAAATCTATCTGAAGCGAGAAGATCTTCAGCCTGTCTTTTCCTTCAAGATCCGTGGTGCTTACAACCGTATGGCTCATTTAACTCCTGAAGAAAAGCAGCGTGGTGTTATTGCCTGCTCTGCCGGTAATTTTTATATAGATTTTTATATTTAAATGTTCTATATATCACAAGAGACTGACATCCCCCTTTTTATTTTACTTAGGTAATCATGCTCAGGGTGTTGCCTATTCCGCAAAGAAATTAGGCATCAAAGCCAAAATTGTCATGCCCGTACCCACACCCGCCATCAAGGTAAAGAATTTAAATTTACATACAGACACACATATAGATATGGATATAGGAAAACTGACAGGGATATCCACAGTGGCGTAATGTCGCACGATTAGGCGCTGAAGTGGTATTGTACGGTGACGACTTTGACGAGGCAAAAAAAGAATGTGCGCGATTAACAAAAGAAGAGGGACTTTTAGACATTCCACCTTTTGATGACCCTTATGTGATTGCTGGTCAAGGCACGATTGGCATGGAGATTTTACGTCAACATGACTTGAATGACATTAGCACCATCTTTATCCCTATTGGCGGTGGAGGACTAGTGGCTGGTATTGGCAGTTATGTCAAGCGTATCGCTCCTCATATCAAGATCATTGGTGTGGAAGCACACGATGCCAGTGCCATGAATGAAAGTTTAAAGGCCAATGAACGTGTGGTGTTGGATGAGGTTGGATTGTTTGCGGATGGTGCGGCAGTCCGTATGGTCGGAGAGGAAAATTATCGATTGGCCAAGAGTTTGATTGATGATGTCGTGCTTGTAACGAACGACGAGGTGTGTGCGGCTATCAAGGATGTATTTGAAGATACGCGATCTGTCTGTGAGCCTACGGGTGCACTTGCCTTAGCGGCGATCAAAAAGTATCTGGTGTTACATCCCGAGACGAAAAAAGATGTGCATGTGGCCATTGTGTCGGGTGCCAATGTCAATTTTGATCGTTTGAGGTTTATTGCCGAAAGAGCAGAATTGGGTGAGAAAACAGAGGCCTTTTGTACAGTCATTATTCCAGAAAAACCGGGAAGTTTCATGAATATGATCAATCAGGTCATTCCTCGTGCCGTCACCGAGTTCTCCTACCGTTATAACGATAAGGAGAACGCACACATCTACATCTCATTCAAGGTAAAAGATCTCGAGACTGAAGTGAAACAGGTCATGGATGGTTGGTCAGCTCAGGGTATGAAGAGTTTAAACGTGAGTGATAACGAGTTGGCAAAGGCTCATGCACGTTATATGGTCGGTGGCACAAGACCTGTCAATGAACGTGTCTTTCGATTTATCTTTCCTGAACGTCCTGGTGCTTTAATCAAGTTTTTGGTTGGCTTGGATTCCACATGGAACGTTTCCTTGTTCCATTATCGTAACCATGGCGACGGTAAGTCTTTTTTTTTTTTTTTAAAAAAAAAAAACCTTTTTTCTTTTTTGGATATCGTGACTCATCCTTCATCATTGTAGATATTGGTAAGGTCTTTTTGGGTGTGCAGGTGCCTCCTGAGGATACTGAGCAGTTCAATGATTATTTAACACGACTTGGTTATCAATATATCGAAGAAACTGATAACACAGTGTACAAATCATTTTTATGCTAGAAAAAAATAAAATAAAAAATAATAAAAATTTCCCCCACTATAAAAAAATAAGCCAAAAAAAAAAAAAAAAAATGACAAGTGGGTGGCTTAGCCAATGAGAGTGATGGGAGGACCGAAAAAGTTTTTTTTTTTTTTTAAAGGGATAGTTAAAATCTTTTTCTAGCTTTTTTTTTTCTCTTTTTGCAAAAAACTTTTTTATTTTCAAAAATGTCTTTCACTCTCGAAGCTCCTTTGGCCTACAAGATCCTCGATAGCTATTTCGAGAACGTTTCCTACGTTAAGGGGTAAAAATCATTCATCATTTTTTTTTTTTTAAAAAAAAAAAAAAAAAAAAAAAACCCGTGTTTTTTTTTTACGTAATCTAATCAGACAATATATAGTGCTGAAGCATCCGAGGCTGATAAGTCTGTCTTTGCCGCTTTGAGCGAAGGTCCCTCTGCTGAGGCCTATCCTCACTTGGCCAGATGGTACGCTCACATTGCCGCTGTCCAAGGTTTGATCACCAAGTGAGTATAATGATAAAGGAAGAGAGAGAGACGCGCGCGACACAGACAGAAAAAAAAAAAATCAATGTACTAATATTCTATTTCTTTAAAAAAGGGATGCTGCTGCTGCTCCTGCTGCTGCCCCCGCTGCCGCTGCTGAGGAAGACGATGATCTCGATCTCTTCGGTTCCGACGATGAGGAAGTTGATGAGGAAGCTGAGAAGCTCAAGGCTCAACGTGTTGCTGAATACAACGCCAAGAAGGCCGGTAAGCCCAAGCCTACTGCCAAGACCACCGTTACTCTTGAGGTTAAGCCTTGGGATGATGAGACTGACATGGAGGAATTGACCAAGGCTGTCAAGTCCATCGAGATGGACGGTCTCCTCTGGGGTGGTTCTCAACTCGTTGCCATTGGTTACGGTATCAAGAAGCTCCAAATCAACTGTGTTGTTGAAGATGATAAGGTTCTTTTGGACGATTTGTCTGACAAGATTTTGGAATTCGAGGATTTCGTTCAATCTGTCGATGTTGCTGCTATGCAAAAGATCTAAGCTTTTCTTTATATAAAAATACTGTAATAAACAAAATAAAGCAAAGAAATGTATAAAAAAAAAAAAAAAAGCACAAGTTTTTTTTTTCTTCTGTTATTTTGAAATTCTTCACAAGATAATAATGAAATTTTCACATGTTTATCTTTTTTGGGTGTCCCCCTCCTTTTAAGAAAAAGTCTCTGCCCCTTTGTTTATATCCTGTTTCTCTTTTTTTTTTTATTATTATTATTCTTTCTTCATTTCTTTTCCTTCATTTCGCCACTATACACACCATGCCGTTTATCAATACTCAACAAAAGGAAGAGAAATACCGATTTGTGGATGAAATTCTATCTGCACCCGACTATTATCGTGTTCTCGGAATCAAGAAAGATTCGACTCCAGAAGACGTGCGAAGAGCGTACATTAAAGTAAGCAGCAAACAGAATAGATACTTGATTTCTATATGCTTAAATAATAATAAAAAAAAAAAAGAGGAGCAGAGTGTGTCATCCCGATAAGTTTGTGCCATCGTATCCTCGAGCCACCGAGAGTTTTCAACGTAAGCATGTGTGTGTGTGTGTGTGTGTGTTGAAAGTTGTTGTTACTATAGACTTACAATGATTCCTTGTAGTATTGTCGATAGCCTATGAAACACTCAGTAATCCGTCATCCAAACTCATGTACGATGTATCAAAGCATAAAGGCACTGCCTCCACTTCGGCATCCTTTGTCAATTCCGACGACGACAACCCTAATGACACCCTACAGCGTGTGCTACACCAAGTAAGAAAAAAAAAATAGGGTTCCTCTCTTTAAGGATATTAACATATTTCTTGTAGCTGTTCAATGAAATGTTAGATGGAGAGTTTCAAACAATGCGGGCATTTATACGTAAAGAGGATATGGAAGTTGTTGTTGCACTCATCATGATCACCTGACTAATTTTTTTTTTTTTTTTTTTTTTTGGGTATACAGATGCGCTGAACGAGACTAATCCCGGTATGCATATCACAGAGGACGCCATCCTTCAGATCGAGCTTGGTTTCAAGAAGATGCGAGAGCTATTCCAGTGTAAATGATGTGTATTTAAAATCAATGAAAAAAAAAAGAAACTAACAGTCTAGAGCAGCTACACATCAATATTACAAGGTGGTTCAATTTGAGCTGATGCGATTATACGAATTACAACACGAACTAAGAACACTTTCTTATTTCAGTTTATGGAGACGTATGCAATTATCCATTACGATATGTAAAGTTTTATTACAGTTACCGATTATTATCAATGCAGAGTCCAAACAACGTCAATTATTAGAAGATGTGAAAAATACAAGTCAAAAGATAGAGCAGGGAGGCATTTTAAACCAGAATATCGAGAGTGCTTTAAAATTAGCTGTTGGCCTATTAGAGACAGGTGAAAAATACACTACCGCCTGGTAGAGAAATTTAATAAAAAAAACTTTTTTTTTTTTAAAATTACATATTTATTTTGCCAAGCCCATTTTCATTGGCTCAGCCCCTCCCTTTGATGTAAAAATAGATCATTGAACACCGACTCTCCATTTTTTTTCTTCTCCCCTTCTTTTTCACATATTTTTTTTTTTTTTGCTGTTAAGATGAGCGTTAATAGATTGGGTGACCTTCAAAAGGAACAAAGTAATCTCGGCAACAATGGAGGAGGAGGATATGAGATGCGACCTCTTTTGTCTTCATCAGGCGAGATTGCTTCAGTACAAGGATTTCTTAACCAAGTGTCGCATGTGCGTGAAAGTATCAAACAAATCAACCAGAACGTGTCTCGTATCCAATCGTATCAATCCAGCTTACTTCAGACAGCTGATGCGTCCGAGTTGGAAAGAAACAGAGAGAACATTGATAACCTAACAACCGAAACACAGACAATTATGACACATGTAAAGCAAAAGTTAAAGGAGATAGAACCCACCAGTCGTCATACGGATTTAGCTATGCGAAAGAATGCCTTTAGTACTGTCACCAAGAACTTTATGGATGCTATTGAGAATCATCGTCGAGTAGCTAGTGAATTCCAAAGAGCAGAGGGACAACAATTGGAACGACAAATTAAGATTGCTAACCCTAATGCAACACCACAAGAGATTCAACAGGCTATTGCTAGTGCTGAACAAGGTAGAGGAGCTGTCTTTGCTCAACAGTTAATGCAGTCAGTTAGTGGTGATTATAGACGTCAAGGTGCTCAAAATACCCTCGATGCCGTTCAGGAACGTCATGAAGATATCCGTAAATTAGCCAAGAGTGTCCAAGAGCTTTCTGTTCTCTTTGAGGAGATGCAGGATATGTTGGAAGCTCAAGGCAAGGTTTTAGAGACGATTGAGCAAAGTGCAGCTGAAACTACAGAGTATGTCAAAACTGGTTATGAAGATGTTGAAAAGGCTAAAGTCTCTGCTATTGCTACTCGTCGTAAGAAGTGGATTTGCTTTGGTATTTTCATTATTATTTTGGTCATCATTGCCATTATTCTAGCCATTTATATTCCAAAGAACAACAATAATAATAACAATGGTACTCAATAATCTCTCTCTCTCTCTCTCTCTCTCTCCTTTCCTTATTTAATAAATTAAACACTATATTCTTTGTTAGTGCACAAAAAACTCTTGTGTAATCATGTACAGTTCGCTGCGCCCAATCCATAACACACACACACACACACACACACACACATTGTGCTAATCCTTTTTTTTTTTTTTTTTCATCTCTTATATCCCACCTTTCTTTAATCAGCTTAAAATTCCAGTACAAGAAAAGTTTCAAGCGGCCGGACAAAATTTACTTTTTTAGTAGTAAGGAATCAATTTATTCGGGAGGACATGTGTCAGTGAAAAGGGGAGGGGGGAAGAAGCAGATGAGAGAGGGAAAATGTTGTTTCGGTCATAAAAGAGAGACGCTAATAAAAAGAAACTCTTTTCCCTACTCCGCCCTCCATTCTTAGATATCCCGAATATAAAGTAAGGTGTATCTACATGCATTATGTTGGATGCACATCGTCACTACCTTTTGAATGCACGTCTCTACTACTTTTTTTTTTTTTAATAAATAAAAATGCACTCGGAATGTCAACATGCTCCATGTGTTGTTACAGTCTGTGTTCTATTGGATTGATCACTTAGGGTAGAACAAGTAGTGGTACCAACTTCCAACCAACCAACCAACAGTCATCAGCGCCCCATATAGTGTTTAGGAGTGTCAACAAGTGGATAAAATACGGCATATGTACATGACAACTGTATGATCTGTTACTTTCTTTTGAAGTTCCAATGGATTGGATTAGATGTAAAACCGCATTTTGATAAAGAAAATAAAAATAAAAAACGTCAATGGGCCGAGTAACAAAAAAAGGGGGTACATGTCTATCCCCCGATTGGCTAAAGAAAAAAAAAAGGTTGGCGCGTGTACTATTATTATATATAAAAAAAAAAGTTTTTATTTTCTTTTTTCATTTTAAAAAAAAAAAAAAGAGGATAAAAGAGGAGGGGGAAAAAAAGCATAAAAGGGGGTGAGAGTGGGTTTTTTTTTGTGTGTAGATAAAATTTATCATAGGTGAAAATAATAAAAAAAAAAAGAGGCAAAAAAAAAAGCGATTTTTTTTTTCTTTTTTTTTTTTTTTTTTTTTTTTCTGGGAAAGATTACATAAAAATAAAAAGAAATGGGTCTAATAAAGAAAAGAGAGAGAGAGAGAGTCCTTTTTTTTTTCTCTCACTTTAAAGTAGCTTTGATTAAGAAAACCAACTTTAAAAAGAGAGAAAAAGGGCGAAGGGGGGATGTCTATAGAGGGTATTAAAAGGTTATATGTGTGCTATGTATAAGTAGAAATAAAAGTAAGTTGAAAAATACAAAAAGAAAAGATCGAGGAGTTTAGATGTTTCCAATAGAATACATATTTTCAAGTGCTTGCTTTTGTAACACACCTTGTTGGAAACTACATAAAATATATAATTAGTATCTCTGTTTCTTTTTATCTGTAAGGTAAGACTTACGTTCGGAGCTGTTCATTTTCCTGGACAAGACGTTCGAGCTCAGCCAATATTGTCATTTGAGTAGACTTTAAATGCTGAATATGCTGAACAGCTGCAAAAAAAAAAAAAAGGGTCAGTAAACGGCACTTAATAAAAAGAGAGAAAACATACTTCTGTGCAACAAGGTAACCTTGCTCATCTTCTTGTTCAAACAAGCAGGTAACTCGGTACGCAAGTCCTCAAAGCCATCCTTGATTTGGGCACGACGCTTCTGTTCAGATTGGATATGAATCTGGCGTCTCAACTCGGTGACAGTGGAGGTAGCATCTTGTTGTCTATAAAATAATTGTTTAAATATATTATCTTAATACGTGTCATAATAGCACACTTACTCGACTTTTTGCTTGCGAGAGGGACGTTGATCATCTTCATCATCATCCTCAGAAGAGGAAGAAGAGGAAGAGGAAAACTTGACCTTTTCATCTTCATCAGCTCTATTTCTCTTCTTGTTGTTGATGCGATGCGTAGTGGATTGCTCAAAGGATTCTTTGGAATATTGAAGAAACTCGGGATAAAAGGATTCAGGCAATGCTGAAGCCTTTGCAATAGTCTCATTTAAATAAGCAGTAGCAGCAGCAGCGGAAGAAGAAGAAGTGCTGTTGGTGGAATGGACGGTGGAAGTAGAAGAGGATTGGACGAGTTGAGGGGGCATTTGATGGTGGTGTTGTTGTTGTTGTTGAGGGTAAAGAGGAGCTGAAGATAATCCAGACATTAATGAGTCAGGACTACCAGGATGTTGACCGTGCATATAGGGACTGGTCACAAAGGAATCACCGTAAATAACACCACTACTGGATAAAGGTGAAGCAGAGGGAGAAGCAATGGTAGATGCGTAGAAGGGGGAGACTATAACAAGAGGTTAGAAAGAGAAATATGACTAATATATGTAATTTATTACCAGGATACATTAAACTAGCTTGTTGCTCTAATTCCATTTTAGACATGTATGGTTGGTGAGTAACAGGACAATCATGAAGATATTCGGAAGACCAATGAAGCTTATTCATTATTAATAAGGAAGGGTGTTTTTAGTAAGGACTGGTAAGGGTTGAGGTTCAAAGAAATGAAAGTGGATGGGTTTTTTTTTCCGTAAAGAAAAAAAAAAAAAGAAAGTGCTAGTTTTTTTGGGGGGAAAGGGATAAAGGAACAAGGAAAAAAAAGAAGAAAAAAAAAAAAAAAAAAAAAAATGGAAAAAATAAAAAAAGTTGTATCTTTATTTAAAGCAAAAAAAATGTTGAAGGGGGTTTGAAAGTGCTTCTTTTTTAGTTGCTTCGCGTCAAATACGATCTATATTCTTTGAACCAATGAATTATGAGGCACTTGGAATTAACCAGCCTTTTTTTTTTTTTTTTTTTTTTTTTTCTCATGCACCGATATTGTATTGTCCTACTGTTTGTACGAGGAGGGATCTTTCATTTCTATGCCTGGAGTTTGAATTCTCTGCAATATCCGCCCGGAATCATTCCACACCCAGAATAATCAAGTCTACTTATTTTATGAACCTATCTTTTTATTTTGCATTAAAGACTATAACTACTTTTCCCACACCCTTGTCATGGGTATTCCTTCTTAATAAAATCTACCCCAGCACCTCTTTTACTCTCTTTCTTCTTGTGATATCTGTATCCCTTTACTCGGCGAATGGACCTTGAATTTTTTATGAGATACCGAAATTTACAGAGTCCGTTCCCCACTTGTGCCAACTTTCTTTTTTTTTTTTTTATTTATATTGCATTATCTTTTTTTGTTATCATCTTTTTGTGTTTATTATTTCATGTTTACCAATCATTGAATTATTACATACAGTAAAAAAAAAAAAGGAATAATAGTAATAAAATATATAAATAAAAAATAGGTAACCAACAAAGTCCCCATATCTTTTTTTGTATGACCAAAAAACCAAATTTTTGATCTATATCCATTTGCTTAAAACGTACGACATACCCCTCTCAAAAAAAAATTTTTTATTTTCCTCAAACTCTAATTACCGGAATGGACCTTGTTTTTTACGGACATCTTTATTTCTCACACAGACTCTTGCTCCAAAAAAAAAAAAAGTCTATTTTACTACGTATATCGAACACAGTAACTGTGTCATATGACAAGTGCCCCCTCATACTGAAAAAAAAAAAAGAATCTTTTTTAACTATCAGCCAAAAAAATTAAGGTTTATACACTGTGTGATAATAATGATAACATCACTATATGCTGCAAAGTCTTTCTTTTTATTATTTTACGTTAAACTCAAGTGTGTTACATTGTACTGTTGTGCAAAATAGAAAAATGACGTGCAATTGGAAGTGACTATCCCATCATTATCGAATCGGATTCTGCTGTCTCCAAGTAACCATTTTTTTTTTTTTTTTTAATATTAAATTTCTTTTTAATATAAATGTTTCTTTATTTGCTAAGAAATAAGGAGAGAGAGAGAGAAATAAAGAGATCGTCTGTGACTAATATACCTTGTATATCGTGCACAGTTCCATCTATCTTTTTTTGGCACTGACCTCCTTTCTCACTCAATCCAATGTCAATTATAGGAGGTGAAGTAGAGTATTTTATAAGCGCGGCCTTTCTTTTTTTTTTAACTTTGTGTGTGTAGGGGTGGGTGGGCGGTATTGAATCCAGTCTTGTATCACAAGTATATTTTCATTTTGGGGTTCACCATGAATTGGCCCTAATGGAAGCTTTATCTCACATACACACACACACACATTAACTTGTATGACGTGAGATTGGGATGAGACTAAAGAATTGGAATGCAGACACAAAAGTTTTTTCAATTCAGACACAAATTTTTAAAGTTTTTGTTTAAATCATAAATGAAAAGGAACTTTCTAGTAATTTACTCATAGCCACACTTACAATTCATTCAAAACATCAACAACTTATTAGAATAAAATACCCAAAATCACGTCAAATTACCTATAATGAATTAGGTACCTTTTTCTTTTCAAGTCTGGCTCGGTCGTAACACCGTGGGAGTCTTAAATATTATCAGAAAAAATAAAATAAAAACTCAACCATTCCCCTTGAGTTTTATTACTTTTTTAGCGGGTGAATGCATTGATTCGCCCTACTGATTACTTAATAGACCACTTTTTTGCTGGTGACAGATCGCCCGACCACCCATATTCTTTTACTCTAATTGAACGCTGGTTCAATCAGAGTAGAGATGCAAGAGCGGTTACAATGAGTCACACAGTTATAGACCGGGCATACAAATCCACAGAAACCTTAACTGTACAGAATTACAGTCCCACCCTCCCTTCCCCTCTCCTTTTTTTTTTTTTTTGTAAATCAGCTATTCTAAAAGCTTCTAGTTGATATTTTAGCCGTAAAACTAACAGGTCAGACTAACGTCAAAAAAAAAAAAAAAAAAGTAAGCGATCACATAATTTATGTTTGGCTCGGATAATTGTACTCCTCTAACGCAAAAAATATAATAAAAAGGGACCCAGTAAAAAATAATAGTGTGGAACTTGGTAGATGCATTTGTGAAACCGGCATTCTTTTTCCTCTTTCCACTCTCATTCTACTTTTTTTTATGTACGTGCTAAAAAAACTTTTTTTTTTTTCAGTGTCCTCTTCTTTTTTATTGAAAAAGGACTCTTTTTCTTTTTTTCTTTTTGCTCTTTTTTTTTTATTTATTTATTTATTTACACGGCAATCCATGATGTGTGTCTTTGTTTGTCGTACCAAAATCAAGCTCAGATTTCACCATTTGTTGTCTCCAATAGTAACAGCAGCAGCAGTAGCAGCAGTAGTAGCAGCAGGATAATTTCAATCCCACACAAAAAAAAGCAATCAATGCATTTACAACTCCGCACCGAAAATATTCGACACTTTTCACAAAAATTTGAGTTCCTTTAGTCATGCATTTTTTTAAAACCAAAAACTTGTTAATAAAAGGTATCTCAAATTCTACCAAACTTGACAAAATAGCAATATATATATATATTTTGTAAAAAGAAACTTTTTTATTTACGTTAATAAGTGGTATTTGAGCCACGAGCTTTTTTTACTGCCCGGCATCTATCGGGCATACTTTCTACAAGCTTATGACACACTTCATCCCCCAACAACTTCCATTCCTGATGAAGTGCAACCTCCAATTCATTAAGATTTTGAAGCTGGGCTCTTCTTTTAGCAATCCTTTGTCCCAGGAGGCGCCAAAGGTTCTCAATCGGATTCAAATCGGGACTTTGAGCGGGCCATCGCTCAAAGCCTGCAATCCCAGCCTTCTCTTTCCACCACCTCGTATATCCTCCTGTATGGCATGGGGCACCGTCTTCTTGGAAAATAAAGTCATGACCATATTTCTCTGTCAATTGTTCAAGCCAAGGGAGAAAGTTTTGACTTAAACAATTGACATATTTTTCTTGATCGACAGACCCTTTTAGTGTCACCAAAGGGCCCAAACCGCCTGCCCAAAAACATCCCCATACCATCACTGATCCCTTACCAAATTTAAATGTTGGTAAAACAAATCTATCCATATACCTTTCACCCTTCTTTCTAATAACTCTCACACCACCGTCGTTGTGCCTGAGTGCGAATCGCGACTCATCGGACCAGATTACCTTCTTCCAGTCATCTAATGTCCAATTCATCTTGTCGTCGACCCATTCTCTTCGCGTTTTTTTATGTCTAAGACTCAAAAACGGTTTTTTGGAAGGTCTGCAAGAATAAAAACCGTTTTTGCGAAGTGCATTCCTCAATGTCGTCAGGCTGATTGGATCGGTAGCCTTCGCAAGATTTTGCATATGAACACTTAAAGGTTCAAAGGAGTCCCTTCGAACTAAAAGCGTCAGGTGATGCTCAGCTCTTGCTGTCAGCTTTGCTGGTCTTCCTGGACGAGGTTGGACAGTCGTGATCCCTTCAGTTCGATACTTTTTTATAATCGTAACAACGGTTGTTCTAGGAACGCCCAATTCTTTGCTGATTTGGGTACCTGTCCATTTGGCATGCTCTGCCAAACCGCAAATGACTCCACGATCGAAATCTGAAAGTTCCTTGCTTTTTCTAGAGACTTTGTTAGTAATGTCAGTAAGTGGCATGATAAATTGTGTAATAAAATATGAAAGAATCGTTGAACGAAGAAAGAGTAGGTTTATTTATTTTTTTGGCTCAAAACGGAAGTGTCGAATATTTTATGTGCGGAGTTGTAATAGATTTAATTGTGGGACTTACATTTTCATTTCCGTCCTGAAACACCCTTATCGTCCATCAATTGACTTCTCTTTTTTTTTTTTTCGCCTGTTGATCACAATCCCAAAGAGCGGGGGACCGCGAATCACTTGCACAAGATAAAAAGTGCTGCATTCGTAGCACTAGGATCAAAATGGGGCCGAGGCTTTGTGTTCAAATTCTTGTTATAAACGCCAAATCTTTTTTGTCATCAAGGCATTTATCATCTGACCAGGCACACATGTGTAACTTAACACCTGCACATTTGGGTCATTTCTTTCAAATCGACTCTCTAGTCACACGCAAGGCACTTATTTACTTATAAAACTCCGCTAAAGAGTCATTTTTACTCTGTTGGGGGGAGGGGGGACAACCACTTTCTATCACGTAAACATTCAATTATCTTAATGTTACCATGCTCATGAGGGGGGAAAAGCCGAACCTTAATTTAGGAGGCGGACTTGTCGTCCAATGCTACTGCTTGACCATCTGATGCAATTAGAGATACATAATTAAAAGGCGGCGTTAGTTTTTACATATCCGCTTCTACATTATTAGATATAGGGCGGATAACGATGAACTTATAAGCTACAAGTAGCAAGATAAGATAGATAGTCAAATCCCTTATCTACCCATTCGATAAAGTATGTTTCTCAATAGTATCGACTTAGTATTGAACAAAAAGAAAGGTTATCTGCCAATCATCAAAGCCAAAAAAAAAAAAAAGATGTTTGACTGGCATCAACATCGTTTTTCTGAAATTGCTTGAAAGGTGTAGCACAAGTTGATCTTTTTTATCTTGATTCTCGGAGCATTTTTTTTTTTTTTTTAACTTTTAGGAAGCACTCGTGTTGTGATAAATGTGTCAGCGATGATGAAAGGGGAGCACAATTGACAAAACATTCTCTTTCTTGTTTTGAGTAGCCTGATTTACAGTATTCATCCCTTGATTTCTTAAGATTCTTTCTATTTTATAGTCCATGCTGGGCACAAGTCATACACAAAAAAAAATTTCTCAAGAATTAAAACGGACATGAATCCGAAAACACGGATTTATTCTTATAAAGTATCACTTTTTTATTCAAATTATAAAATTAAATATAATCATCGTCTTCATTGGCATCTCGAGTATTTTTCCTCTTTACTGGTCTTGTTGGCGTGAACAAAAAAAAGGGGGTTGTGGTTACTGATTGGTTGATCTAAGGACTCTGAACGATTTGATGTTGTACAGTAGAGATATTAGCTGCCATCTTCAAAAAACCGCTAGCTTTATTTCATTCGTTATCTTGATCCTTCCATGCATAAATAAAAACCCTTCAGACTAGATCAGTTCCCATAACAACTTTGGTATATACCGTACAATAAATCAGGTTTTTGGTATGGTTCTGTCTAAAACATACAACAAAAAGATTGCGTGACTCTAAAAAAAAAAGACACAGAGAAAATAAAAATAAAATGGTACAGGTGTCTCCTTTGCTCCCATAAAAATTTGATAGCCTTGAAGTTTGTTTGAATATAACTTTTACAGTTACACTTAATCAGTAATTCGTCCAAAAAAAAAACTGGTTTTTATTAATTATGCCTAACTACATTGATGTAACCAACAATAAAGCAAGAGAAACATTCACATAAACTCCGCAATCGCATACAATAAATTCAGAATAGCACTAAAAGGGAAGCTGTTGATATAGATTATATGAATTGGAGAGGTCGTATTGGTTACATGGTCCAACTTTTCTTCTTACAGTGTGTCATAGTTACACACCGAATTGAGAGCCTAAACCAAGAGGTCTCTATCTTGTACAAAAGACAGATCACTCAGTCGTAATATCGCAAAATTAGATTACGTGCTATTTATAATGATAAACAAGAGGTTATGTCAGGACGATTTCATAGTTTATTTTATCATTCCCCATCATTTTTAAACCTTTACTCTTAACAGAAACATCTGAAAATAGTCCTCCAGGATTACATACAAAAAAGTCGTGAACTTGGTTATTGTCTGTCAGTGTCTCGTTGATGGTTTGGGGTTGCACAGACAGACGTAACTGAATCCATCTTTTATTTTGTTTTTGTTTGGCTTCTTTTATTTTTACATGAATCAGTTATACTACCGAAGCGTCAATACATAATACAAGTGTTTTTTTTTTTACTGCAGCTTGCTCTTTTGTATACAAATGGTGCTGTTTAATTGAAGAATGGCATGGTCCATGTCAAACAGCAACAACATTATTTAACAGTCAGTTAGTTCGAAAAACTTTCTTTGACTTTGAAATCAAGGAGCGGACATGAAACATGTCTTTTTAAAAGCGTTTGGGCCCCTCCTTCATCCACTCCAAGGTAAATTTGACCACTTTACCTCCTACTATAACAAGATAGACTAGTTCACGCTACCAATGTAGTGTTTGCAAGATTCATTGGCCTATATTACCAACGTAGTGTACAAGAAAGGATGCTCCCACACTACTAATGTAGTACACAAGGGATACCGGTCTCCCATCACCAATGTAATGCTAACAAGGAATACTGGCCCCACATCACCACCAATGTAGTATAGAGAGAATGTTTCATTGGGTATTGATTCAGGGTTACAAAAAGTGGCAAGATATCAATATCGAAGGGGAGAGTCCTTGAGAAATCATCTTGTGTTCGAAGTAAGGTTTGGCACTTGATGTAGGAAGCGAGTAGAAAGTATATGATTGGGAATGTCATTAAAGAAAATAAATACGATTTTGTGTCGTAACTATTGGGAGTAAATCCATTTATTACACTCTTTAATTTTTATTTCGGTGGGCATGTGTGGATGTTATTCTAAGGCATGCATGTTCACCTCATTTTTTTTTTTTTTTTTTTTTTGGTAAAGTCGAAGAAAATGATTACGTCGATAACATATAAGCTATAGATCAATTATAAAGACAAATACGCCTGTGTATGCTGCAGTGTATACGAGGATGACTTGGATACATTAAGAAAACACATCGCCAACGCACACGGTACGCATTTACGATGTAAGTGTCTATGTATTTTTTTTTTTTTAAAAAAATGTATACTTTTTTTACATTAGTACCACGATATCACTCAGCTCTGAAAGAAAGCTTTGGTCGACTTGAAGAAAAAAAAAACAAATGGAACTATCAACAGGTAAAATAGTAGAAGACATGTTGCAAAAAGTCAGCACATCTTGCCTAGTTGATCATTCTGCTTGTTCAACGATTTTGGATTTTGATGACAAGACCCATTTAAAAGAAGGAGTTTTTACACAAGAAGAAATTAATGAAATGAGGCAAAATAGCTTGACCGACTTTGTGGATCCTTTACCTACAGACCTAGCAAACTATGACAATGGCTATAATTGCGATAATGCCAAAGATCTCCGAGCACGGCTTCTCAAGGGACAGGATTGGGGAACATGATTACGATTCAAAAAAATATCATGACTTTGATGGGGTCAAACATCTTTTTTTTTTTTCATTTGTGAGACTTTATGAGTCAGGAAATTTCAAGAAGATCCAAAAAGAAACTTGGTGCGATAGCCATGTCTGGTCGCTCATTGACACCATATTTGATGACATCGAAGCACTACATGTTTTTCGGTAGAATAAAAAAAAAGGATCGGTATAAATAACCGTCTACTAATGTTATAGTTTTATAGTGGGGGATCCGCAAATGCTGCCAGTACAAGACATTTTAAAAAATGGATAAAGTAGAATGGATTTAAGGAATAATTGCAAGATCTATCACTGGTTACAAGTGTGATCTGATCGCTAGAGAAGAAAAAGCTGGTCACAAATACGCAGATGAATATGGTGTTGGAGAAACTGCTGTTCACAACTTTAACACCAAGACAATTAAAGAAGGAAGGATAAAATGCCAAATGTGATGAAAGATATGTTAGACAAATTAGTCACTAGTAATCAGAGCGAGCACCAAGATCTCTCAGTATTTGGAATCCAGACTTCAGGCCTATCTATTACATTGCTGTTGCAGACAAACCCACACCTTATATCAGAAGGATAACAAAAATTAAAGATCTGTCTGTATCAAGTGACATATCTCAATTTACTAGGAGCAATTAACCATTGATCGTTTTAATATGGCAATTCAAACAACAAATCCTAAAGGTTAAAAAGCAAGTGTTTTCAAACCAGGAACGCAATTACCCGAAGGATAGCAGCAAATGGCTTAACACCTGTTTGAATCATGACAATGTAGTTGTTATGCCTTTCACTTCGACTTCAAGTGAATACGTGAATAAAAGAAGATAGGTTGACTCCTGAATCAACTGCTTTTCTTGAGAATATATGCCATACCTCACTGTCTGCAGTCAACCTATGCAATAAAATATTTTTATCGAAATTCTCAAATACCTGATTATGAACTTATATTTCAAGTAAATCAGTTTTGACAGACTACTAATAAAATTTATTTTGTACACCGTTTTTGAGCATCAGTGAGAGCCACAGTGAGAGCCACAGTGAGACGCATAGTGAGAGCCATAGTGAGAGCCATAGTTAGACGCATAATGAGACGCATAGTGAGACGCATAGTGACAGCCACAGTGAGACGCATAGTGACAGCCACAGTGAGACGCATAGTGAGAGCCATAGTGAGAGCCATAGTGAGAGCCATAGTGAGAGCCACAGTGAGACGCATAGTGAGAGCCACAGTGAGACGCATAGTAAGAGCCACAGTGAGACGCATAGTGAGAGCCATAGTGAGACGCATAGTGAGAGCCACAGTGAGACGCATAGTGAGAGCCACAGTGAGACGCATAGTGAGAGCCACAGTGAGACGCATAGTGAGAGCCACAGTGAGACGCATAGTGAGAGCCATAGTGAGACGCATAATGAGACGCATAGTGAGACGCATAGTGAGACGCATAGTGAGACGCATAGTGAAAGCCACAGTGAGACGCATAGTGAGAGCCACAGTGAGACGCATAGTGAGAGCCATAGTGAGACGCATAGTGAGAGCCATAGTGAGAGCCACAGTGAGACGCATAGTGAGAGCCACAGTGAGACGCATAGTGAGACGCATAGTGAGAGCCACAGTGAGACGCATAGTGAGAGCCATAGTGAGAGCCACAGTGAGACGCATAGTGAGAGCCACAGTGAGACGCATAGTGAGAGCCATAATGAGAGACATATTGAGACGCACTTCGCGTCTTGTGGCTATACTATTCATGCGTCTCATTGACTACGCGCCTCATAGCTATGCGTCTCATTATGCGTCTCGTGTGTCTCATCGATTATGCGCCTCGTGGCTAGGCGTCTCATCGACTACGCGCCTCGTGGCTACGCGCTTTATAGCTACGCGTCTCATGCGTCTCACTACAATTTTTCGAAACTCGTACTACAATAACTAAATAAATAACATTTTTTTTTCTTTTTATTCAATTCTTATACTACGCTCTTAGGCTTTACACCGCCGTAGCATACTTATTTACATGGTTGAGGATCAATAAACGCCAGCTTAGGAAAATGCGCTCTTTCTACGCAATTGGATTGAACTCAACTCAATATCAAGGGGTTGTAGTCTGCCAGAATCTCTAGTAGCTTTGATGCAAAGAAAAAGAAAAGGGAATCAGGCTTGAAACATTTCCTGAGACTTCAAATCTGGGACCTATTTTAGAGTTGGTGTTTTTTTTATAGTTAAAGTGTGTACAAGTTTGAAATTCAGAAAAATAAAAGCAGTTTTAGCGGAAGCCTAAGCACTAGAAAGTCTTACCAATAGAGGTGTATAAGCTGTCCTCAGAAAAAATAGGAGGGAGAAGAAGCGCTTCATGTTGCGATTTCAAAATCTTTTTGGACGCGAGGGATATAGTCGAAGTAGTATTAAAAGGAGTGACATTAAAGACAAAAGTCCCATGTCCCAACCAAATTGATTTGAGAGTAGCAAAAAGAGCGAGAAGGCTAGATTCAGGAAGAAGTGGCATATTGGGCAAGAGGGCAAGAAAAGTATGAAGACTAACACACAGGATATCGGTCGACAAAGTGATAGAGGATGGGGAGATGTAGTGATGTTGACTGGCGGGACGCTTTGCAAAAGCTTGAGTTTTTTTTGGTTGACTGGCGGGACGCTTTGCAAAAGCTTGAGTTTTTTGGTTGATTGACGGGACGCTTTACGAAAGCTTGAGTTTTTTTTGGTTGACCAGATATGTTGCCAAACGGACAGTTTTAAAGGACACTCAAAAAAAAAAAAAAAATGATCGAGAGTTTCGGATGGATGTGAGCATAGTTGACAAACTGGTGTTGGGAAGTATGCTGGCATAATAGGGGAAATGTCTAGATCTCTGTATTATTTTCAAACGTATTTTTTAGAATCCCGTGATAGTTAGTCTACACGTCGATTGACATGCCATATCGTCTAAACTTCATAGGATGACCGATTTCTGTCTTCCATAAAATCTGCTGTACTGTCATTACAAGCTACTACTAAAACGCAGATAGACAACTACCAAGTTCCGATTTGCTTAAGGGTTTTTTGCATACGTTTCTATTATAAGTAAAGGCCCAAACATCATGGATGACGAAAGAATAAGCTCTTGTTTATCAGCCTACAAATAAAGCTGGTTCACACACTTTATTCTTCCTCTTATCTTTTCCCTTAATATACTTCTCCTATCGTATGAAAGTAACCGATAACGTAAAAAGATTAGTTAGTAATAACTCTTGTTTCTTTGAAAAGACGCTAAATCGAAAAAGATATATTGCGGCTGAGGCTAGTCTTTGCTATAGGAGGGCGACCTCCTAGGCAGGGTTTTGGAGTTTTGGAATTCACAGACTGTGAATAGCAGGGATTGCACTGTAAATAGGTGTAACTATACTGGCCCGTTGGTCTTAGCTAGAATTGCCGTAAGTGGTATAAAAAAATACGTTTGAAAAAAATACAGAGGTCTAGATATTTCTGCATAATAGGTGTCTGCACTAAATCAGCCAAAACCAAATCGGGGTTATATTATTTGATGAAGCATAAGAACTGGTTCAGTGTAGAACGCTTCTTTTTCAACAACATATTTTCTTCCTCACAGTGAAATGCCTTCTGATCCAAACGAACTTTTTGAAAAACTAGTTGAAGCTGGGACCACTGAAAATGTTTTAAAACCATTAGTAAGAAACAGAATGTTTAATGAAACAGAAATGTAACGTGAAAACTTAATAGTACAATGCACATTCTAACTGTTTTATTGCATTAGAGGATCCGCAGCGGTTTACTGAAAGTAGTCACTACATTTTGATAGTAGGGGTTAATTCCAGTGAATTGTGTCCGTAATGGTTGCACTAAAACTTACACTGAAATATATTTTATCTCTCTTAGTATTTCTCTAAAGGATATTTTAGACATCTCTAATGATACAATTGGATTATTTTGGTTCCATTACGTCAGCCGTTTTTAAAAAATATATACCAGAGATCTTGTCTCTCCTGCTTAAATCACCAACTACGGCTTAAAACAAGCCTGACACGCTTAAATGCCGAGCGCCAGCCAAACTTAAAAACATTTACCGATTTGCTTAAAAAAGTAAGTTTACAGTATAGTAACAGATATACGTTTAGATTTTCTACTGACCTATGTACCTTTATTTGTCTATAAAGAAGGTAGATGTCAGGATTTTGACCAAGGTAAAGACAATGCTGGACTCAATAAAACCTGACAGTACCCGTATGCGATATGTCAAGAAAATATACGACCATATGTATGTGTAATACAAAACATGTTTTTTTCTGTAAAAAGTGCTTAACAAACATGTTCTTTTCTATAGCTTATCCTTTCATGTTGACAGGCCACATGTCTTCAATTCTCAATCAAGATCAAAGTATTCTGAATCAGATCACCAGACCAAATTTTGGGGGTATATCTTTGAATCGTTTTTCTATGGCAAAGAGTATATGTTGCATTGGTACATATAAATACACACAAATATGTATCATTAGATGAACGTAGTTTAACTTTTTCGTATAGGGAGGACACTATTTCTGTCCCATGGAAACAAAAAAAGTTGAGGTTTAAGGCTGGTCTTCGAATTATGGATATGCCCGAAAATGGGGTCCGAGATTCTTGGATTTTTTTTTTATGCGTGGGTGATGGGCTAAAAGTTATGTCACTAGCCAAAGGTACTCTTTCCTCTTTATGATCTGAATATGGAATTAGTAAGGTAGAATCTGCGGTATGCAAACTAAGGGACACTTGACTTATAGCAACAAGTTGAATATTCGTTTGTCCTGGGAAAAATTATCAGGAGGGAGTGGTTCAAATTGGCATGGCAATTGGACATCACACCGAATGAGATTTAACATTAAACTCATTTTTAATATGGTAGAGCGGGGAAGTAAAAATGTAATCAAAGTGTAAACATAAACGCAAAGGTAGACATTTCTACTAAAATGACTTAATTTTCTTACGTAGGGCAGTTATTGTTTTTTAATGCTTGTGCGACTACAGACTTTGGTAATGTCAAAATCGGGAGTGCTTGTTGTACTTAATTGGTTTTTGTATTTATTTACTCGTAGTTTCCAAGGTGAATTTCAAATTAAAAACTATTTAAATAAAGTTATTGTGTTCAGATTTGGTTGCACTTTGGTTACATTTTTACTTGCTCTGGAACTAATCCTTGTACTTTCTCACAGAGGTTTTACTCGGGGTTAATCCTGGATTTATTTCGTCTCCCTGGCGAAGACTTATAAAGTCCAACAAATTTTTTGATAAACTTTAGTTTTAGTACGACCAGGGCGGAGAGGAATTATTTTGCCTTATATGTATGAGCGGGGAGGAATTATTTCGCCTTATATGTACCGGTATGACCAGGAGGAGTTATTTCACTTTTTATTGGAGTGCGTATTACACAGGTCGGAATGGCCTAGAAAAGCGATAAAAATCAGGCCTAAAAAATCATAAAAAAATAGGCAAAAACTATAGAAATTATAACTGAAAAATTTGATTTATTGATTAAAAAAATGTATTATTTAATAGTATATACCAATTGTCTTGGAAATTGCCCAATCATTGAATTATGCAAGCAGCACATGTTTCGTGATCGCTTTTCTTAGGGACGGCCAATTTTTCCTTAGGGACAGCCAAAGTGCACGTAGTCGCAACGAAAGATCTGTGATTTGGATGTTCTGTAGACCTGGTAACAAGGATATACAATCAAAAACAATGTAGCAATTACGAATAAATGTATATTAAACGATTTATACTTATTTTGACAATTCTATCTTCCCTTTTTCGCCTTTGAGCTCGTTTGATCTTAATCTTACGCAGCAATATTAAGGTAAAGTCCAAACGAGAAGTTGAAAGTAAGTTGTAAAACATATATACTGGTTTACACTATGTTGGTTTTAATAAACGTGTATATATTTCAAGTTGTTAAGTTATATTGACCTCTTGGTGTCTATTTAAGTATCATAATCCCAACATTACGACTACGCGCACCCTGGCTGTCCCTAAGAAAAATGGCTGTCCCTAAGAAAATTTGGCTGTCCCTAAGAGACCCGTTTCGTGATAACCATGACATTTCTTCCCTGTATTTCGATGGGCCATAGAAATTTTCAGCCTGGCCACCGTAATACTAGTAATTTTTATGAATGATGATGGATTAAGGAACAACCATGGTAATTTCACAAGCATTGTTAAGTGTTTTATCGTCCGGAAAAGAGGCCAGGTTGACGATAATTGGAGGTAAATTTTTATGGCTGTTTAAAAAATGCATTCGGTTATATAGTTGGAGAAAAAAAATTGAGGGAGGAAAGCTGACATGATGTGAGAAGACTATAATTGAGTATAGATGGTATCTTCAAATCAAAGATTCTGTTTATTACCATTTGCCAAGCCTTTTCTTCATTTTTTTTTTATTATTATTTTCTGACTTACATACTATAGAACATTGCATTTCGAACACACATGAATACACGTATTTTTAATTGTTTAAAACAGTATTGTAGGACTCTATTGGGTGAAGATGTTCTTAAGAAGGACACGCTGGGTACAATAATAAAAATCATTTAATAGAAGGCTTCATTCTTTCATTAGCATCGACTGAAAGAAAATGCCATCAATTCATTGGTTCAATTGTACGACTTTATTAAAAAATTTCTGAGCTGCACAGCGGTTTGAATTTACTTCAAAATTAATGGCAAAGACCGCTTTTCATGAATGCTTTATTTTTCATCTTCATCTGGTTCATTTTCATCCGGTTCATTTTCACCCCCTTCTCCACCTTGACTGCTTTTAACAGGATTAGCTGAAGCACCGGTATTTTGAGCCTGGTCAACTCCTGTATTAGCTGGAGCGTTCTTGACATCCCGTTTTCTTTTTACATTGCCTGTTCTTCTGCGAGCCAAGATAGATCTTCGGCTATTACCACCTGCTAATACCTGGTCTGAATATGTTAGCAGCCTTTTATGGTTAGATAAAGACGAAAGATCAGCTGGAGTTAAGGCTTGTACAGAAGCCATAACCATGGACGTAGCAACCAAACACAGAGAAATACCAAATAAATGCATTTCTATTTAAATAGAATGTATGACGAGAAAAAATTACAAAAAGCATACCTCTTTTATAAGACTGTAAAAGAACAGTCATTTACGCCGAGTGCGATTTAGAATTGTTTACACTATGCAAACTGTACTTTGTGTTGTTTTCTAAATACACCATAAGAAACAAATAGCTGTAAATCATTTCTAAGATAATGTACGATGGCCATACAAATAATCAAAAGACACTTATTATTTGCATCTTATAGCTTATGCCGTTATAGAAGGTAGTATACCACTAAATGACTAGAATGACAAAAGTAAGGTCAGAATATTTTGGTAGGTTTTAAATTATTCGTTCATTATAGATCGTCATATTCTCTTACTCAATCTCGGGTCTATTAATACACTTGTTTTGGAGTAAAACAATCTGCAGAACGAGGATTCGCTGCATACATGTTTACACTTCCAAAGTGTTATATGATACATGGAGACAGGTCTCGATTGTCTTGAACATATTATACTGAGCCTAAATTTTTCAAACGATCAATAGATATTTTTCATTAATCAATCTTTTGATCTGTTGGTAATTATAAAACCAAAACAAATTAATAATTGGTATCAAGATACAATTTGTTTTGACAGATTCTGCTAATAGTATGCAGCATAAAAACATCGAGTCACAATTTGTTTTATATGCATAACTTTTTTAGACAGAGTTGTTCGCACAAGTCATAGCATATTGCAGACCCTCCTTGGGAGCAAAATTATGGGCGATTTTAATAAATCATACATATTATATACAGCTGCTAACATGCCCTCAAAAGAACCAAGCTTTACACTTTATATTTCCGGCAATTCTGAAATTTATCTTTCTATTAATATAAGAGCTCTTAGTTATGTACGTAGCTTTTTTTAAAAGTGTTTACCTTTAATTTAGTATCTATTATAGAAGACCCAAACAAATCGGCCTGAATTTAAAAATATAATCCTCAAGGTTATTGCATTATGTTTAACACAGAAGGATTTTTTTAACACATTTTTTAGTAGAATGACAATATCTAATATTTAGCTTTAACCGTTGTATAGATATTTTTGGATTGTGTATCATGATGTGTTCAGTTTAGTGTGTAACCATTTTTTACCTAACTATGCTTTGAGCAGTTCCACTGTTTTATGAAATACGGATATGTTTTATTTTATTATGTTTTTCTTAAAGATTTCTCAAACATAAAGTAATGATATCTTTTTTATCCAACAGCGCTTGAATTGCATAAACACTGACACTGCTAGCCCAATTGTCCTTCAACTATACTATTATATGGTACCTAAACAGGGCCCTTATACATCCATATCTATGTAGCTGTATACAAATGTCGAGTATTCGAGCCATTTACACCATATTTTATTCGGCCTATTGATATTGATCCGTTATTATTATAAATGATGTGTAAAGTGGTCATTAACTAACACAGACAAGGAATTCGTTCCCATTTTCTAAACATAAATCTAACTCCATTAAATCATCCCATGTGCTATATTTTAACATTCCTTTAAGAAAGATATTTAGTTTTTAGACCACATTTTATATTCCCCTTTTGTAATTGTTTTACGCAAAGACTTGTAGATGGTGTATGGATGTACAATGAACAAGCGCACACCAAAATGCTCAAGTTTCTTTGGTAACTCTATTTCCCAGAGTTTTCATTAATAAAGCAATATAAAATAGTGAGGGATGTATAGTTCTCCTAATATTCATAAACCGAACCACTGTAAAACAGTCTCTTGTTATGAAGTGGCCCAAAGATCGAAGAAGCTCTTTCCACGAACTTTTTATAACAACTTCTTATAGATGATATTATTATGGATTTTTATGGACTTTTGATATATACTTAGTAAATAACTTTTTATAATTCAATTCGTTAAATTTGGAAATTCATTTTTTATAATCGAAGTAAAATATTTCTTGCAGATAACGTTTAACTATCTGTCTTCTTACCATCTAAATTTGGGCGTATTTGTCTTAAAAGTTTTGTTACAACTCATGGTATCTGATCCTTTATAAACTAAGTAGTCGTGTTTAGTAGTACTTTTTTTCTTAAGTATATATAGATGCTAATAAAACTTCAAGTTTAAATGCTATGGAGGTCTATAAAATCATATATTGCATTTTGTCTTACATCGCTACAATTCATACTATTATGATAACGAGCGCTATTCATTTGCAATGTAATAAATCGTTCTATGCTTTTGATTTATTTGTAATATACGGGCACCAAAGAAAAAAAAACGAGCTCCCTAAATAGTTTCCGTTACTTTTCGATCTACGGAAGCACTTAGTCAGGTATAATTAAAAACGAGGAAAACAATATAGCACTATGAGCCTGTCTCTTTGAAAAAGAAAAAATATGTGAGAAGATTTTATGTTTTTTTCAAAAAATTTTCATTTATAGTAAATAACTATAATGAAAACCTTCATAGTATAAGTGTCTGTTGGTCTGCTTCTTAAAATAATCTACATATATATTTCTGTTGGCAAGTGTAGATATTTGAAGGTTAAAGGCATGTTCTAAGTTTAATAATAGTTCTGGAGATGTATGCAGATCAACAGGTTTAAATTCATGCATGTCATCAAAATACGCATATCATTTCAGATTGAAGGAGTTAAAGATGCATGTTCATGAAGCTAGTCTGTCCGTAATAGAGTTGCATGCGCTATTTAGGGGTAATTTGGAAGCACCCATATCAAATTTTATAATGTTAATAGAACAGACAGGGACTCATTGATGTAAATAGTTCTTCGCATGACTTATAAAAAGATTGCGGTTCTACCCGTATTTTATATTTATATTTACTACAGTACATTTACCAAACTCAAGATGCGTTCCTGTAGTATCCTAATCTGCCTTTGTGCAACCGTTATGATGGTGACATCTGAATATGTTTCAGTTCAAGTTAGAGCCGCTGATTCTTTTAGTAAGCCGAATAAAGCCCCAGAAAGCGGTAGAATTTACTTGAGTCGTAGAGGTTTAGACGAAGCTTTAAAAAAACGAGATATCAAAAACACTTTACCCAATGAAAGAAAGGATCGGATATACAATTCTAGAACCTTTATTAATGCTATCAAAAGACGAGAAGAAGAGGCCGATAGCGATGGTAAAAATGAAGATGAAGAAAGTAGAGATGACGAAGACAAAGATATTGCAAGCAAAACCGATAAAGACGAAGATAAAAATAAAGACGACGATGACAATAAAGACGAAGATGACAATAAAGATGAAGATGAAGATGAAGATGATATGGATGAAGAAGAGGAAGAGGAAAACGATGAGGAATAAAACAATTTAACTGTGGCCGATGAAGAGGATAAAGCAATTAATGCCTAAAAAGTGTATTATGGCGTTTGTGCTGTAATCGCCGATGATAATTAACCAAAGTAGTGTAATAAAATCCAAGTTTTAACGTAAAAATAACGAAAATAAAAATCTATCCAGTAAAATAGATTGTGCCACTAAAAAGTTTGAAGATAAACTTTTTTTTTCTAAATGCAGGTTGTTCATGCAACTGCTGTTACAGCGTTGGGGGGGGGGTAATTAGTATAACAACAGATGAATGATCCGTCAAACATGTCTAGTAAATACTAGCCGAGTCTATTTAACCATATCGTATTTAAACAGGTTGTCAATGGATCCAATGTTTGGTGTATTGTGTTTTTATTCTTTTAAAGAAATTTGGGTATATGCGGCAAAAAAAGCAAGGACAATAGAGAACATACATATCAATTGTCTTTGTCCGAATATTTCTACTTGCATCATAATGAGCCATTCCTTGCCCAATAGATAACTCGGTGGTATTTTATTAAACTAAAATCAATTGCGTAAGGCCTAAGTATGTGATATTTCTGTCTCTGGTAAGGGGATTTTCAATTTTTTTTTAAGATCTTTGGTTTCCGTCTCAAGCGCTTCCTTGCGTTTCTTGACAGAATCCTCGGTAGCAATATAATAGATAAAGATTGGGTTATTTTTTCTACTATGTCTTGCACCATTTAAGCACCAAAGATATTCAATTTCTGAAACAACAGCTAGATGCGTAAAAATAAAAACATTAATACATCAGGATTGCATATAACAATGGTTTTACATACCAGCAAAATGGCTGACCCTACATGTGCAAAAAAAAAAAAAAACATTTACGAGGAGCATTTAATTTCTTGGAGTTTTAATTTACAACTGATGGTGACTTACCAAACTTTTTTACCCCGCTTTTTCACTTCTTCGACAGTACTAGACATGAGAGCACTATATGAATTGTAAACTGTTAATAAAAATCCTTAAGCAAGTGTATAAATTCTCGCACTTACATGACCAAATTGAAGAAGATCAATACTGTAATAAGCGAGAATAGAATAGATATACACATGAGAAATTTGCTATCGCCAGCATCACCATCATTTAATGGATCCCACACACCATATATGAAAAACCAAACTTGGGAAAATGCTTTGAACCAATTATGAAATCCGTTATCAGCGCTGACATTGGCAACGCTAATTTCACCAGACGGATCATCGGGATCAACACCATAATTACCACCATAATTCTCTTGAAAGTATTCATCGGGCTCTAGACGCAACAGTACAATATATGCTTGTGTAAAAGCCAGGATAACAAGTAGCATAATAAAAAGAACAGAAGTGACATTCTTACAAAGCTGAATAATGGTTTCGAGTGTGACACCCTTTCCAAAAATTTAAATCAGTATTTCATTATGTCAAAATGTAGTTGTAAACTTACAAAATACGATATCACACGTAGTCTTAAAATGGCATGTGTCCATAAAATTAAAGTACTGACACTACAAACTTCATTCTATAAAAATTTACGTCAGTAAAAGTTTTTTTTTTTTTTCAAAATCTGAAGTTAACGTACGAAATAGTCCCATTTATACTTCAATTGAATGGCCGTTATTATAGGGAACACAAATGCAGATATATCAATCCAATTATAGCCGGAAAGAAAATACTCTAATCTGCTATGTGTTTTCCAGAATTGACGCATTTCTTGTATCACAAGAATTAGAATTGCCAGACTCATTAAAACTATCGAAACGATTTGACCAGGGGCTTCCAATACAAAGTCTTCTTCAGGGTCGTGACCATATAATTCCTGGGAAAACAATACGCCTGTAGAATAAGATACATAAAAAATAGCATGAATCAAACAAATATAGACGAATCTCCATCGTGCAAATGTCTTCCACTTATACTGTAACATAACTTCAAGAACTGTATCACCCTGTTGGAATATATTATTACCGTGTTGATCCATTGCAATTTTTACAAATGCACTGCGTTCCTTATAAGTTTCTTTAGTGTTTGGTGGACGGTCTTCTGGGAGGTTACTGTATGTGTTGAAGTGAGGAAGAGGGACGACGCATACTTTTCCGGATCCAACGAGACCTTTCCGGGCTTCTTTAAATAATTTCTTCCAAAGGTAGACCACAGAATATCTCCAGCATGTATGCAAGTTGTGTACAATATCATTGAATTTATCATTATGAATTTTCTGTTTCAATCGAAATACCTGTAGTCGTAATCCGCTGTATTTTTTTATTTGCTCCATCATTGCATGAGATTCAAGATTTCTCAAACTAGGGATATATTCCTTTTGCATAGTTTTGACTTTTAAAATTTGCTCCATTTCAGATAACAAGATACCCAAGTTGTCTTTTTCAATATTTAAGTATGACAATTTCTCACTACTGGAAAGCAAAAGATCTAAGAGGATAATTAATAATGAATAACGAAAATACTCTCTGCTCAAAATTATGCTAACCTGAATTTCCTTCTTCTTGTAGAAATAAAAGAGCATCTGTTAAGGCGGAAAGACAACCAGGACCGAGATTCTTGGAATCAAGTAAAATACGATTAAAGATCAGCTTGTATAGATCATAATTGAGGGTTTCAATTAAGACGGTCAAAACGTTTTCATTTCCTGCAATAGACTGATTTGCACATTTCTCGGTTGATGGTGTTTTTACAGAAGAACTTCGATATTCTGTTTCTGGTTCGGCAGGCACGTCATGCTCCGATTGTGCACCAATTCTAGAAGAGCTAAAGGTATCGATTCGAGACTGTTCAGGACTTACATCTTTGTTTTTCGATTTTACAAAGAATTTTAAAACCTTTTGCTTTTGATCTACCCAGAATTCCAAAGCCCTTTGTCTTTGGTCTATCCAGAATTGTTCATCATCTTCAATCCCCACATCCTTTACATATCTAGGATCACTAAATATACTAATAGGCAGCTCTTTAGCAATAATCAATTTGATAATTTCTCTTCCACTTTCAAATGAAGCAAGCATAGCCAATGTTCTACTTCCTGAAATTGTCGAAAAAAAGTTGGATTCTTTATGAATATCTTTTACCGCGGATTTTATGATAGCTTCAGTTTTGGAAAGCAGCATATCTCTATTATTCTAAATTATGGTTTGAAAGAAAGATTATTTGCTATTTTTTGTACTTTTTCATATTAGTTCTTTGTACCTTATTTTTATTCAGCTCCTCGGTATGATGTGTTAGGAAATGTAATGCCTGACATGCACTTTCAAGCTTGTGGTAATCAAATCTTTGCAATGTTACCTCTTGAGCTGAGTCCAAATCCATGGTGGTAGATAATTCAAAACATGGTGTGCCAGGCTTACTAGCGGGTTCCTCCAGAGGTAAAAATAATTCCTCGGTATGATAAGTCGAATCAGATTGATTATCTTTGTTCTCTGTGATGTTGACTAATACTCTTCCAGATGGTTCTCCTTGGATAAACCTTATGCTGTTAAAATCATGAATTTGCCAATTTTCTCGAAATGAATACTCAACACCATAATCTGGTCCTTTGTAAGCTCGGATATAAAGTAATTCGTCTTCGTCGGTAATGGGTGAGTTCTTTTGATTTCTACCCTCTGCCAACTTCCAAAGCTGTACTGTATGTTGACCAAAACGAATCATACATTCCTTTTTATCCGCTTCAATATAAGCACCTTTAAGTCCATTGAAATCCCCCAAGTTGTTGTATATCTCAAAATTTCCTCCTCTATAAGGTTGTCTTTGACCAGTTTGCCAATCAATCTCGGCTTTTTGATCGATTTTTAACTCGACAAAACCAGTAATCGCCTTATCATTCTCGAAACATGTGTAAATTCCTTTCAAGCATTTGATGCCATTTTCATTGGTTCCGCGTGTGACAAATGGATATACAATTTTACATCGGGTTAAGCCTAGAGATGTCTTAGCTTGAATGGTTTTTCTGTAGATCGATTTTTCGGCTTCGATATACCAGACTTCAAAGCTAACATTGTCACCTTCAATGCCTGACATGGCAACGTATCTACCGCCATAACAAAATCGAATGTGTGAAACTTTAAATTCTGGGCTCCACTTCGCTTGAGACTTTAATCGATAAACGAGTAATCCACTTTTGACATTGTATATATTGATTGATTTAGTATTTTCCAAATGCGTGGCGGTGTATTTATAGTTTTTAGAGAAAGCCACAATATTTTCTTCTTTGGCACGAAACGAGGTAAAACGAACACCATCCTCTGCGATAGACCAAACACGGGCAATATTTCCAACAAAATGTGTGGTCACAATATTGTGCCGAATATGCCTAGAAAGCATCATAATTCTCTTTATATCAGCGTTTTCTGAGTGTGTTACGATATCAGCCCACGAGGCATTTTGGATGTACAGGTCATCTTTGCGAAGCTCCTCATGTTGCTGTTTTCCTGAGAGAAATGGGGACAAATCATATACATCAGTGACTGAAAGATTGCCGGGAAATTTAGCATAGACTTCAACAACATTTGTACTAATGATGGCAAGTTGATACGTCTCGTTGCCAATAAACACAGCACGACCATCACATATTATTTTATCTTTAAGACGCAAATTCTTGTTATCTTGAACTTCAAAAATGAGACAGTGCTTGTTTTCAGGTTCCTTGATTTTAGGGATTTCTCCAATCATATTTCTTTCAAAAAATGACATGACAACGTATTCTCCATCGGGGGATACTGATAAAAACTTGCAATGGTTAAGCCCCGCATTTTTGACATGTTCGGTTATTTCAAGACTGAAATGCTCAACAACACTTGGTTCTGTGGGCTCAGCCTCGTAATAAGATGGATGTTTTTGATCGACTTCATAAAATTTACGCCTTGTAATAAAAATTCGTTCTTCATTGTTTTCGTTCGTAACATTTGAGTCTTTCGTCAATTTAGATTTCTGATAAGTGACATAAGCTGCCCATTTTTTATTGCAAGAAATATCAAACAGTATAACATCATGAGCTTGATCTTGGTCGAAAATAGTTCTTTTTTCAGAAGAAGAAACTTCCATACGTTCATTTATACCGCCTCCCGCCTCCATGGATGGTCCTTTTTCGAAGCACCCCATAGATCAATAATATTTAAAGTGGATTGTTCAATGGTAAAGAAAGAGGAAAAGGGGGGGGGGGATAAAAGGAAATCGGAAAAGGGAACCGACTGTTTGTACGGTATTGTTGTAACATGCCTGTCGGAGTACCTAGTCGCACCACCAAATATACGATCGTACAAGCTTTTTTTTTTGTCAACAGTAGCACCAATAATATTGTAGATCAACGCATTAATTCTCATACAACACGCAAACCAAAGCAATGCTTAAGACACTGTATAAGCATTTGAGAATGACATGATAATCGTAAGTGATTTGAACTGTTACAGTTCTTTCAAATAATTTTATGTGCCACAAAATCTCTTGTGTAATTATACGTGGCTTTTATGTTCCGGGAAGAAACCAAGTTTACTGGTCCATGAGCCATAAAGGTTAAGTGGCACTTTATTTGTTTTGTCCAGAGAAATGTAATCATCTGGATTTTTTTTAAAAAAAGAAAACCACAAAACTTTTGGACGCATATTAAGCCTGATGAATGATTGACAGTCTAATATCGTTACACGCAATAGTACTATCGTGCATCCGGCAACCTGACCATAGCAAACCGCTTGTGTGTTCAAAAGTATGGCGCAACCCACATCGGCGTAATGTTTGTTTTGTACTTCGCATGAGCTATTACTCCTGGAATAAAAGTAGTGTTTCTTTCTATAAAAAAGTACAATCGTAGATCTGTTTTTCGAAGATTTGAAATAAGAAATATATTATAAACTCTAAAAAAAAGATAGTAAAAAAAAAATGCCCCAGTGAAAACCTTAAAGATCCAGTGCCCCGTTTACCTTAAGCAGGCAATTTATAATTTGTACCACAAAACATTTGATGAAAAGTTTTGCTTAAAGGACAATTTTTTTGTAGCGTATGCTGCTGCTTATATTTTTTACTTTCGAAGGCATACACATGTTAACGAAAGGATAAGAAAGACGGTTCCAAAAACAATGAGCACTGCTTATACCGTGTGCACACTAATATATAAACAGGTGAAATCCAGATCATTGGTTTGAAAAAAAAAAAAGATTCTCCCCTCCACACCCACACGCGTATTCCTTTATTACACGATACCCGTAGTACGCCAAACTCTTTTATACACCAGACGAGCTGTGTCCGGCTAAGACCTAATCTAAAACTCGGTATCAACTTTACATTAGGAACCAGCCACAAACATTTACGCCGTCTGAACTATCAACATGGTCGCACTTTGAAAATGCTTTGACGCTACTGCCACCACCCCTTTCTTTCGACTGAAACATGATGTTAGTTTCTTTTAGTCTGACATCATAGTATGTGCTATCCTGCATTAAAATTACTTAATGCACTTTTCCGCTATCGTTTGTTACGTCACGTAAGTGATGATAAGAGCCGATAAGCTTGCATGATTTGTATGCCGTTGTCAACCCATGAAGATGTATCCAGATTGAAAGTTTTTTTAGCCTAACAATAAATCGAGTTCTGTAAACAAAAACAAAAAAGTGAAAAGTGCTTCACAATGTTACGTAACCAAAAAAATTTAGACGGAGTTTTTTCTAAATTCTACTTTATTGTGTCATTTTAAGAAACTAAAAAAGTATATCGATAAGAAAACAATAGATGGGTGGATAATAATACAGTTGAAAGGGAAGGAGAGAAAAGATAACGCGAAATTTAAACGCAGGTATAACCACCATCAACAAATAACTCTAAACCAGTAACATAAGTACTGGCTTCACTAGCAAGGAAGACAACAGCACCTCTAAGCTCCTTGGCATCTCCGATACGACCCATAGGAGTCAAATCAGTCCAAGTCTTTTCCCATTCTGGGTTGTTTCTGAAGGTCTCATCTAATAACTCGGTTCTCATGTAGCCAGGACAGATGGCATTGACACGGATGCCCTTCAAGGCCCATTCAGAAGCTAAAGCCTTGGTCATCATAGTGGCAGCTCCCTTGGAGGTGTTATACTATAGAGTATCACGTTTTAATATGGGGCTTTATATCGTTCGACTTTGTTTATGTTTAACTTACAGCACATTGCATTTGAGGACGGTTGGCAATATGACCAGACATGGATGAGGTAATAATAATACTTCCCTTACCCTTAGCGAGCATATATCTACAAACAAACCAGGTCAGCACAATAACAAAAATGTATGATTTCCTTAAAACTTACTTGGATACAGCTTGAATACTGTAAAAGACACCGTTGACATTGACGTCCATGATCTTTTGCCAAGTCTTTAAATCATAAGTCTGATCCATCATCAAAACGCGACTTAGTAAAACGGAGGAGGGGGTCTATATAATCACACTTTTCTTACCTCGGCAGCACCACCACTGTTGATACCAGCGTTAGCAACAAAGATATCAATGACACCAAAATCCTTATAGATTTGATCGATGGCAGTTGTGACTTGTTCGGCATCAGCGATGTCGGCCTTGTAAGCCTTACAGACAACACCATAATCTTTACCGATCTTGGCAGCGATATCATGGGTCTTATCGCTAGAGACGTACATCAAGGCAACATCGGCACCTGATTCAGCAAGGGCTTTACTCATTTCTAAGCCTAAACCTCTATTTAATGACATTAGTATGTTTACACGCGCACGGGTGGGCCCGCCCTTTAGTTTACCTTGCGCCACCAGTGATGACAGCAACTTTGCCTTTAAGACTGAATTCAGGGAGAGTAGGAAGTGGGTTAGCAGACATTTTTTGTGTTAATAAAATTCAAGAGTGTATAAGAAAAAAAAAAGAAAAAGTATTTGACAAACACGAAATCTTTTTATAATCGTTTTGAAAAAACTTTATTTAGTTTAGTCGCTAATTTAGGTCAATTCTCCTCCTTTTTAATGTTCCGGTTCAAAGTCACACACTACATACACACTACAACACATTTATTTTTTCCGATTGAACCAAATCCCAAAATATGAAAAAAGACTGTACGCTTATTCTTATTATACAAAGTGATCCCCTCGTTTATTATAATGGACGGTATACTTATTAGGTGGGGTGTCTAACTCGTTGGATTCCATCGCTTTACACGCACTCAACATTTCGTCTGCCCCTGCCAAAGCTTCCGTAGCTGTCTGTAAGAAATCTTTGTTACCATACTGTTGTTGCGATTCAATTAAAATACCAATATCAGCAATCTTTTGTTTCAATAAATCAAATTGGCTATCCACTTGTTTGGCCTGTCTTTGCTTCATTAGCCTTATGTGTTGTTGCTGCTGTGCTTGTTGTTGTTGGAGTGCTTGCTGATGTGCCTGGGCTTGCGCCTGTTGTTGCGCTTGGGCTTGCGCCTGTGCCTGCTGTTGCGCTTGGGCTTGCGCTTGGGCTTGCGCTTGTGCCTGTTGCTGGGCCTGTTGATGGGCCTGTTGATGGGCCTGTTGCTGGGCCTGTTGTTGTGCTTGTTGCTGGGCCTGTTGCTGAGCTTGTTGCTGGGCCTGTTGCTGAGCCTGTTGCTGAGCTTGGGCTTGTGCTTGTTGCTGGGCCTGAGCTTGGGTTTGAGCCTGCTGTGTCTGTTGTTGTTGATGTGGGTTAGACAAGTGTTGGCTTACAGGAGAATGATGACGTTGTGGGGACTGTTGCTGCATATGCGAAGCTAATTGGGAATGACATGGTTGATGTAGTGTTGAAGGTGTCTGTTTCACTTTTGTTTTTTGATGCTGTTGTTGTTGTTGCTGTTGCTGATGATGGTGATGATGCTGTGACACGAATGGAGGATGAGCGTGTTTATGGATCACCGTTACATGAGCTGTTTTTTTCATTAGATCTATGATAATGGTCAGTGCGCCCGCGCAATCATATCTACTTTGTGCTTTTGGATGTTCAACTTTTCTCGGTTTAGCAGTATCGGCTCTTTGAGAACAATAATAACGGAGGGTAGATAATGTATCAGGGCTCTTTGTAGAGCGTCGGCGATCTTTCAAACTACATAATCAACAGTTATTGATCTGTTCCCTTAACCCTGCTTTTAAACAATTTACCTGAAATTGAACTTTGTGCCTTCCAAAACTTTTTCACAAATACCTCTACCTAATTGAGTAAATCCAGCACCTTCTCCCATACTTTCCATCAAGGGAGCAATATCAAGATGATATTGCTTCCGGTCAAACTCTGTTTCCTTTTCTAATTCTCTAACAAACGTTTCAAAATTGATCACATCTTGTGAAGCTCTTTCGGCAGATGAGGAGGTGGTATTTCGATGAATTGTTGTGGTAGGTAAGACGATAGAAGATAATCCACAGCTATTATGTTGCTGTTGGTGATGCTGCTGTTGCTGAGGTTCGTGTTTTACTGGGTCCGGTAAATTTACAGGTTGCATTACTTGTTGTGAATGCATGTGTGATTGGAGTTGCGACTGATTTCGCATAGCAGGAGTCGAAAACATTTGAGATTTGTTGGTGGTGACTGTATTCGGACTTGTATTATTAGTAGTGTTATTATTGTTATTGACTTGAGCCAAAGTTAGCATCATGGAAGTAGCTACTGCTGCTGCTGAGGATGATGATGAGGAGGAGTTAGAGGATGATGTGGCCTGTTGTGGGGGAGGAGGAGGTGGTGGTGACTGTTTAATCTGAGGTGAAGATATGGTTTGAGGGGGTGGTAGAGGAGAAGCATGATTACTACCGGTACCACTACTGTTTCCTAGATTTATAGGGGCAGATGAATGTATTTGGGGCTGCTGAATAGGGAGTGGTGTTGCGTACATTTGTTGTTGTTGCTGTTGTTGTTGTGTTGGTTGTGTATATCTACCTTGTTTATAAGTCCTTTGTTGTTCCTCATAAAGCTCGAATCTTTCCATTTGATGTTTCCTCTTTTGTAACTCACGCGTATGACAGATATTACACACATTATACTTAAAATCTCGTTCATGAAAGAAGGATACATGTCGAAAGGTTTGGCAACTATCACAGTATAATGTCTCTTGTGTTGTACTGGGTGTAGTAATACCTCGGTTTCCACCGCCACCATTTCCACCACTCGTAGTACCAGTAGTACTGTTATTGCTACTACCACCGCCGCCGCCGCCACCACCACCACCACTACCGCTGCTGACACCGCCGCCACTGTTAGCTCCGGCACTACCATCCGTATTACTACTAGGACTATTACTGCCACTGGTAGAAACGTTGTTTGTAGTTGGGCCCAAATGACCTAGAGTAGGTGAAGGACCTGTACTCGTAACCAGTGTTTGTTGATAGTTTTGTTGTTGACCATTTATGACTTGTTGTTGTCGAGGTATATTATTAGCTGGATAATTGAGAGATGGAAACGAACGAGGAGGTCCGTGAGACATGATGTATTTATATAATGATCGGTGCTTTCCTCGTACAGAAAGTGTAGAATTGAGGTGGTTTTGTTATGTACAAAGTTGAAAAAAAAGGGAGGGTCGGGAGGCGAGGGAGGAAAGTCTTCTAAATCCTTATTCCCCAAGTGAATAATAATAATAATAAAAAAAAAAAAAAAAAAAAAAAAAAAAAAAAAGAGAGAGAGGGTTTTTAATTGCACTGCACCATTTCATTATATCTCTGATTTTGTGACGTAGCTTTTTTTTTTATGAGTATTGGGGATAAGGGGAAACCCAATAAGCTTAATTTTTTTTTTTTAAAAAAAAAAAGGGCAATAAATTATAAAAAGTATGGACATTTTCTTTTACTTTCCTGAAGAAAAAGAGTGTTTTTGGTATATTAGGTTTGTACAGGACCATCACCCTTGACACCATCGATGCTTTCTAATACAGGTAAAACTTTTTCCCAGATCTCGGTACCCTACACATATCACAAACACCTGTCAATTTTCAAAGCTCTTTTTAGAGTGGTGGTCTACTTGGTTACCTTTTGGAAGAATGCAATATGACAGTCAGCATATGCAAGTAAGCCTTGTTTCAACTCTAAAGTCTTTGTCTTTTGAAATACATCAAACTCCTTCATGACCTGCATAGAAAATCCATTGGATTCATCATTTGTTCTACCAACCTCGCCTTGTAACTACACAATATGTAATTAAAATTTCATATTCTCTCAAACTCCAAGTCATCTTACCTCGGCAACTCGGTCATACAATTTACGTAATTTATCACGCCTTAATGTCTCCCGATTGACACCAATGAAGTCGTTGTATTTGTCGGTGACATATTCAGTAATGTGTAATCCGCCACTACGTTGACTATATTTTCTCTCGGGATGTTGTATTCTTTCTCGTTCCTGAATCGTCTGATGCAAATACCCCGACAATTCTTCGAAATCTAATTGTTTTTGATCCCTTGCCTTTAATACTTCCTATTTACAATATACAATATAGATCAATAAATATCATCCCGTTACTGACTTGCAGATATTACCTTGGCAGCGTTACAATAGGCTAATAGTTCATGAATTGCATTTAAGAATTGAAGCTCTTCCTTTTCGGTCATTTCTTTCATGGCTTGTGAATAAGCTTTGGATGATTCTGCAAATTGGTGAAGTGAGTTGGTAATATTGGCTTCCAAGGCTGATAATCCTTGAATACTACTGGCGAAATTTGCATAATCATTTTGTAAATCTATTTATCCAAGTTATTAAGGAAATAGCCTTACGAAAATTCACATTCTTTCACAATGTATTACCTTGTTGTCTCTTGTTGATTCTCATGTATAACCGCTCAACTATGTTTAAATTGTCTTCTAATTTACCCACCATCTCCTTCATTTCTTCGAATTTTTCGTCGGGTTTTTTAATCTTTGCAAAGGCATTTATCAGTGTATCACCAATGGATTCAAATAATGTTGCAGAAGGTGGAATAATACGTGTTTGCGCTCTTTGATCATTTTTCTATCATGATAGGTGCGTGTCAGTATATAATTACCTGATGTTTCTTCTTAAAAACTTACGAAATCGATGGATTCTAGAAAAATACGAGTGCATTGCGATTTTTGTAATAATGGATGTCTGGAGATTCTATCCAAAAACCATTGCAAACTATTGCCGAGATAAGAAAAACTTGGCTTATTTTTCTTTTGCTTATGTGTGCAAACTATTTCTTACCTTAATAACCTTCTTTGGATAAATTCGGAACTAAATCTATCACCTTTTATATATTCTTACAAAATATTCATGCAACGTTAAAAAAAGTTTTTTTTTCTTTTTTCTTTTTTTTTTGTACCTAAACGATGTTTTTCTGGTAATGGCGGAACTATACAAGCAGGAAATTCTAATGATAATGTTGCATACAACCAATCAAAATCTTGGTATCTTCGGCGCACCGGTCTTGGTTTACTTGAACTAAAGGTTTCTACCGAAGTCTATTTTTAAAACCAAAAATTAATATAATACTCCCCTTTTTTAATATAATTCCTTACTGCTGTTGTAACAAGATAAGTGACGTAGACGCCCTGAGCTCCATCTTGATGTTTCTTTGGATCACTAATAATGATCTTCATGGGTAATATTTCGTCAATGGTATCTGGGATAGGTGTTGCTGAGCTTGAAGGTATTGACACTGGTGCTGATACTGTCGGTGGTGGTAGTGTGGGTGTGGGTGTTGCTCTGCTAGGTAAAGAATCCAACGAATCAAGAATTGGTGAAGAAGAAGGTATAATTGGAGGAAGAGGTGGTGTTGTTACAACAACATGGTTTGCATTTGTAGTATTATGTGTATTATACGGTGCGTAATACTGTGTCTATAACTTGATGTTTAGCATTGGCCTCTCTCTTTCTGCAACCTCTTTTACAAACACAAACTAACCTCTGACTCATTAAACTGTTGAAGCGGGTCATCATATTCCATACGGGGTGTAAAAACATCCGCTGTTGCATGAACATCCCACTGTACATAATCTTCACTCATGGCGGTAATACGGAAAAAGAATAAAGGGGAGAAAGGAAATACAATATAAAAGGAGCCTTATTTAAACAATTAAAAGCTCTGCTTGGCAGTCATGAGCCAATCAAAACTATTATCCTGTTTTCCTGCTGCCTCATTTTATCAACAGAGGCAACGGCTCAATAAGGAGAGAGTCCTTCTTCTATATGAAAATATAGAATCGTATCAAGTATCAGATACATTAGACCTAATGCAATCAGTATCATATGGCACCATGTAATGCATACCCTACACCAATCATCCTTCGTTATAACATGAAGGCGTAATATAACGTGCACCTAGTCATTTTCAGGGCTTTTTATCCACTGCAGTAAAAATTCAGCACCGTATCGAATGTTCCGAAGCTTTTCATAATTGTGGGTTAAGAGCTCTATTATTACCTTGCATGCCCTTTTCATGATTACAAACTTCTATTGAGCAAACACGTTGGTCTTCTGGCTCCCCATGTTACCGTAAATGCTGTCTGATTTGGATTTATCCAACTATAAGGCTGTTCTTGAGCAAAATTGTTGTCCTGAACAGTAAGGCGGAGTTGGCTTATATGGAACAGCCTAACCCAAATGCCCTCCTCCTCCAACATATTGAAACGCCGTTTAAAGGGCTAATTTCCACTTGCTTTTTTCCCGTTTCTTTCTTTCTTCATTGCACAACATTCCCATGAGTCCAGTTGGAAAAACTTTGGTTATATTAGCCTCAACTATCGAGACTACACAGATTGAAAGTGATATTAAGGTGAGAAAATCTTAAAATTTCCCCTAAAAAGACTACTAACATCTTTCCTTATAACTCTCAGGCACGATATGATTCTAATTTCTTAAGATTTAGAGGTGTTCCGAAGGGCTTATTACCTGTTTCTGGAAGAGCTGCACTCAGCTGGTGGTATGATTATGCCAAGGAGATATTTAATGATATCTATATCGTATCCAATGCGTACAAGTAATGTATGACCTTTTTATTAGCACTCCAAATGTACTCACTTCTTATAAAAAGCTTTAAGCATTTCGAACGTTGGGCTAGTGGTGTAAATTTCCCAAGACTCAATATTCTTAATAGTGGTCTCAGGTAATTGTATATTATTCTTCCTTGTCCTGGTACTATTGACTTAAACTTTAAAATAAGTACTGGTGTTTTGTCCGACATTGCATTTGTTCACCGTGTGAAGCAAATTCAAGGCGATCTTGCTATCACTTCGGCCGACCTACTTTGTGATCCCGACACTCTTTCTTCAGAATTTAAAAACGCATTTTACAAATCCAGCAATTTCATCCTGCACACCCAATCACAACTCCCTTTTGCATTTGGTATGAGTCAAGAAGTTTTAAACGGATTGGATGATTATAATGAAAAACATTTGGCACTTAAGCGTTTAAATTGGCAGGATGAATTGGATAAGTATATTCAAGCACAGGCATCCACTTACCAGTCAAATGAACATGCTTCCCCTCTCTTTGACTATGTAGATCCTAAGGTTACATTGACATCTTATATCGAGCATTGGGTTTCTTGTCTTGATCACAAGTTAGATCAACGCTCTAAAGTCTGTAAATTTCAAACAGAGCCTCTCCATATTAAGGCTTATGCTCGTGTCGGATTAATGGGCAACCCAAGCGATGGATTCTATGGTAAGAAAGTAAAGGCTAAACGAATTATGGACAAGAAGCCAACATGATTACTTAGGAAAAACCATGTCCTTGCTTGTATCAAACTTCTGGGCAGAAGTCACTTTAATCCCTAACAACCCAACCTACAAGGAGCTGGAAGCCATCACTATATTACCAAATCCTGTCTCAGATCCACACAAATTCTCTTCCATGGAATGCTTAGTGGGTGTATCCGAGATTGATGGGTATGAAACTGGTGACCGCTTATTACAAGCATGCTGTAAAGTATTTTTTCGTCATTGTCAGGATCATCAAATTGGTATTGATACCCGACAAGGATTCAGAATGATGTTTGAAACAAATATTCCTCGTCAAGTTGGTTTAGCAGGTTCCTCAGCTATTATTACTGCTCTTTGGAAAATGTTGATCTTGTTTTATGGTGTCACGGAACAACAAATTCCATTGGAGCTTCAAGCAAGTCTTGTTTTAAAGGTAGAGCAAGAGGAATTAGGAATTGCAGCAGGGCTTCAGGACAGAGTCATCCAAGTAAGATTCATCATCCAAATATTTTAAGTTGACTTTCCTGATAACTTTGGGTCTAGGCATTTGGTGGATTGGTATACATGGATTTCAATAAGGAGTACATGGAAAAAAACGGTCATGGAATTTACAAGCAGTTGGATGTCTCATTGCTACCTAAATTATGGTTGGCTTATGTTGCTGATCCGGACGATTCGGGTAAGGTGCATAGTAAAGTAAAACAACGATTTTTAAATGGTGATCAAGAGGTGAGTGCTAGCATACCATTCTTTTAAATTCATAATAACCCAAAAAAAAAAAAATCCAAAGATTATTCAAGCTATGAACAAGTTTGCATCATTTACTGAACAAGCACGTACTAGTTTAGAAGCTGGGGACCACAAGAACTTTGCTCATTTGATGTCTTCCAATTTTGACCTCCGACGAGAGACTTATGGTGATTCAGTAGTGGGTGCATCCAACTTGAGAATGATTGAGTTAGCAAGACAACATAACTGTGCTGCTAAATTCCCAGGTAGTGGAGGTGCGGTGGTTGGTATGTGGAATGGTAACGCTTCAGAGCAAAAAGATTTATTGAAGCTTCGACGTGCCTTAGAAAGCGAAGGGTTCGTCTTTATAGAGTTAATCCCTATGGTGTATGATAATTAATAAATGTATGTATTAGTTTATTTTTACAGATACAGAAAAATGATCTTTAAAAAGGATAAGAGTGGGGGTTGTGATTATAGAATTAGTATAAGTATATTGCTCATGAGTGGCTCTCATGTTGTTCTCCTTTTGGATACACTTGTCTAATGTTGAGATTGATACGAGAAGTACTCATGAAGTCACCAAATAGCTTCCAGTCCGGGGAGTCCGCATATTGATTGTTATTAGACAAGTAATCAGGCAGCGTATTCTCGAGAATTAACGGCACACCTAAACGGATATATTAATTACAGGATATATCCAAAGCAGATTGATCATTTACTCTTACCATGAAAAGCCTTTCTGCAAGGACCTGTCATCACGATAATATCACCGCTTCTTAAATACAAAGCTAGAGGCACCGTTTCCCTTGTCTCTCCTCCTATTAAATATATACAGGATTGTCCCAAACTGTAGACATGTTAATATCGTCACTTAGGAATTATTGAGCAGTGTATTACCTGAGCGAGACCAAGGGAGCTTCCATGTTCAACTCGCTTCTATCAACATGACCCATTAAAGTATCTCTATACTGATAGTAATTGATAACACCTGCCTCTGCATTAAAATCCGATCCTTTGTACTGATTCAGCCAAGCTCGATCATCACCACTATCATAGCCAATGTTCTCAACGGCTGTAACTACAGCCTTTGTCAAATCGGACACATCTTTGGGGAAGGGATATCGACGATTAAGATGATAGGTCTTTGTTGGCCAATGATATTGATATCCCAGTGTGATCCAACGTAATTTTCTGGTCATTTCAGAGGGTGATAATAAAGGAACGCCTGGTGCGGGTAATGGATCTGGTTTAGGATCGTCAATGATGGGCTTAAAATCGATAGAACAAGCAGTAACGGGATCTTTTTTCTCTTCCTCTGAATCGCTATAAGTTGCAGAGTCAATGTCACTGTCGCTGTCATGAATGATTCTTTTCGGTACGTAATAACCCGGGTCGGTTGGTTTTAAAGATCCACTCTCTTGTCCCTGGTATAAAGGCCATAAACCTGAATCGGGAACAACGTAATGGGTATCAAGATTGGAGGTGTTTGGTGGACGTGGATAAACAGAAAGACATTGGCTGATCAGGTGGCGTTGTGCCTTTGGAGTGAAAGCGTTAGGAATGACAATAAGTCCCGGCATGTTTTTCAAGACGTAGGCATCTCTACAAGGTTGGTCCGATTCACCAAAGACGTTCGAAAGTGATCTCAAATCACTCGATAATTGAACTGGCACAATGGATTCATAGTTTTCTAAAGTGTTATTTTCTTTGATATCGGTAAAGTCAATGACATGAGTGAAATCGGGTTTGCTCACTTTAGATTTAAAGTTTCTTTCACAGTAACGAAATGGTGCTTGATTTACATATGTTTTCGCATTCTTTTTTTTCTCTTCGGCCTCTCTTCTCTCTCTTTCCCAAATCTTTTGTTGTCTTCTCGACTTGAAGGCTGGCTGCATTTTTTTTTTTTTTTCTGGCAAGAAAGAAAGTTTTTATTTTTACTTTTTTATATACCATGTCTGTGACTTCTGGTCCCAATTCATCATCCCACCTTTTTAGACTTCACGAACAAGCAAACGACCAAACTCCTCCCTGTAAACTAATTAGGATACTAAGAACTTCTGATTTAACAGCTACTTGGGGTTTATTTGGTGGAAGAAGACGCGAAGAACCTTTTTTCCCGCCTCAAACCCCCTTATGTAAAAAAAATTGTTGGTGTAAATCTTCTAAGCGTTCAGTGTTCATGCGTAAACTTGTGTCACCACTTATGACGTTATATGCTTAATTTTTTTAGCTGTCATAATCTGTCTTGAGACAACAGTTTTTCTTTTGTATCAACTAAGTATCTATGGCATATGCCTTTAAACTAAACGCCGGTGTTACCATAATGTACGGTAGCTTGATTTTTTTTTTTTCAGAAAAATAATGATAATAAAAAAAAGTAGGTTTTGGGAATGATGAGTTTTTGTTCATCTTACCATGGGAATTAAACGTTTATTGTTGTTCTTTTTTTTTTTTTTTTGGTGATGCGAAAAGAATGTTTACGTAGAAACCCTTTTTTAGCATTATTGTTAATCATGTTATCCACAGGATGCAGGAGTACTGAGGCATTAGGCAGACCTTCAAAAATTAAATCTTTTAAAAATAAGGTATATGCAGTTTATTTTACCGATAGAGAGGATCTATATTTATTACACGGTAGATAATTTATGAGTGGTGATATTAATGTGTTCTTCATCTTCAACTATTTGTTGATCGTTACTCTCTTGCACAAAAAAGGCAGCTAAACAAGAGGCAGCAGCAATGTCTGCACACAGGTAAAAAGTCAGATTGGGCATGGTTTCTACTGAAGCACTATATATCGTATTTACGCCCAAATGCGCGATCACCACTTTGATTGGAAAAAAGAAGAGTGTGTATGTGTAAGTAATATTATATGAAATACTGTTGTAGATATAAAACTTACTAGCAATAGAGTCAAGGATAGCCATGGCACCCAAAAGCTCGCCCACTTTATTTGGTTCCACCAGATTGGTGAGTAAACTGCGAATGGAAGGTTGTGCCAGCATGGAGACACTCTGTAACATGCCGGCCAAGACAAACAAGGTCACGTTGGAAGCCAAGCCAGATAAAGCCAAACAGATGGCGTCCATGCCAATGCCACCTCGCACCATCCAGATATCAAAGGAGAGTGCTGAAGATGCACGAGGACGCACAAAGACTTTGGTGAGAAGTGGTAAGACGCCAATCATGATAAAAAGCCGCATGAGTGAAGCGTAGGTGTAAAAGACACTGCCCTCATACGCGGTCCAATTGAATTTTAACATGGCATACAATAACAAGGGTGGACGTTTGACAAGTGTTAACAAGAATTCGGAAAGCGCAATAAACGGTAAAGTATAACGTTTCATATGCGGTAAAGGTTTTTTGTTTAGTAGGATGTCAAGGGCAGAAAAAATATTGAGTTTGGCCCAAAGACTGGTCTTGGGTGGTGGTGGTGTTGTGATTTGACCTGTGCTTTGTAAGATGGCAAATGTGTTGGACTCGGGTATAAAGAATTGAGCGTACAACATGTTGCAAAAATCAACGATCCATGCAATGTAAAATACATTGACGAGATTTCCTGTGTGCTACAAGTATGAATAAAGTTTAGTTTTGCTTGTTATTGTTTAAGTCTGTTTATACTAACTTTTAAGACTAAGCTTCCAACAAAGGGACCGATTGCAGCACCAATAAACAAACTTGACATTAGCCTTGCAAAGATTACAGTTCTATCAAGAATGAAATGAGCATAAATATTTTAAAGATGAGTGAGGTGTAATTCCACTTTTACCTGGAGGAAGGGTCTGTGGAATCGGCAATGTAAGCTTGGACGGCCGCCATAAGTACGGCTTCACCAGCCATTAAACCACGTAACAAGGGACCGATAAATAACAAGGAGATACCAATGGTTTCATGGTATTTGGCGGTAAGTAAATCACACGAGACGTAAATAAGTGTACCCCAGGTGGATATTTTTAATACAAGTACGCGACCTTTGATATCGGATAAGCGACCATAGTAACCTGCACCGATCAAGGCTTTTAAAAAAAAGTTAATGATAGATTAGAAAATTTAAGGTTTTTTTTTAATTTAAGGAGGGAAACACAGCTTACTGGATCCGTAAGTTAAAAACATGATTAAAGCTTGTGCTTTGGAAACGGTTTTTTGGATAGGTGGTATTGAACAATTGGCAGGTAAAGTGAAATCAGATTCTGACTTGTAGTATCTATTTTGTCATCAACAACAAAATACGACCTTCCATATGGTTTTGCTTTACCTGCTGCAGAAAATTTCTGTGTAAAATTGAGCATGGGGTGCAAGTAGAGCGCTGAAGAGAAAAAAAAATGCAGCTCTCCATTGTTAAAAAAAAAATTACTGTCTTTTTTTTTTCACTTAAAAACTCACCCTCCAGAGAATGCCACTAAAAACATGGTGAAAATAGGATACCATGAGGATGGTTTTTGATGTGTCCTTCCTAACAAGGCTACCGTCTCATCCATTGTTTAATAGTGAAGAAAAAGAAAAAAATAACAAAACAAAAAAGAGAAAGTTGAAGTATTTATATAAAATCGCGCTAATCCGAAAATCCGCTCACCCATGCGTCACCTGGATATGAAACGATTGGCCTATAGTGTCTCTCTTTTTATTAAATCAGAAATGGCCCAGGTGATTCAAAAACCCAGAATACAGTGAGAAGGTAAAATTACACTTTGAGAAAATTAAATGTCCGTAACCAAAAAAAAATGAACAAAAATTAATGACACTCTGCCAAAAATAATTGTCTTAAAGACAAATCTATTTGTCCCTTTATGTCTAACAGTTTGCCATTTTAAAGCAAGAGAAAGGTGTCAATAGGTTAAATTTAATTGACCCAAAGAATTATGCCCATTTTTTTACACCAAAACAATTAGAATGGTACATTTTCGATAATTAATGAATTGTAACATTTAATTGTTTGATCAAGTATCATTGACAGTACCTTTAGTGCCAATTTGTGGTTTGTGGCTGATTTAATCAGTGCTTTGCCCTATCCTCCATCAAATGGCAATTTTTCCTTGTTGAATACCAATACTATTAGAAGAAAAGTTAAAAATATGACACACGATTTTTGGTATAAACTAATATTTGGTTAATTTTTCTCATATTTTATGATTCCTTTTCAAATGTTGTATTTTACGTTTACACTTTAAATTTTACTTACTATGTATGGTAGACAAGTTGATGAAAGCTTCTTCCGTGGACATGGTGTTTGGTTCAAACAGCTCTGCTTCAGACGAACTCGTTGTAAAACGTGATACCACTACAACCAGCGTCATCCCAAGGACTGCAATACATCTATTTTATAATGAACAACTTTCGTAAATACGGACATTATCAGAATTAAAAAATCCAGTTTTACACAGGTAACTTTTATACTATTTGATAAAGCAATCAGATTTATCACGGATTGATAAATTTTTACTGTAAAATACTCCCCGGACGTCTTTGGGTGTCCTCACTGTAAATCCTTAACTTTATTTATTCTACAATGTAATACAGCGAGGTGTTACAAAGATTCCTCTTAGATTAAAATAATTCACCTTAGATCTTTTGCGACTTTTAGCGGCCACTACTTACCGAATTTCAATTGTCACTGACAATTGACTTCGCTGGTTTGACAACACGCAAATCTGACCTGGTCCAATTTCTTCAGAAATGCAACAATATGCTTAAGCTATCATGTCTTCTAATATAATGATTATAGTGTTCTTAAGACTGTTAATTGATTGAAGCTTACTACTTAACCAAAAAGCAATTTTTTTCGGATGAGACTATACTTCGGCCTTTTGACTGTTGATTGACTTTAATTCTGTAGACATAAAAAGCTTAAAGTAGTTATTTTTTGTCTCAGCCAAAGATCTTGACATGATAGCGCCCATTTGATTACAATTCGCCTTCTACCCTAATCATTATCTCCACACACGCTTATCACTTTACCAGTGTAGTGACTGCTTAATTTTAAACTGCTTTTTTAAAAAAACAACACACACACACAGTTTATTATTTTTTATTATTCAACACATTTCTAAATGGCACTCGAAGTGGATAAGAAAAAGTATCCTAAAGAAATTGCTTTTGTATTTGAATACGACAATGCACGTGTGGCAGCTAGGGATTTTGCTGTAGGCAAAGCATGCTCCTTTCGTTCCAACATTACTAGAGCGTGTAATGATACTTATAACGGCGAGCGCAGCATTGCAGGATTTGTAAAGTTTGTCACAGCCTTGGTCAAGGATGAAGAAGAGCACTTCCTCCTTCCTTCCTTGGACGTTCAAACCTTGTTTCTCAACTCACTCAAGTCTGAGGATATCGACCTGGAAGTCGTGCGTGAACTCAAGGATAAAAATGCTGATCTATTGGCAGAGTACCTTCGTAAAAAGGAAAACTTGATCAAGATGGTTAATGGTCTTGTGGTATGTATATTTCTGCCTCCTTCTCAGAATGCACAGTACATGCTAAACAACGAACTCTTTCTTTGTTGCCATGTAGGAATCTGGAGCAATTAGCACTGGACTTTGTAAAATGCATTTTTCCAGTCAGTTATTGGCCGATGCCAACATTATTCCTAACAAGGCCTTGTTTGACCGACGTCTTGTCCGTTTGAATACATCCATGTTGTAAGTTTACCTTGAAAGAGACAGACATGCAACGCAGACACACTAACACGCACTCGCTCACATACACATACACAAAGATACAAGCAAAATAAGTTCAACTTGTTTCGAGAAAATATTGAAGGATATGCGGGCTTGGTGAATGATTTGACACGACTGAGTATTGATAATCAAATCAATGTGCAAGGCAAATTAGAACCTACCCCTATGGAACATATCCCTGAATTCCTGGAGATTATTTCCTCGCGTATTGGTGTCTTTTATCTTGACCCGAACCGTGTGTTGGACATCATCTTGGATTTCTTTATCAAGCAATTGACCATCAATTATAAATTTTGGGTGGAATTGATCAAACAATCAGGCTGGATTCAAAAATCAACGGTTGAAGGAGACCAGAAGACGCCTACCAACCCCAGTGCCATCATGGCTCAATTGTTTGGTTTCCGATTCTATAATTATCATGAAGAATCTATTCCAGCTCCTCGAGAATTGTTCTTGGCCATTGCTATCTTGTTGAAGAACAACCTTATACTGTTGGGTGATCTATTGACTCATGTAGGTTAACCTCTTATATATATATATGATTAAGAACCCCTTTAATTGATTCTTTTCATACCATTATAGTTATCGCCTTACCCTGAAGAGATGGCCGCTAAAAAGACTGAATATCTTGCAAAAATGAATAAAGAAATCAAATCCAACTCGGGTGGTAAATTAGCTGTAAGTGGAGTACACGTTAATATATATCTTTATTGTGTCTCATAACTTTATTCTTAGATGTATGGTGCATTAGGTGAAGAGGGCGCTACTGAAAAAGTCAAACGATCTCTCGCCCCCGCCACACCGATTACAACGACCAGCAGTAGTAGTCAAGAAGTGGCAGAAGAAAAGAAGAAACCATATAATTGTATCGATGTAGTGCAACTGGTAAAAGCGTTGCTTTCTGTGGGCGATATGAATAATTTTAAAATTCTGTCAGCCCAATATGAAAAGTTAATTGAGATGTATCCTCAATTAGAGTATGATGTGTATCGATTATGTGATGTGGTACTTCAGCCAGCCTATGAAAACTTCGTACCCGAAAAGACAAAGCAATTATACCATCATTTCAGTGAGAGATCATATCAATCGAAATTGAAAACAGCCTTATCTACACCCGATGATTTGAACCCCAAGATACCCACGGATCATATGGTGCCATTAAAACGTGTGTTGGTGACAGATGCACTTTTAAACGATACACAAGATTTACACAAAATGGAACGTTATGTGTTTTTCTTCAAGGAATGGAAAGATCAATTGGAATATTGTGAAAAACCTGAAGATCTGACCACCAAATTCATGTTGTTGATGCGATTAGCTGGGTACAAGACTTATTTAGCTACCGAGTTGGTACAAAAGTTGGTATTGATTGTCAGCGGTTTGATTGAACGTGAAAGTGAATTTCCCGGGTGTCGTATACATTGCCTCAACATGTTGAGAGAATTTCTATTACCTGCCATATCCTTCAGTGAAGGAAACCCGGGTACAATGGCTAGTATCTGGGAAATCCTCTGTCGATTTAGCTTCCAAGAAAGATACTGTCTCTATGGTGAATGGGGAACTGAATTTTACAAGAAGAATATCGAGACGAAATTACTAAAGGCGCGTGTGGAACGATCTGTCAAGTATGTGATGCGCCGTGTAGAAAAAAATAATATTCGCCGCTGTGGACGAGACCTTGGAAAATTAGCGCATTCAAATCCCATGATTGTGTTTAACGTGGTGTTGGATCAAGTGCAAAACTTTGATAATATGGCACCCTTAATGGCAGATGCCTGTCGTTATTTAGGTGATTTCTCCTATGATGTACTAGGTTATGTCCTGACCGAGAAATGGACCGGTTCCCAAGGTCCTGGTCGAGAGAAAAAGAAAAAGCAGAACGATGATGGTATGCCAGCTACTTGGCTTCGTGCTTTGGCTGTATTCACGGGCATGTTATTCAAGAAGCAAGATATTGATTCTACTCCCCTTTTACGCTACTTGGCTTATCGATTACGTGAAGATGATTCTATTGCTGATTTGGTGTTATTGAATGAATTCGTAACAAAAATGGGTGGTATTGAAATCTTGGCGAGTGCATGTACAGATGATCAAATCACAGCGGCCGGATGTTCTGATTTCCTCAAGAATGAAGCCTTCTTACCTATTGCGGTGGATAACCGTCGTGCTTCACGTCGTGTCTTGAATAGACTCAAGGAATCTTTACGTCGAAACAATGTAGGGTTTGAAATCTTGGTTTTATTATACCGACTGGAAGAAGCATGTACAGCTGAATTAGGTGTACCTGCCAGTGATCGATGTTTCAAGTTGGATCGAGTACATCAAACACAATTACAATACTTTGAACTATTGACGTCTCTTTTCGAGGGAGAGGAGTACAATGATTTAATCCCTAATGTCGATGTACTTGTCAATGCATATGGTTTACCTTTGGATGTAGCTATGAACTTTAATCGACCAAAGACACGATACAGAATTGCCAGTGGTATTGATACACCTGTAGTGGATGGTCAAATTTGGCCTGTTTTCCAACCTTTAGTAGAAACAGTGTCTGCCATCTTAAATGATCCACCCGTGCCCAGCATGTTTACATCTGAATTCTATGTGATTTTCTGGTCTTTAAGCCTGTACGATATTTATTGCCCTGTTGCGCATTATGAAGCTGCGATGAAGCGTCATACAGAAACGATCCGACAATGCCAAGACACACGATCAGCATTTTATGTGAATGGGCGTCCTATCGCGGATGCACGCAAGACGGAACGACAAGCTCAAGCAAGCTTGGAAGCACTTCGAGAAGATTTACCACGCCATAAGGCACATGTAGAAAAAGTGATGGCTGTGATTGGATCTTCTGAACAACGCTGGTTCCCCAGTTCGATGCATCGTATTGATTTGATTAATAACATCTTGCAATACTGCTTATTACCGCGTAGTACACAATCTGAATTGGATGCAACTTTCTGCTATGAATTCTCCATGTTGATGCATCGCATTAATACCAAGAACTTCTCGAGTTTGACATTGATTGATAAATTATTATCAGAACATTTGCCGGTGAATTTCATTGCGTTTAGTGAATATGAAACCACGATTCATTCCAGATTCATGTTCAAGATAGTTAGTAAGATGGCTTCGTGGCATACCGATGAGAAGCATTATTTGAAGCAAGCACAGGGTGATAAATTGATTGGGTTCCAAAAGAATTGGAGTTCGAATCCATCCGAACATGGTGTGGCTAAAGAAGATTTATTAAACTTTAATGAATTCCAACGTGTGTTGGCTAAATGGCATTTACGATTGTATACAGCAATTGAACAAGCACTTCAATCGGATGAATCTCACTTGATCAAGAACGCCTTTTTAGTATTGCGACAATTTATCCCTCATTTCCCCGCCATTACTGAAAACGGTGAAGGTATTGCAGCCATTGTCAAGAAGTTATCCGAGGAAGAATCAAGAGCAAACATCAAGGTGCTGGCTAGAAGTTATATTGGTTTAATTGCAAAGTACAAGACAAAATGGGTCTCCAAGAATCACTTCATGGGATTGAAAGAACCAGCACCTCCTGCCCCACCTGTCGAGATCAAGATCACACCCGGGAATAAGGAAAGTTCGGCTCTCAAATCCAGTGATCGTGAAGAATCTTCCAGAAGGCGTGACGAAACAAGCAGTCGACGTGAAGAGACAAGCAGTCGGCGTGAAGAGACCAGCAGTCGACGTGATACTGAGACAAGTAGTCGACGTGATACTGAAAATAGTAGTCGACGTGATGCCGATATAAGACGCGATACTGATACAAGACGCGATACTGATACCAGACGCGATACTGATACCAGACGTGATACAGATACCAGAAGAGAGACAGAGACCAGACGAGAACCTGAGACCAGAAGAGGAGAAACGGATACTCGACGTGAACCTGAAACAAGAAGAGAAACCGAATCTCGACGTGATGAAATCAAGCATGTGTCATCCTCATCTTCCTCCTCTGCCTCCAAGCCAACTAGTCCATCTCGACGTAACGGCAATAGTGACACTGTGAATGGTAACGGTAGTAATAGCAGTAGTCGAAGTCAAGCGGATTTATCTCCACCTTCCGAAAGAAAACGTACGCGTGATGTAGATACGACTATCAGTAGTAGTAGTCGCGGATCCGAGAAATCGCCTCGTATCGATGAAAGTGATCGCCGTCGTACACCTGCTAGTACATCTTCAAGAAGAAGTTCACCTAAGGAAGCCCCTAGTCGAACCGATACACCTTTCCGAGAGCCTGCACGTACACGAGATCCTGCACGAGATGCCATTCGAGAAGCAGCCAGAGATACAGCTCGTGATTCTGCTTCTCCTCGAAAAGAAGTGACTTCACGTATTGGGCCTAGTAATCCACCTACAAACAATGGTTCAAGCAGTAGTAGTAGTAACATGCGTGTAGATGATCGATCTTCAATCAGATCTTCTCGTGTAGGCACATCCTCCTCCTCATCTGCTACCGCAGCATCAACAGTACCACCACCACCAGCATCCTCGTCTTCGTCTGCAGTTGAAACGAGTAGTTCCAGTCGTCATGATGATAGACGTGCAGGATCAAGTATGTCACGCTCTGTATCTGCCTCAGGAAGTAGCACGAAGCGAAATGCAGAATCGGATAGAGATCGATCAGACCGACCGGATAAGAGAAGAGATATTCGTCCTGAACGACCTAGGGAAGATAGACGTTTGGATGATCGAATGCGAGATTCAAGACGTTCAGATGACAGAAGACCCGTTGACAGAAGAATGGATGATCGACGTGGTAGAGACCACCGCAGCCGTAGACATTAAGTCTTTAGTACCCGTTAGTGATAACAATAAATCAAAACAAAAAAGTCTGCTTTTTTATAAATGTGTGTGCTTGTGTGACGGTTTTTTTAGTGCGGAGGGGGTGAAAGGGAGAAAAAGGGTTTGGCCCAGTTTTTTCTAGTGTTTTTCTTTTTTTCTTTTTATTGTTTATTTTAATTTTTTTAGTGTACGTAAAAAAAAAGAAATAATGAGTAGCGAGTTAGAGACCAAAGTAAACACAACGCGAGCGGGAGGAGCGTACATTCCACCTCATCGTTTGCGTCAAATGCAACAAAATGTCAAAGATACCACCACTGAAGAATATCAACGGATTACTTGGGAAGCACTCAAGAAAAGCATCAATGGTCTCATCAATAAAGTAAACACGTCCAATGTGAAAATGATTATACCTGAATTGTTTGGAGAAAACCTGGTGAGAGGAAGAGGACTTTATTGTCGTAGTATGATGAAGGCACAGACTGCAAGTTTGCCTTTTACGCCTGTGTACGCGGCTGTGACGGCGGTGGTCAATACCAAGCTACCTGCCGTCGGTGCTCTTCTCTTGACACGTCTTGTGCTCCAATTTAGAAGAGCCTTTCGACGTAATGATAAGGTAGGAAATATTTGCGCTGCCCAAGAAAAGAAAAAACTAAACATACATATATTACCAATGTGTAGACATCGTGTTTGGCGACTACCATGTTTATTGCACATTTAACAAACCAGCTTATTGCTGACAAGGTATTGGCGCTTCAGATTTTAGCACTATTATTGGAACGACCTACGGATGATTCTGTGGAAATTGCAGTTGGTTTTATGCGAGAAGTGGGAGCGCTTTTAGCTAATGTGTGTCCTAAGGCGAACAATGCGATTTACGAACGATTCCGGGCTGTTTTACATGAAGGAGAGATTGATAAACGTATTCAATACATGATTGAAGTGCTTTTCCAGGTTCGAAAAGATAAATACAAGGATAATCAACCTGTGATGGAAGAACTTGATTTGGTGGAAGAAGATGATCAGATTACGCATAACATTAGTTTGGATGATGACGATCTTGATGCGGAAGAGATGCTGAATATCTTCAAGTATGATCCTAATTATGACGAGAATGAAGCAAAATACAGCGCCATCAAGGCAGAGATTTTAGGTGAAGATGGGTCGGATGAGAGTGGGTCCTCGGGCGACGATGAGAGTGGCAGTGCCAGTGAAGATGATGAAGAGGATGATGAAGAAGAAAACAAGATGGAGATTATGGATCAGACAAATAACGATATTATTGAACTGCGTCGAAAGATTTATTTAACTGTCATGTCGAGTGTCAACTTTGAAGAAGCTTGTCATAAATTGATGAAATTACATATTCCTGAAGGACATGAGGTAATTAGGAAAGGATTTTATATTTAACTAGGAAAAAGAAAAACTGATTTGTGGCATACATGTAGGTCGAACTTTGCAACATGATTATTGAATGTGCCTCGCAAGAACGTACGTATTTGAAATACTATGGGTTAATGGCCGAACGTTTCTGTAAGATGAACCGTACATGGGTGGAAAACTTTACGAACGCATTCAACGAGATTTACGACACGATTCATCGATATGAAACGAACCGACTTCGTAATATTGGTAAATTATTTGCGCATCTTTTTAATACGGATTCTCTTCCTTGGACAGCATTCCAAATTATTCGATTGACGGAAGAAGATACAACATCTGCTTCTCGTATTTTTGTCAAAATTTTGTTCCAAGAGATCAGTGAGTTCTTGGGTCTTAAGACATTAAAGGAACGTCTATTGGATCCTTACATGTTGGAAAGTTTGTCAGGTATGTTTCCCAAGGACAACCCAAAGAATACGCGTTTTGCCATCAATTACTGGACAAGTATTGGATTGGGTGCATTGACGGAGGAATTGCGTGATTGGTTAAGAACAGCCCCACAACAAATGATGAAACGTGAAGTCAGCTCCTCTTCAGGCAGCTCATCTTCCGGAAGTGATAGCGATAGTTCTTCTGGCAGCAGCAGTAGTGGAAGTGACAGTGACAGTGGCAGTAGTAGTAGTGGAAGTGATTCTGATTCTCGCTCTCGTCGTCGTCGTCCTAGTCGTCGTAGTAGCCGTCGTGGCCGTAGTTCTAGCAGCAGTGGAAGCAGTCGCAGTCGTAGTCCGTCCACTCGTCGTCATCGCAACGAAGGTCATAGTCGTCGTCGTCGTAGCTCCACTCCTCCTCGCCGCCGTTAAATATACATGTATACAAAAAAAAATATGCAATAATAATAAAAAAAAAAAAAAAAATTTAAAGTATTAGAAACTTTTTTATTTTAACTTAAATTAGGAGACGATGTAAATCTCGAAATAGAAAAAAGTTTAATTCTTTACAAGAGAGTCTCGTAAGCAATAGGAGCAATGGTTTGAGGAACATTGAACTTGGTAGAGATGTGACGAGCTTCACGAGGTTGAGCAGGGAGTCTCTTGAGGTTGAAAGAGACTTTAATGAAGATAAAATCAGTACCATTGAATCATAGACGAGAAGATTATATTTAATAACAACTTACCACCAGCTTCCTTGGCTTCCTTCTTCTTTTGAGCGTTAGTAACAACACGATCCAAGAACTCTTGACGACACTTGGAGTGCTTAATGTGTTCAACACGGACGTTGACACGCTTCTCCAAATAACGGTTACCAACGTTCTTGTGAACGAGGACACCGACGGCAGACTTGGTGACGTTGTAGATGACACCGGTACGACTAAAATTTGTATTATTAGCCTTTTAACTCTCTCGTAACTATCTGAACTCTATATTTACCCGTGGTAGAACTTGTGAGGCATACCCTTTTGGACGGCAGCGTTAGCCTTAATATCAACGATATCTCCAACCTTGTAGGTCTTCAAGTAAGTGGTGAGAGGGATGGAACCATGCTCTCTGAACTTACGAGAGAACATGTGGCGGGTACGAGCGCGAACTGTTCATTATAAATATAAAAAAAAAGAAACGCATCAACAAAAACTGTAATTGTCTATTTTTTTATTTTTTTCTTTTTTGTGTGTCGTCTATTTTGTCTCCCTAATAAAACTCGTCTATTGTAATGCATAATACTTACGACCGAACGAGTGAGGCATCTTGTACGAAGTGGTATGGAAAGAGACCGAAAAAAATGTTGGAGAGGAAAAAAATTATTATTAAAGGCTCAGAAAAGAAAAAAAAAATTGATGTGGCTTAGCCTCCCTTCCCGCGTGCGCGCGCACTCCAAAAATAAGAAGGCAAATGGTTATTTTTTTTTGTTTTTAGAATTGGGAACAATAGGATATCCAAACAGGTTAGAAAATTAGAAATTCCTAATTTTGCAAGAGTTAAATTTTGATGATCTTAATTTCTACGAGCTAAAAATTTGGCTTGGAGGAAGTAATGAAAGTGGATGGGACATATGTGTACAATAGAAGAGTTGTGGCTTGTAATGGATGAGCCAATCAAAAAGGGATGACTTTGAAAGCGAAAATTTTTTTAAATTGGTACTGGCAATTTTTTTTGTTTTGAATAAGACAAGAAAAAAAGTTTGCGAAAAGACTTTTTGCTCCTTCTCTTTAAACTCTACTTTCTAGTATGACCGGTACTACCAGAACTTATAGCAAGACCTCTAACGTCCCCAAGCGTCCTTTCGAGGCTGCCCGTCTTGATCAAGAACTCAAGTTGATTGGTGAGTTCGGTCTCAAGAACAAGAAGGAAATCTGGAGAGTCGGACTTACTCTCTCCAAGATTCGTCGTGCTGCTCGTGAACTTTTAAAGTTGGATGAGAAGGATCCTCGTCGTCTCTTCGAAGGTAACGCCCTTATCCGTCGTCTTGTGCGTATTGGTGTCCTTGATGAATCTCGTATGAAGCTCGATTACGTTCTTGCTTTGAAGATTGAAGATTTCTTGGAACGTCGTCTCCAAACCCAAGTCTTCAAGTTGGGACTTGCCAAGTCTATCCATCATGCTCGTGTCCTCATCCGTCAACGTCACATCCGTGTCGGTAAGCAAATCGTCAACGTTCCCTCTTTCATCGTTCGTTTGGACTCTCAAAAGCACATTGATTTCGCTTTAACCTCTCCCCTTGGTGGTGGCCGTGCCGGTCGTGTCAAGAGAAAGAGAGCTGCTGCTGCCGGTGGTGCTGCTGAAGATGATGAAGAGTAAATCTTTATCTTCTTTTCTTTACATATGAACCTTTGCAAATAAATCAAATTGATGTTTTTTCCGTAACTTCAAAGAATTATCTTTGTCTTTATATCGATTCATCTCAATTGCAAAGCACCTGTCGTTATTTAAACTTTGTTTAAATATCACAGTATCATATTCCGATTACACACTCGTGTTTTGGAGGCAAATTTATAGTTGGTAAGAGAGGGAATCCCTGCTCGTTTATTTTTTCTTCTTATATCTTTGTTTGTCCAAAATGTGTGTATAGGTTTATGAGTATTAGCAATTGAGATGTCGTCTTCCCACTGTTTATTTTTTATTATTTATTATATATTTAATTTATTAAGCCTGAATTTAAAGCGCAAAGAATTGCTCTCCATTCTTTTCCTTTCTTCTTGAACCAAACGAAATTCGTAAATCGTAAATTAAATCGTTCCATTCTCTCCAGAGTGATCTCTTTCCGAAAATAACAAATAACCAGATACCTTGTGTACTGACCAATGTTTCTGCTGCCATCATCAGTCCATACGGAGGCAAATGATCTCTAATAATCGTAACACAACTATCTTGATGTCCACCCGGTGAAAGCATACATTCTAGCCAGTGATTCGTAATCGTACGATCCTGTTCGAGGTCCACGACACGATGAATTTGCGTGAAGTAAAAGATCCAATAAAACACTACAGTACCACACGCCAACATCGCAAGTAACAACGCACGCCACTGAATTTGTACAGCCGTAATGACATGTTTATGACGACGTGCCGGTGTAGGATTGGTCATGGAGGTGCGCGACATCGACTGTGACATATCTGATTGAACACCTTCTTGGATAGCAATCTTAGCAATATAGAAAAACGTGGCGATATGGATCAAGAAAGCAGGACAGACGACGGCTGCCATGGGATAGAAGAATATCTCAAAGATACGGTCTACAGAGACAAGACAAAGATTGGCAAATTCAAACTTGATTTGATGCATGGCAATTGAAACGATCATAATCACGGTGGGATATCCCCAACATAAAATGTTTAGAATACCATAACGATTCGTGAAGAAATTCAGGTTCCATACAGTATGTAAATGAAGATTTACAATAAGAGCAGCACTCCAACAGCATGTAGACAGGGATGAGAAAATTAGAATAGCACCTATGTACATATACAATGTGTGTGAGTATATATATATATATATATATATTTATAAGGAGAAAAAAAAACCGACCTTGTGTTGCGCACAAAATGTTATTATCCTGTGTGCTTACAGAAACAAGATTGGCGCATTGAAGTTTTTGTGGGTTACCAATTGAAAAATACACTACCATACTGAATAAAAAGATACTTGCTGACACGTTTAAAATGAGTAGAGAAGGGTGTCTTCGCTTATCCGGTAATACCAGATAACTGACCAGCATAAAGAAGGATACAATCGAAGATATAAAACGAAGAATATCAGTGGCTAAAAATCCGTGCACGGCCCATCCTTCAGGATAAAACTAAATAAATAAAGAATTGTACTTGTTTTTTAGTAAATGTATCCAGGGGGGGGGGGGGGAGTTGTGGAAGGGAGATAGAATCAGTACATACATAATTTTGAGCTGGACAAGGGATACAGCAACCAGCGCGACAATAAATAGTACTGGTGGTATCGGTGGTTCCTGCTTTTGCAAGTGGGTCTTTAAGAAATGGTGCAGGGCACTCGGCCATCACAACACCGGGCGTTATGGCAGATAAGTTGTAAAAAGCATGAGGATCAGCAATTTGAGGTGCAATCGCATTACAACTGCTATCAGATGATAGGGGTTGACCAGTAAGAGGTGATTTTTTATTACAATCTGGTAAAACACCCTTGCCAGTCAACATGAAGATATTTGTGCATTCATGTTGCACATCCTGACAAGCTGACTGACACCCCATCTTTGGACCTGTTAAAATATTTTTGCATAAATACTCATTTTATGGGGTAAAATACTTTCGAAATAATAATACTTTACCAGCTCCGTTTTCACCACATTTGGGATACGCAAGAGAGCAAGAGTATCGATAGTATGCATCAACACAACTGGGCGCAACTTTACCTAGTAAACGACTCATATTCACGAGTGGTCCAAGTTGCTTTTCAATCATGGCAACAGGGGCTCCCTTTGTAAACACAGAGTAATCGACAAATCCCTTATACGTTCAAATGCAGCTCTGTTTAGTCAATGTGTATGATATTTGACAATGTTTATTTGTATACTCACATGACATATACCATTGTCAGGATAGGCCGTACATAAAGCTGAGTCAATAAAGCATTAGCACAGATCATGATGTACATAATCACAGGTAACTTACTTGGAGGAGCTTTCATCGCGGTGATGTTACTGGGACTAACGCCGCTATTAGGTGCACTAGGTATGTTGGGTGCTCCAGGTACGCTGGGCGCGCTCGATGCGTTGGGTAAGCTGGGCGCTCCAATGTCTGTACTGTTACTTGGTTGTTGAGCACTCGCTAATCCGAGAATTGCGAGTACTGCAATTTGAAGTTTCCTCGTTGTTAGAAACTTCATGGTGTTAATACTTTTTTATGATTACAACAACAACAAAAAAATTAGACGTTTTTTACAAAAGAGAGGGAAGTATAAAAGAAAGACTGTTAAAAAGTTAAAGAGAAAGAATAAGTTTAGGATTTTATAAAAACTAATTCTAAATCTCCCCTTGTTGTTAATGTTAGTAGCATGTATGTTACAAGTAAAACCTTAAATATGTAAAAGAAATAAAATGTACTTTGGCTGTTTCCGTTCTTTTTCTCCTCTTCCTGCTTCTCCTTTGAGTTTTTTTTATTTCTATTTATTTTACTGTGTTCTCATTACCTTTTATTTTTCTCTCCCCCCCCCCCCCCTCTTTGGGTGGTTTTGCAATGGGGCAGTAGTATAGCAATGTAGTCTCTTTTGACAATTGTACGCACTAAAAAGGGGATTGCATTGATTGATTATCGCCTGAACTGTCCTTTTTTTTTTTTTTACTCTAGTTCTATTCTTCTTACAGATTCGCATAATAATACGTGCTTTTAAGGTACTCGTTGGGTTTTTTACAAGGTATAATAATGCAACTTGAAATTAAAAATAAAGGCTCATTTATTCCATACCAAAGTATAACTTTACTTGAAAAATTATTAACAAAGTTTAGTAAATTCTAAACTTTGGTACATGCATTTTAGAAAAATAGAAAGGGGTCTTCATACCTACAATCCACTTTCTTTACTAAAACACCCCCAGTTTTTACACTACTATCAAGTGATGCCAAAAAAATTTTAATGTTATAAGATTGAGCGGATTTCTGATAATGCTTTATTTTTTCAGTGATCTTTTATTGGAACTGGATCCAAATTCATTGCCTAATGAAATTTATATAAAAATATGTTGATTTGAACTTCCAATAGATAAATAGTTGTAGGTTTTAGGGTTCTTATATATGTAAAAGTGTTGATTGTAAAACTATTGTTTCTTAGGAGTATTAACAGCGCCAAAAAGATTGGTGAGACCTAAAATATAATTACCTTATTTCGAAACACACAGCATTACCTAAATAAAGTGACTATCTTGTAAAATCAGTTTGCTGATTCAAAGAGAAATCCGTTCTCCATCACATTGTTATTTATAAATATGAGTGGGCTTTAAAGTTATCGGCTTTTCCTTTATAATCGTATTTTGCTTTTATCTTGACAATTTAGCGTGTCTATAAAATCCAAAAGGATCATTGATGCATACATCCTTCCAGACGATTTTTTTTTTTTTTTTTTTTTGACTCAGCAACCTAGAACTCCTTAAAAATCAGGTCTCTGGTGAGAAATAAGGTAGGTAAGCATTTATATTGAATACTACTCTTAGAACCGCCCCATATTTTTTGTCAGTAAGTTTAACACATATAGGAATACTCCGAAGGTATGGGTATTAAGGAAGACTGTCTTTCTGCATAGTAACTGTCATTTTTTGTTTATACCATAACTGCCTGTCTTTTTTTTTAGCGACGCTCATAAGGTTGTGTAACCATTAACATACATTTTTGACATTTCTAATATGACAAATCAACCTTTGTGATTAATTTGTTAATAATTACTGTAGTAACAACCCATGTGATCATCATTTTTGCAAGCCACAATAATATTTAATACTGATAAGTGGATTGACTGTTAAAGTTTACACTATTTAGACTTAGAGGCGGA